CGAATGAAACCTAGGATCGGAAATATAATTTTTTGCTCCGTAACGACCTACCCATGACCGCAAAAGTTTAACGGTTCGATGTTTTCTTACCGATTCCATGGTTTTGCCGAAAACCGCGTTATTCATTAGTTTGAACAAATTTTTTTCGAAATCATTTTTAGCCAACGTTCTAAAAGAATTGTTTAAATCAATATAGCCTTTTAACCATGGTGATTGTTTAAATTTGAGAACTTTATGAATTTTAGTTAACTTTAAACCATGTGTTAATGCCTGTTTTAAATTTCTATAATGAATAACATATTCTTTTTTATCATAAAGTGTTGCACACAATTTTTTAAATTTTGAACCCGATGGAATGAAGTGATCTGCACAGAATGGAAAATCTCGATGATAATTATGTAATTCTTTAGGATATTCAAGATCGACTTGTAAAATGTATCCTTCAGATGAATCGTCAGCTATTTGAGTAATATCAATGTTTGTATCACACCATTCAAATCCTCCGTACGGAAGCGGTTCGGACATTGCTTTACCGTATAAATTATTTACATCTAGATATAATATGTATTTAGAAGGTTTGCATGGATCATAATCTGGTATATATTTATTATTTGCTTTAGAATATCTATTGCAACAAACTGATATACCTCCACGTATGCCTTTCTCTATAAACATAACTTTATCAACATCATTAAGAAGTTCAAGTTCGCATTTTGTGTACTTTAACATTGCCGACCAAGTATAGCCAGGCATTGTGTAATACCAACCTGGATCAAGTTCATATGCTTTATAACATTTTTCCCTAAATTGTTCAAATACATCAGCAAGTAATAGAATATCAGTTTTCATATACAAATCAGCGTATTCCCCTAGATTATTTATATTGAAACATTGCCATACGGTTTTTGCATGGTTGTACTGTTCATCATCGATGTGTTCATCATTTAAATAATTATAGAAATCATCCTTTAAAGGTAAACTTGTTTCATTTAATTTTTCCGTTGAATCAATGTAATCGTAAGGGAAAACTCCCTTTCGAGTAAGTAATTTAAATCTATTTTCATCGAGATGTGCAAATTCTTTTTTTAAAATAAATAGATCGCTTTCACTTAAAGTTTTTACTAAACTATCTAATGATGCTCCTAAAAATCGAAATGAATCTATAAATCTAAATTTTACACCGGTTATATCATCATGAAGTGTAAAAGATATGTATCGTTCTTTATTGATAGGCAAAAGAGTAATGTAACCGTTTGAAGCTAAGTCTCTTATCATAAAATGTGAATCATAACCACTGAGATTATGAAATACTATGGGAACTATCAACTTTTTCTTAAAATTTAAATTACAAGATTGACAACAGAATCCGCGGAAAGAACCATCGTAATGATTATGATCAGATACAACGGTATCTGAAGGTGTAAAAGCTTTTTCACAAAGAAAGCAATGACTTGATTTTACTAGATTGTTATGATCCTTCATCGGTACTATATTTTCTGTTTTAGTTTTAACCAAATTGGCGACATTTTTCATTTCATTAGAGAACCACTTCATACAATCTTCTCCACGGTAGCTTTTATAAAAAGATAACGAATCATCGTGTTGACATTTAAAGTAATAACCTGCACTGTATGCTACATGTAATTGGTATTTTTTCGATTTAGATTTTGAATTTACATCGGTATATTTTTCTAATTTTGACTCGAAATCAGCATAAATTATAAATGGTGTTCTTTGTTTGTAAATAATATCTTGAAATTTAATCGATTGATATTTTGGAAATGAAATTTTGTACTCATTTAATCTCGAACAAATCAATACATGTTCTTCAAATTTGTTCTTATCGTGAAAATAATTGAGGCAGGTTTCGCAAATAAACTTTTTATGACCATCTTTGTTGAATTGACTAGAAATTAAGCGAGATAAATTTTTAATCAAACAATAATGAAACTGAATGCCGGATTCATCTTCAGAATCTTCGAGATTTTCTTTCGGTGGTACTTCATAATCATTTAATTTTGGTATATAAAAATTTTGAATAAGTAATAAATTTACATGATTTTCTAATTTCATTTTTGTTACTCTTAACGGTATTACATTATAATAAAAACCTTTTTTTGAGTTGCAATATTCCAAACCGTATACGTTAACTGATATGTTATTAAGTTTTTCAAATTTATGAATTTCTGAAATAGGCATAGGTAAGGGCAAACCTTCCATTTTGAACACATGATTATAAGGAGGATATGAAGAGGGTCGATCAACGTGTTTTTCAGAAGGGTACAGTGCTGCCACAACGGATCTATAGAAGCAAGCATTGTCATTGTTTTTAATATTGATACAAGCACGTTTTATCATAATTTGTTTCGGTAATTTAATGAAAGATGAAGGTCTTATACCTATATCAAATTTATTAAAATTTATTTCTAAAGAAATTATTTTACTTAAAGCCCAACTTGACCCACGTTCTTGAAATTCAGATAATTTTTTAAAAATTTCATCAATAACGTTTCGTTTAAACCAATCTCGTATATTATCCCCTTTTGTAATAACCTCATTTTTTGTACTAAAGTATTTGAAATCATGATCGACTTTATCCTCATCTAAGGATCCTTTTATAAACTCACCAGAAAATGTTGTATTAATTTTCATAGCAGACATTTTTTTTAAAAGAAAATTAATTTTGAATTTAGTTGTTTTAAATGCATCTTCAAAAAAATTATCCAAATCTTTATGCGTTAAATTTATTATAACACCGGTTTGAATGCGATTTTTAAAAGAAGAAGTAAGATTTTCCCATTTAATCCTATCACTACGATTCTTTGATAATCCTTTTCCCTTCTTAGTACCTACATTTTTAATTAAGACACGCAGACGCTTTAAATGACCTAAATTTGTGATGAGATTTCTCTGTTCACCAACTGACAATGTTACATTCCGCAATGCCTTATTAAAAAGTTTAATATTTTTATGAAGATTTTTCACCCATTTATTAACATCATATGGGTTCGGATTTTCACTAATTATAGCTAATGCTTTTGTACAAACGGTTATTATTTCACTACTAGTATTAATAATCTGATTCATAATACCTAATTAACTTACATTAATTTAAAATCAATATTTCTACTTGATAGGAAAGCAGGTAGTAAAATTAATCAGCATCCAATCTTGAAGCGGTAGTAGGGTTTTATGCACACTGTTCTACAGGTGTCTCCTTAAAAAGAAATTAAAATAATGAAACTTTTTTTTTTCAAGTATTAACGAAAATTTACCTCTATTTGAAAAAGTATTCTAGGCGGAAGGTTCCCACAATCCTGTTTCCAGGTAATGGTCAAGGAGTAGTTTCCAGAACAAAGTTTATCCAAATGTTTTGAATAACTATCCGTCACTCTGGTGGGTAAAAATGTTACGTAATCTCCAAGTTCAACAAGTATTGAACTACCAAATTTTGTTTGTATAACTTTGGCACCTTGTATAGGGTAGGCTACGCCTATATTTAAATCATTGAATTTTATAATTGGTTTATTCTCTTTGGCTTTCAAGCTCACAGCATTTAGTTGATCTACAAACGACATCTAATATTCTAATTAAATAAGTAATATTAAAAGAAATAAATAACTCACCTTTTTTCTTTAGTAGCTAATATCAAACAATTAATTTCACTCAACTAACAGTTCATAAACAACTGATGATTGCATCATTAAAACATTCTTATTTATTTCAATATCAAGGTTACTTACATTGCATTCTATCTGCAAAATAGTTTATCAAATAGTATGACTAATGATTTTTTATTTACAATAACGCACATCCCCCAGACAAGTTCCAACAAGTTTCAACAAGCTAAAACGACATACCGAAATCGTTCAACGTTATTGACGTCATCATGAACCCCTGCGCACCCAAGAGCCCGCGCGGTAGCGCCCGGTATCTAAGCGCCGGTATCTAAACGCCCGGTATCTAAACGCCCGGTATCTAAGCGCCCGGTATCTAAACGCCCTGAGGCCCTCGTGACGTCATCCCCTGTGCGCCAAAAGGCCCAAACGCGCCCCCGGTATCTAAGCGCTCGAGCGAGCGCTGCGCCGATCGGCAGAAAGGTATCAACGTTTTGAACGTTTACCTTCGGGTAGGTGCGTAGCCGAGTTGGTAAAGCGCTTAACGTTGTGGTCCGGATGACCCGGGTTCGAATCCGCCCAGCGTTTTTTGGATATTTTTTCCATCTACCCTCGAAATGCTATACCATTTCTAGACCACCTCGAAATGCAGTACCATTTCTAGACCACCTCAAACTCTATACCGATTCTAGGCCATTCTCTCGAAAGTGGTCTAGAACTGGTATAGCTATAACTACTATGTTCATTATGCATAATTATGCACAAATTATGCCTATTTTTTTACTACTTAATCACAATTTCAATGAACATTTTGCTCTCCACTACAGTTTAGTCATATTTTTCCCTCGGTCCAAATCATTCTCTTTTGTTTTCCCTGCATTGAAGGCAATTTTTTAAACATTTTATACCTGATTGTGGATCTGCAAGTCATGCAGAGAATTTTATCAAGAATAATTTTTGTTGTGAAATGTAAGTTAAAATTTTTCCCCATTTATATACAACTTTTTAGGACACACTGTATGCGTGCATCCTAAATCACTGCAAACGACAGATGAGTCAAGGCAGGAGTGATGCTTAGTGTGTGATGATCATTTACTCCATAGTAAAAGAACACCAAAAAATAGTTGTTGAATTTTAACCATTTATTCTAGTTACATGTATAAGAGAAAAATAAACAAATGATTAAAATTATTTCATCAAATTAACAACAAAACTTAAAAAAAAATTAATAATGTGTTGCACCACCGTGGTGCTGTACACACTCTCTACAGTTTGAATGAAAAATAAAATTTGCTTCTTGGTGTTCTTTTACTTTTGTCACTCAGTATATTATAAGACCGGTCCATATTTAGCGCCCTTACTCTATGTATTTTTATTGCGCAGGCGCAGATCGAGAGCCACAGGATCCTCCAATCGCATAGCGGACGAGCACCGCAGCGACAACCTCCTGAGCCCGAACCGGCACGATGCCAGCAGGAGGTACTCGCCGTCCCAGGAGAGGTACGTGCCTGGAAGGCCCGAAGGGAACTTTGCCAGGTCCAGTTCTTACCACAACATCGTCCATCCGCAGCAGTACGTTAAAGAATCCAGGTTTCCTTAGTGCCCAACCTAAGCGCGGAGGTTATTTATTTCAATTTTTTTTATCCTCAAAGTTCGTAGATTACGTTTCTATTGTATATAAGATGGGAGATTTAGTTGTAATTGTTAATTTACATCATACTTTAACCGACTGATAAATACTCTTTGTGAAGTTTGTTTCAATTTGATTGTTGTTTTAAGTGAGTTTGCGTTAAAGGCGCGGATCAAGTAGCTAAAGCAAGTTACTAAATCAAGCAACTAAATTTTAGTTACTTGTATAGTGTGGATAACTTGATTTACTAACTTGTGCAAGTACCTAATTTAGTAAACTACTAAATCAAGTTATCCTTACCAAATAAAGTAACTAAATAAAGCTACTTGATACGTGTCCCCGCGCCTTTAAGTTTAAGTTTTGCTTAAGTTGTCAGCGCAGGCGCACGAAACTCCTGCAAGCTTGTTGGGACAAACCTGTAGTTGAACAAAACAAAATGGATTTGTGAAGTGTTGCTCAATTTGATAAGTAAATGCCTATCGAGAGTAGGAAACGCCTTAAAACTGTACAGATTAATCTAAGTGAATTTTGTAAAATATTTTGCCGGATGCGAAATAAACTTTAGTAGAATTTGAGCGTTGTAGTTTCATTCGAATGCCAATCAGGAAGGATGAAATAAAAGTTTGTTTTGTATGTTCACAACTTAAAATTTACTTTAATTTATATGTGTTTTAACGAGAGGATTTCTTATTTTTAAGTAGTGAAATAATGCGCGTCGATTTATAAAATATTAATATAAAAATCTATACACAAAAAATATACATTCATTCCCTAGGTTCTTCATGAACGAGTTTAACTATCCGCAAGAATTGATAACGATTAAACGAAGTTGAAGCTGTTGCAGATATATCACAAGAAGCTGTAGAAAATGTAATAATAGAGAAACAATTTTCCGTCCTAAATCCTGAATCCTAATTAGTACTGAGATCGAATGAATTATCAATTAATGGCGTATCTACATAAGAAACCTAGAGAAAAACCGAACAATTTCCAATAATAAAACGAAGAGTTCACAATTATACGTTACTTTGCTTAATAATTTTCTATTGATATAAAACTAGCTTGCCGGTGGTAGTTTCTTCACCAACGAGGCACCCTTATTCAATCCAAATTGCCTAAATAAATCGGACAAATTTTTGCACACCATTTCCGTATTCAAAGACAAATTCTGGTTCGCCGCATCATCTACAAAACAGAACACCAATCATTCAAATCGCCCTCTACTCGCAATTTTACACAAATTTACCTTCGTACTGAAGCTGCAGCAAATGAATCGAACCAGGATTGATTTTGCACACTTTCCTCAATTCGTTTAACAAGGCATCTAAGTGGCTACATGTTACAGCATCGTTCTGCGAAATTAAAATGGCTTGTACAAAAGCGCGAATAAACCAGCGATAAAAAAAATCACCTGGGATTGTTTCGTCGAGCAAATCTCCATCAAATGCGACAGCTGCACGGGAGTTTTATTGGCGAGCAACTGCTCCAAATTGTAGAGCAACTGATAGAGGTAATTGCGGCCGTCGACGTCCTCGGCGGCGTCCCTGGGAGGCGTCAGGGAGTCGTGCTGGAGCGGCGGGAGGCCCAGCAGAGAGGACGGTTTGTCCTTGAAGCCGGCCGACGCCAAGGCGTAGGATAGCACGGCGGCGTCGTAGGCCTCCATTTTCAAGTTCTTCGACGAACTGCCGGATGTAACCCAAGAGAATTTCAATGAAGAAATTTCCTCGATTTGAGAAATTTGGTGGCGGTTTAGCTTGGGGTCTACCATAATACAGGGTGTCGCAATGAAAAGTAGCCCCTTTAATGAGCTTGTAATTTGTAAGCGCATAATCATAAAAACATGCGGTTTTCTCAGATATGTATTATTTTATTATAAGTTTTGTTACAGTGATAAGTACAGAAATTATGTATTACCAACACAGGTTGTTTTATCAAAATCTCCTGTTTTAAATACACGGTAACCATTTTTTTTTTAAATGGAACACCCCGTATATGTAGAGATATTTTGAAAGATATACTCTTCTACTTTTTTAAAATGTGTTATTTGTAAATGTTATTGTACAAAAGAAGATGTCCTATATCATAAAATTTAGTTAATGTGAATTTAAAAGAGGTGGATTTTTGAAACACCCTGTACAGACGATACAAATTTTTTGTGTCACTGTAACAAGTTATAGCATAATAAAATATATCTGCGAAAACCGCATGTTTTTATGATTAGGCATTTAAAAAATATTAGCTCATTAAAGGGGCTACTTTTCATTGGGACACCCTGTATTTGCGGTCTACCTACATATTTTGTCGCCCAAGTATATTTAAATACTTTGAGAGGTGTTTTGCAAAACTGAAATTTGTTTTGAACATGTCTCACAAAATTGTAAATGTTTGTCCATTTAAACATTTTTCTATCTCCTACAGTTCTATCTTCAAAACTCACGATGCATGTATAATTCTCATAGTTCAATTCTCGATAAATTGAATTACTTACCTGCTAGGTATATTTACGTTTAAATAAATACTGCAGGTACTTCCCCAATTCTTGGTAAATTGAATTGCCCACCAGCTGTTCTAAAAACAATACTAGTAAAAATGTTTCTTTTGCTTAATGAACTGTCAATTTTCAAAATCTTGCTGTTATAGTTTGATAAATACTTTGTGCAAAATCCATTTAGGTAGACCGCATACTAAAGCAGATGCGGTAGGGTAGACCGCATACTAGACCGACACCAGAAGGTTTTATAAAGTTTAACCGAACTAGTTTATTTATACCATCGCTATTATAAAGTCTTCGTTTCTTCTAAATCACTAAGTACAAATGCTTGATTAATGCATGCACCAGTGCAGTTTTTCAGTGCACTGGAATTCCCCATCAAAATAATAATATCTTTTTGAGTTTTATTTTACCTACAATCAGTTACCGGAATCGCACACAGATATATAATGATACCTAAATGAGCACCTGAAAATTTGTTAAATTTATATCTATTAAATTAATTTGCAGTAAAATAGAGAACGACATTTAAAAAATAACGCTTCCTTTGCAACAGTTGTTACTGCACCTCTATACCAAAAATTGATTTCCACCTCTATCAACTTTTGTCATACGAATTGTCATTGTCAATTTTGACATTATTTCACGGTCGTATATTATAAGGTCTGGAAACTGGGCTACAAAGATGTCCCGTTATTTGAAGCGAAAGAGCATAGTTCTTAAAACGACCGGGAGACGGCGGTATTGTACAGGATATTTTTTAAATTCCACATTTCGGTTGCTGGAGATGCATCTAATAATTGTTTACAGAGCTTATTTCTCAATTATTTTGCATCTCTACAAATGTTATAAATCCATATAAGTTTGATCGTTAGTAATGTTCGTCGCTGATTGGCTGATCCTCCAATTGTTCGCCACGGTTCGGTGCCCAAGTGAATTACACATCGAGATTCACATCATCCGCAACACATTTTCAATAAGAGTTGCCCGACCTATTCTTATACGACCGTGGTTGATACTTTACGATTGTACAGTATGTTGTGGAATTCCATTTGGTAAAGAAATTTTCTTGTGGAATTTCGGTACCGGATTAAAATTCAGGTAAATTCGGTGCGGAGTTCAGGTGCCCCCATCCATAAACTTATAAACCTGCTTTTTCTTTAACATGGCACGTTTTGAACGTAAAGTTTCCTCTATAGAGAAATATATTTTTAATGTGTGGATATTGTAGATTTTAGTAGTGTAACACTGGCGTAACGACGTAGTTTGTACATAATAAGCACTAAATATAACGTCTATTACATGCAGTAATTTAATAAAAACGCTTTAGGAGAAATATTTGTACGATTTCTCTATGAAACAGATCTAAAGCCGGTTTATTAAATTTTTTTACTGGCAAACGAACTACTACCAAGTGCTGCTACTTTTAACGTCCACAATCATGCTTTAACGACAAACACAAAAATGCAAATAAAATAAAGGTAAATAAAAGTAACGAAAATAAATTATTCCCTTTTATTTTGCGCTCAAAATAAACATATATACAAATGTTACCTTAATCAACAAATTTCATAAATTTCTACCTATAATAATTTATTTTATATACAATATGGAACATATTTACAAATATTGTCCATTTTTTTTTTGATTTACCGTTTAAATATATAAATAATTAGGCACAAACATTTTAAATTTCATCCAATAAGGACGCATCACTTATTTCAATTAAATCAATTTAAATTGTGGCAGGTTCAAAAAAAACAATTATTGTTCCATTTTGTTAAATTATTTAGTATAACAAACATTCTCGTCTCGTATAAATAAACATTTGTATAATTTTGTGTTCAAACTCTCGAGTCAAAACTTTTGTTATTTGGCAATTTACTATTAAGATTACTTGTTAACAAGAAATGACTCTCAAGTTTGTAATTAATGGAAAAAAAATCTGAATAAAATTAGCAAATTACAATAGTTACAATTACAAAATATGCGAAATTTTATTTCATTAATTACCTAAATATATTTTTAAAGGTACATAGTAATAACATATTTGTGTAAACAGGTATTTTATACCAGGGGAAAAATTAATTTGTGAAAAAAAATTACGCATATTTTAAAAGAGTAAATATTCAACTAAACAGGATGACCATTTTTTTAAATAACGGTAAATAAAAATAATAAAATTATGCATCATTCTGAACAAAAAAAAATCATCGTGAATCGTTCAAAACTAATAAGTGCACTAAAAATATAACACAATATCAGCCAATAAGACAAAACCAAAAGAACTACAATTTATGAATACATGTATGCGTTTATAACTGTTTATAATATACACTAAACTACGTCCACACTTCGTATTTTTTTAAAAGATAAATATTTTTCTATTTTTATCACACTATCGTACAAAAAAAAGAGAAATTGTTTAAAATCAGTCACTATTAAAGTCTTTGAATACGTTCGGCGATGAACAAAATTTTCGATAAAAATTATCAATTGATATCCTTTGAATACCAATTCTCTTATCACAAATAATTACATTCGCTACAAATAAATTACCAAAAACTAACCTGTAGTTTCGCTTCACTATAGAAAATACAATAACAAATCGTCCGTATTTAAGTTCCTCTCGAAAAAATCGATTCACCGCCGAAATGTCGCCGGTATATTTAAGTAACTTCGTTTCCGTAAAACAACAAACATCGACCGTACGCACTGTTAAACACAAACGTTTTGCTTTTTGAGAAGAAACTCACCCTCCGCCGTCCACGCTATCGTCCGGTTTCCCCGCGCCAGTTTTCTCGAATCTGCCCGTCAACGATGGCTTGCCGGGCGGCAAGTTCTGCATGGCCTCGGCCTGCTCGCGAATCTGCTTCTTGCGCTTCTTGCTCCACAGCTCGTGGCAATCCTGCCAAGTGGGCAATTCCGGTGCGGAGATCCTAAAAAAAATAGGCGATCATCATCAATTAAACATGTTCGAACGACTGGCCAAAATGATACAGTTTGCATTCACTAAATTACATCCGTTATAATAAAATAAATCTTACTGTTCGGGATTGATATTCTTCAACCAACTAGACTTCAGCGCGTCTTCGGCCGTTATCCTTTTATCCGGATCCAATTCAAGCATTTTATCCAAGAGATCCAAAGCGGAGTTCGGCATGAAGACAAAGTCCTCTCTCAGCCTTCGCTTGTGCAACTTATTGGGCCTGAGCGTGTGAAACAATGGTAATTTAATCACCGTCGGCCAAACGGCGGGCGTCGGGGTGCCGCACACGCGAGATATCCTGTCCAATTGATTCATTTCGGCGTTCGCCTGCAACGAGCAACGTTAATAATAATACCGACAATTACAGCGAGTGTATTTAGAGCATATAAAAGGTGTCCAGAAAATAGGTGTTAATAATTCGGGAACGTACAGATGACATCAAAATAAGGGTATAAGTTGATATAAATTTTGTTAATTTGAGCCGCCATTTTTGAGCTAGACGCATTTAAAGTTGAAATATTTTTTTTAACTTATTGTTACGTTTTATTTTCAAGTTATACATGGGAATATTATAAAAATTTTGTGGTTTATTACCTACACCCGTGTACCCATCTTAGTGATAAAATGAATTGTACACTACTCTCTGTAAGACAGTGAAGCAAACATATAGGATAAATATATTCTTTAATCGATAAAGTAACAAAATTGTACTCTTTTTTGAAGTCGATAAAATTAACGGTTTAAGAAAGAACTTTCAGAGAAATTTCAATTTTCAAATCAAGATGTAAAGAAATTATATTATTAATTGCCAAGCGAAAGATTATAATAAATGTTCAATATGGGAACCCTGTCGTTGAAAACATTTATGAATCATAAGGAGAATATTTCTTTGCACTCTCAAATGCATTTCTTTGGTTTCACAATGAAAAATTATTCTGTCCATTAATTTATCTCTTGATTTAGTGGAATTTCTTCTATAAGAGGTGGTAAATCAATTTGAAGAAATTCCAAGATCGTGTCTATTGTTGTTTTTCAATATTTTTAGTAAATAATTACAAATAACAGTTTGTCCAGAATGAAAAATGAAAATAAAACTTTTTCTAAAACCGTTAATTTTATCGACTTCAAACAAGAGTACATTTTTTTAGTTCGTCAAATGAAGAATGAAATGAAGATGAACACTTAGCCACTGTCAGAGAGTAGTGTTTAATATAAACCACAAAAATTTATACAGGTTGCTCCATTTTTGATCACAACATAGGTTATATGGGCCATGGGTGCGACAAAGACAACTTCCATTAGACACTTATTAAGGAAAAGGAAAGAGTGACATTTACGAGTACGTCATTGCAACTTTTCACTCTGACAACTGTCATTTTAATAATCTTTCTTTGGCTCATAGAAATGACCATGTTGCAATCGGAAATGGAGCAAGGTGTATTTCGATTTATAAGTTAAAAATAAAACGTAAAAATATGTTTTAAATTCTCAACTTCAAAGGCCCCTAGCTCAAAAACGGGAGCTCAAATTAACATTTATACGCTCCCGATGTTATTGACATCTATTTTCTGGACACCCTGTATTACAGATAAAACTAGATAAACGACTAAACCTTAGTTTACCTAGGTAAAGTGCGAAATACGGGTAGGACTGGGTAGGTTTCACGTGACATAACGGAAACCCCCGAAACCTATCCCACCCTACCCACATTTCTTGGGTACATCGCACTTTAACCCAGATAAACCTAAGTTTAGCCGTTTATCTAGCTTCATCCGTAAAACATACAAATTACTCGATACGTACTTGAAACAGTGGCTTTTTTAGGAACAATTCTCCGAGTATACAACCGCAACTCCATATATCTATAGCGGGGCCGTATCGTTCTTCGCCCAAAAGCAATTCCGGCGGTCGATACCACAACGTAATGACTTTGTTAGTGTAAGGCCTTTGTCTATCTTCGGCATTGTACAATCTGGCCAAACCGAAATCGGCCAATTTAACTTCGCCCCTAAAATTATTCACATTCGTTAGCGTTTTTTTGGTAACGGCGAAGAAGTCGAGCCGCGTACTTATTGTTCATCAGAATGTTGCTACACTTAATGTCTCTGTGCAGGAAATTCTTCTTATGGCAGTAGTTCAGTCCGTCCAACAGTTGCTTCATGATGCAGGCGTTGTTCAGCTCGTTGAAATCGACCATGCCGGATTCCAGCAGTCCCATCAAATCGTGATCCATGTATTCGAAGACTAGATAAAACGATCCCTTTTCCTAAACAAACATATTTCATCAACGTTTATCGGGATTCGTTTTTAAAATATTATACTAACTTTTCTAAAATCGACAGCGTCCTGTTTATCAGTGACGATTTCCCTCAAATTAACGATGTTTTTGTGATTCAATTGTCTAAGTATTTTAATTTCTCTAACAGCAGTAATGGGAAACCCTTCCTTTTCGTTTTCCAATCGGACTTTCTTCAAAGCGACGAGTTCGTTGGCGCTCACGTCTTTGGCTTTATACACTTGACCGTAGGTACCTAGAAAATCACTCATTATAAACATTGTACTGTAGATTAAATCGCAATAAATAAAAACGTATATCACCTTCTCCGATTTGAGCTATGACCTCAAACATATCGACGCATCGTTCGCCCCAATCTTTGCCGCACATTTGGAAATTCCTCGAGCCCTTTCTCTTCAATATGGTCGGCCTCTTCACCGGCGCCTTCGATTTCAGCGGTTTCACTTGCTTTTCCAGGCCCAACGTTTTCACGTTGTTCCTGGGCGGCGTGCTGGGCAGCTCGTCGTCGCCGCTCAATTCTTCGGTACCAGGAACTACTGTTTTTTTTTATACATTAAACGTTAGTAAAAATCTATAATTAAGTGAGTAGGGCGAAAAGTTCTCTGCCTGATATACCGAGGACGCTCCAATCAGCAAAAATTCTTGTTTCCCCTTTGGGGCATTTATAATTAATTCGTATTAATTCGTATCAATAATAACATGCGAAAATTACTCCATCCTTCTTAACCAGCTCGATGCCAAAATACGGGAGAAGAGAACCATTTAGAATGCTTCAGAACCATTCAGAACTCTCTAGAACCATTTAGAAAGCTCCATAATCATTAAAAACTATCTAGAATCTAGAACCATTTAAAACGCTCCAGAATCATTTAGAACTACCTAGAACCGTTTTGAACGCTTAAGAACTATTTAGAACTGCCTAGAACAAATAAGAGCGCTCCAGAAACATTTAGGACTCTCTAGAACCATTTAGAAAGGTCCAGAAACCTTTAAAACTATGTAGAACCATTTAGAATCATTTAGAATGCTCCAGAATCATTTAGAACGCTTCAGAATTATTTAGAACTGTTTAGAACGCTTTAAAACTGTCTAAAGCCATTTAGAACGCTCCAGAACCATTCAGAACTCCAGAACATTTGGAACTACCTGGAACCATCTAAAACGCTGCAGAAACATTTAGAACTATCTGGAACCGTTTGGAACGCTCAAGAACCAATTAAAACTGTCTAGAACAAATTAGAGGGCTCCGGAAATATTTAGAACTGTCTAGAACCATTAAGAACGATCCAGAAACGTTTAAAACTATTTAGAACCATTTAAAAAACTTCAGAAGCATTAAGAATTGTTCAGAACCATTTAAAACGCTTTAGAATCATTTAGAACGCTTCAGAATCATTTAGAACGCTCCAGAAACTTTTAAAACTATGTAGAACCATTTAAAAACTTCAGAACCATTAGGAATTGTTTAGAACTATTTAGAACGCTCTAGAATCATTTAGAACTATTTAGAACCATTTAGAGCCATTTAGAACTCTTTAGAACGCTTTAGAACTGTCTAGAACCATTTATAACGCTCCAGTATTATTTAGAAATGTTTAGAACCCTTTAGAACGCTCTAGAATCTTACAAAACTGTCTAAAACCACTTACAACGCCCCAGGATCATTTAGAACTGTGTAGAACTAAAGACTTTGACCTGATAAGAATAATATTGTAATTTCTCAACTGAAAATCGAGGTCTTTCAATGTCAGGCTTAGAATTTTCCCCCTACCCTGTATCAAAGTACCTGGAGGCATGGGTAAATCCTTGATGTTCTTCCTCGGCGGTGTTTTCGGTCTCGCGTTAATGTTTCTAGGTGCAGGGCTGGGCGATCTGTTGGGTGTCGGCGGCGAAACGATCGCTTCCAATTGGGTCTGATCGATTCCGGGCGGTAGAGGCAATTTAGTCACGCTCTTTGGTTTAGTTGCGGAATTATTGGCGTTAGGCATTGTGGCCGCGGTATTGATAACGGTAGAGGCCTGTCGAGCCGAAGGGCCCGTACTGACAACGGTGGATATCGCAGCTGTGGAATTAGGGGCGGGCAAAGGCGGTGTCGGTGGAGTCTTTAATCTTTCCGCGTTAAGATCTTTGCTATGGGGTAGCTGAATGTCCTGGACGTTCATGCTGGCGTTAGAATTACCGTCAGGAATTGGTATATCGTCGATGTCCATCGCGACAGGTGCCTGTACATTTTCTTTGTTTTCTAAAAAAATAAGATTTTAATTAACGATAATAAAAATGATGAATGCGATAAGACATTTACCGGTTTTATTTTGCGAATTAACGTCGTTCGAGTTAATGTCGCCGTCTTTCTTTTGCGCCATTTCTTCGGCCAACCTTTTCAGTTCCATTTCTCTCTTTCGTCGATCTTTCACCATTTCGGCAAAGAGACTGGCGTCGGTTATTTTGTTTTTCAACGACGACGACTTTACGGAATGCGGAGAAGGGCTCTTGTGCCTACTGTACCTACAAATTTTAACCCTTTATTAAAAACCCTTCGACTTTATGAAATGATATTTATTATTCGAATGAAATTACAATATATTATACAGAGTGTTAATTGAGTGCCGATACTTGAGGTTGTGGATATTTGGATGATTTTGGGAAGAAAAGTTAATATCAATATAAGTCCTAAACCTCTTAGTTTTCGAGCTACAGCTGTTACAGTTTTGGAAAAAAATAACTTTTCCATCATAATTTTCTTAATACTACAGATATTTTTAAGAAATTTCGAACGTGGACGTCACTGGTAATATGTAGTAGAAAATTAATTTAATTTATTAATTTTTTATCTAAAAAAAAAGTGTTTCCATGCATGGTGGGTGCCTACCAAATCTCAAGAAAATATCAGAAGCAGTCTCAAAAAGAACTTGTGGAAAAACTTGTTTCGGTTTTTATTTTTTACGCGAAAATGGTGAGTTGTACGAAAGTAAGTCTTTGACTGAATTTGGTCCAAAATAAGTGAGGATTTTAAAAATAACGTTAGTTGTTCTAAAAAGCAGTGGCGTGCCATTTTATCTTACCGTTTAACGCCACTGTAAACGTCACTGTAAAAATAAAAATAAATATTTTGTCCCAAAATATGCTTCTTAACAATTGAAAAGTGTTACAAAATTTCATCAAAATATCTGGAGTAATAAGGAAATTATGATAGAACAGTTATTTTTTTTAACTGTAACGCCCTGTAGCTCGAAAACTGAGAGGTTTAGAACATATATTAATATAAACTTTTCTACTTAAAATCATCCAATTATTCACAACATGAAGTATCGACACTCAATTAAGTAACGTTAATATAATATGCTGTTGTATAATTACCATGCATGAATTTACCGATAAGGCACTTTTTACTAATTCCAATTGAACTAAACTCGCGTTAAATTTATCAGAATCTTTTATATCTGTATCTTTTACCCTGTATATTATACATACCTTGGACTCCTGTCTTTTCTAGGACTCTTCGATCTGTACTTTTTGCTGCTACGTCTCGTCGGTGATGGACTCGTATAACGTTTGCTACTTCTTCCATAGCTCGAGGATCTAGATCGTCGCCTTGTCACCGGACTGCGACTCCTAAAATACCTTACATTAATAAATAATAGATATATGTCACTAAACAAAATAACACGCATTTTAAACATTAATCTAATCACAAACAAAAAGAGAGTATCCGAAAAAATATTGATTTTTTAGGGGTATAACACATTTACGAACAACAAATTTCGTAGCACATTCTGTGGGACTCATTCACACGCATCACATCATCATTTATAATTTATAATATCATTATAATTCATATATCACTTATATATCATTTATAATTCAAATATTCATACCGGACTTTCTCCTTGAGTTTAGCCTTATCTTTCTTGTGCTTCCTATGGAGAATTTCCCTTTCCATTCGCCGTTTTCGGCTGTTGGGCGTCAGCGAGCGATTTTTGTAATGGTGCGCCAAATGATCGGGCGTCGTCTCCCTGTTATAGGGAGACCGCATAGACGGCGATCTGGATTCTTCGATGACTATAGGCGAATCTCTGGCTCGAATCGTTTCTTCATAGTGATGATTGTACCTAATTTAACGAGAGAAGATGATTCAAGTACTCTTTTCCAAAGCGATAGTGTACAAACCTTGCGGAATGATGTAAAGGCGGCGTGTGTGGTGATTCTCTAGTGGTAAATTCTCTAGATGAAAAGTCTCTAATGAACTTCCGTGGAGGCGTATCCGAAGGAGGCGTGGGGCTTTGTACCTCATACGCATCCGGAGATGCTATGCTGTCATTGGAAACCGGTGAACAAGCTCCCGTATCTATAGTAACCTAAAAAATAGCAATAAAATTAAGTACATAAATTTTTTTAGATTAAATGATGTTTACACTAACCTTATGATCAACGGATTTTTTGTTAGCATCGTGATGCTCCCAGTCTGATAAAACTTCGATTTCTGGTCTAGGAGGAGTTTTTTGAACGGAACTATTGTGAGATGCAACGGATGCACCGCTAGCTACACTTTCTGGAATTGAAACAAGTTAATAACTGGGAAAAAATCAATGTGAAAATTACTATTAAAATAAAGACTGCAATTAAATTAGTTCGTTTCGGTTAGAAATAATTCGTATGTTACATCGAATAACATGTATCGCAAATCTAAAATTCTTTCAAGCATTTTCGTCAAATGAATAACGTGAACAATGCAAAATAACAATCACCTAAACTTGTACTCCTGGATCTGTGTTTGGGTTTTTTCTTTTTCTTCTTCGTCTTTTTGTCTCTTTTGTGCCTTTTCTCCTTCCTTTTTCTCTTTTTTCTGTCTACGGTATCGTAATCTTCCACGTAGGTAGGCGATTCTACGGGAGCTACGTAATCCGTTGGAGATTCCTCCACTTTTCGCTTTTGCTTAACTTCGCTCGATCTCGACGATCGTGATGATATAGATAATTGCCTTTCTCTAACCAAAATTGGCGGAGTCGGTGATCTAGGGATCATAGGTGGATCTATACGGTGCCTCCTCCCTAAAAAAACCATTTTAATTACCTCTTTAAATAATATACCACATGAATTTTTAATGCAAGTGCCGTTTAAATACGTGCACACATTTTCTGGTATTATTAATCTAATTAATTATTAAATAAACAATACACAATAAAAGCCTTATCTGTACTTGTTAACAGGGTATCGATATACAAACGTAAACTAGTTTCTTAATATAAAAAAAACGTAAGTTACTTTTTTCCTCATAAACTTTACCATTAAAACAACATAAATCGATAAATTTATTTCAATAAGTATACACTCTTGTTATCTACGTGTTATTTGTTTGCAATGAATGTAGTGCAAATGAAATTATGTTAAACTGAACGAATCAACTACCATTTTTTGTGAATTACCGTGTTGTTTCACATGGGTGCTTTTAAGTTTCATAATTTTACAAAATATAACTAACATTTAAAACAGTAAAGATTAAAACAAGAATTGTACATTAAATTTGTTAAACCACTGAATTAATGTAGAATAGATAAATGTAATTGTTGATTTAACGTCAAACTGTTGTGACTATCAATTACCTTGGTAACAAATCTCTTTTTTGTGGAAAATTTAAGGGTCATTTTGTTTTGGAATGAATTTTAATTAGAAGATCTTTTACTAACCTGGAGAATGTAATATAAGAGTAGATTCTCTGACATACATGTCCTCCTCCAGGCGGGTGTACCGCGCTCTGTGAGTATTTCTATGCATATCGGCTTCAATTTCTAATTCACCATCTTCACTGCAAATCTCTTCACCGCTTTGTATTTCACCAGCTTCTGGTCCACTGAGATCCTCTGAACTTACATCTGAATATTCAACTAAAGGTTTCGTTTTGAGAAGACCTACATAATTATTCGAACCTCTGTCATCTTTCTGTTTGCGCTTTTTTGATTTCTTGGATTTTTCCTTACTGTGTTTGCCATGCCGATTTTTTTCCATTTTATAAATTAATGTTTATCACCCTCCAGCACATAGTACTTTGTGCTGGGTTGCCTGAAGGCAGTGGAGTCCTAGGAAAAGTCCACATACTCAAAAATTTGAAAGATTTATTTGGTTATTTGTATATGTAGGTTGGCATGCATGACACGGGACCCGTCACCACGTAAGAGCTTGCGAAAATAATACATTTAAAGCGAAATCATATAGGCAAAAATATTCGTGCTTTTAATTTTTCTTTGTTTTTTTTTTATTTCGAGTAAAAGAATCGGGTATGAAAATGTCGAGTTAATTTGACGTCCGTGACCTTGAACAAAGGAAAATTGATGGCGATTGTATTTGTGTTTTGGGTGGGTCAAATTATTCACTAATAAAGCATAACAGAAGCCTTTTCGCATTTCTCATTGCAGAAATTATTAAACGGACTTACCTATAATTAAGATTCCGCTGCAAACTCTCACTCACTAACGCACATCACATCACTTGATTTCGTTAGACAAGTTCTTTCTACATTTTTTGATGTCTTCTAATCGTTTGAAGATTTGATGATCAATTTCTTTGAAAATATTGACTTTTTTATTCTGTACTGATATTAAATGCTCTTATATGTTATTTTTTATTCTCAGATGTAGCATAGGTCATTAAATATTCCAAGATTTAAAAATTTTAATGAGAACAATCCTGACAACAGGACGCCATTTTCGTCAATTTGTTTTCATAAATAGCATGCGTCAAATTCCTCCCCTCCACAAAAATTTAGAAGTTTCCTACAATAAAAGTTTTCTCTATATTTTACATAAATATGTACTCGTATATGTACTCAATGTTATCATTGATTTTAATATTATAAATTCGGCAATTTCTTAATATATAAAAATAAATAAAACCCAGAATAAACTTATCCAGCTAATGATTATTTTACAATGCGCATACCCAAATTGGGTTGGTTAACCTGTAACAACTTTATTGTGTTATTTACGTTTTTTTACCCAATTACTAGTGCTGTGCTTAATTGATACTTATTAAACTTGTACGTTTATAAATGATTTTGGCTTGTTTATTGCCCTTTATGCTTATTAAGATTATATAAATAATAAATATCTTGAATTAGTAACAAATTTGGAGTATTTGGTGTTACCAACCTTTAGTTACAGGCATTTAAATTTTGACATAAACTCTGTTTCATGGGTTCTGTGATATGACAAAACAATTCCATCTAGTTTCTAGAGCACAAACCTCAAACTTTCAGAAATTGGACATAATAACTGTCAAATATTGTTATTTATAAACGTCAAAAATTTCTTAAAAAAAACGAAGTGGTGAGGTTACGTGGCCGAAACTGAAAGTATCACACATTAAATCTTTAAAAAATACATTCACAATGAACATTATTAAGTACATTATTACATTAATATGTTTCTACGTAAATCATAGTTTTGCGTATTTCATAACAGTAGATGCACACGCTGAAGAATGTTTCTTTGATAAAGTAGAAGCTGGCACTAAAATGGGTAATACAACACTCACTTTTTACCACAATTACTGGAATTTCATTTGAGTTGTATATTTTTGTAGGTCTAACATTCGAAATTGCGGAAGGCGGTTTCCTAGATATAGACGTGCGTATCATAGATCCAAATGGGCAAAACATCTATCAAGGCGAAAGAGAAACCTCTGGTAAATACACTTTTGCCGCACATTCATCAGGAACATACACGTATTGCTTCTCGAATAAAATGTCAACGATGACACCCAAAATAGTGATGTTCAATATGGCTGTGGGAGAATCGCCCAAAGCCGAACACGCTGAAGGAGAAAGCCCTAATAAATTGGAAGAAATGATTAAAGAACTCACAAGTAAGTCTAATAAATACCTATTTAACATGTACGTTTGTAAATATTGCTTTTGTATTTTATTCAGTAAGTGACCCATTTAATTTTTATAATGTCTTGCAGACTCTTTAGCAGGTGTAAAACAAGAACAGGAGTACATGCAAGTGAGAGACAGAATACACAGAAGTATCAACGAAAGCACAAATTCGAGGGTTGTCATGTGGTCATTTTTCGAGGCTCTTATTTTGGTTGCGATGACTGTCGGACAAGTTTATTACCTCAAGAGGTTCTTCGAAGTACGAAGAGTGGTGTAGATTACAATAAATACTATCAAGTCTGACTAATTTTCTTTTGTTTACAACGTTGATTGCAAAATTATTTGTATATTTTTTTAGTTAAAATTTGCGTTTTGTGTAAATGCGAAAGCTAATTTTCAATGTGGTGTAGCTTTCGGAAATATATTTTTACATGAACTACACGTAAATTCAAATTAACTTAGAACGATTAAATGGGCTGTACAAATAACTTATATTTGATTTCTGATGGTTTCTAAATAAAAAATTGTAATAAAATTTTATATGCAAGTAATTTGTTTTCTTTGTTAGTGTGTTTACAAATTAAACAAAATAAATAAATTTGAAGGCATTTTAGCTTTTGAATCGATACATGCTTGGTCTTTGACAAAAGTAGCAAACAGCTAACTATGTTATTCAAATTATCTTTTATTACCATTTTTTAAGAGTTATTATAAAAAAACTATTTCTACTCACTTGAAAAATAACATATATATTAGTAAAGAATTGTTAATTATTAATGATTTTTCGTTTTAATTTTTTTTTCAAGAAAAAACGAAGAACAGAAAAGTGGACATGCGCAAACGTGACAGTCTGAAAATTAAAATGGCAGCATCAAGCAACGGCGCCAACTATGTGAAATGTCAAATTTACTTTTAGGTAAATATTGAATAAGAAATAAACTGTATAAAAGCAATAATACTCAAGAATACATTATTAAATAAGTGTACCGGTGTTTTTAACGTATAATGCAAATGAATAGGATTTATTTAGAAAAGGTACTTTCGAGAAATCTTTAATTAACCGATTGGAAAAAATATAATTAAAAGTGTATTTATAACAGATTGCAGAAGAAGCATTCGAATATAACTAATTTAGGAAGCTACTCTTCGAAATGAGCGCAATTAAGTACGATCTAGATACCTCTGGGGGCCTCATGGATGTAAGTTTTGCACATCTTTTGTTTTTGCATGAAAAATTCAGGCTATAAAATGGCGGAATGTCAGAATAGCAATATTAATAAAGAAAGTCTCAACTAGTTTAAGCCGTTAACAAACAGAACTTTATAAAAGGCTTCCTACAAGCTTAAAGAAGTTCAACCACATGTGATAACTTTTACTGAATTACCAGGTTATAAATAAATATGTAAATACTTTTCCCTATAAATTACATCGTTATGTATGTCGTTTCTTAATATTTCAGCAAATTCAGGCGTTGATAGCACCTCCTCGAAACGAGGATGGTAATGAGAAAAACAAAAAGCCTGAGCATCCTTATTACAAGAGACCCGGGAAGGGACACAATCATGACACTTGCGATGCTTGCGGAGAAGGCGGTGACTTAATCTGTTGTGATAAATGCCCGTATAGTTTCCATTTCGGATGTCAGTAAGTCGGATACCTAAATACAATAATGAACTTTGATGAAAGTAGCTTTTGACAGTAAAATCAGTCAGGTTACTTGGGAATATTGATAGATAGATTGTCAAAAACATTAGACTCTTCATTAGGCTTGTTCCTTCTGAAGTCACATATCAGTAAGGGCCATTGAAATCTCCCATATTAAAAGTTTGCAATCATTCACATGATTAAATAGAGCATGTCCATTGGTTACTTGGGAACTTTGTAGTTTATTACTGCTTTAATGACAGCATTAATTTATGGTAATTATATGGAATTGAGTTATTTCCAAACAAATATGAATTGTTTTGATTCATTAGGTATTTATTCATTCTAACCGAATTTTAAAACAATACTCCAATTACAGTCTTCTTTGCGATATTTTATATGCTACAATTACAGTGATCCTCCGCTCGAAGAGAAAGACATTCCCAGAGGTGAATGGTTGTGCCAATCCTGTAGATATGCCAAAAAGAAAGAAGTAACTACCCCGTTAGTATTACGCAGCAAACGATCGAACAGCACACCGCCCAGCACGTCTCTCATAAAAGAACCTAAAAAGCCGAAACTGAGCCCTATGGATGTCCTTATCGAAGTCGCCAGTGCCATGAATCCCAAGCAGTTCGAGTTGCCGAGAAGTATGAGCGTACCATGCGTGTTCCCTGGGATAGACAAAGGTTTTTGGAATATTTACATCTTGTGTAATTGCGATTACTGACGATTGTTTTGTTGCAGAAATACCTTACTCTAAAATAGGGCGAAAAGCGAAGGCGTCGGCTCATGAAAAGGGCACCGGTGGAATCGTGCCTCTTCCTGCCAAGAAATGCAGAGAATGTAGAAAGTCTTGCAGAGTAGCCCCACTGATCGCTTGCGATTTCTGCGAAAGTTTTTACCACTTAGACTGCTTGGATCCACCCTTAACGAATCCACCTTCAGGAATGTGGATGTGTCCGCTTCACGTTGAACATTGTTTAGTAAGCTCTCAATTTATTTAACGAAACGTTTGGTAACTATATCGGTTTTTAGGACTCCAATCTGCTGACTTCGGTGTCCGCTACTGAACGGGTGAAATTGTGGGACAAATTCGGGGGGCCCGTCGATCAAGATGCGGTTAAACTGCAATTTTTCCGTAAGGTGCACAGGAAAAATCCGCCGTTTAGAATAAAAACGGCCTTACCGCCGAGGAATACAGTCATAGTACCCGATATGGTCAAGTACCACTACAAAAAACCCGTTAATTTATTGCCGAGTTTGAGGGACGTCTTGCGATTGGAATACGTTGAAAATCGGAAGAAGAATTTAGGAAAAATCGATGAAACTGTATTTAAAATGGAAGAGACCGAAATCAACGAAGATAGCGTTAAAGTAGAGCTAAATCATGACATAAATCTAGGTAACGATCGCCCGCCTAGCATCGTTTGATTTATTATTCATTCGGTTTGTTTTAGATGAATCGAATTGTGATATTAAAAATAAAAATAGCGAAGAAACTAATTTCGATGGTGTCACTGATAATATCACGGATTGGACGGCTGTGAATGGTTACGTAAAAAACGAAAATCTAAACGGAGGATTCTTCGAAAAGGAACTGATTAAGAAAGAGCAAAATTTCATCAGCGATATGATTTCAGGATTAACTACAGAAAGTAAATATAATTTGCTGTTTCATTTAACGATTATCGACTCTTCTATTGCTGACTAGGAAGTAATAATTTTTTAGAAGAGTTAATGTCAAAAATTATATTGGTAATCGTGATTTGTAATATTTTATTAATATTCAGTTCAAAGCTGAATACAAAAGGTAAATTACTCTTATGCATTATTTTGATACATAAATAACTTTGGTAAGTATTCTAATGGGCAATTTAATATTTTTTTAGTCAACTGTAGTTTGGTATTTAAGAACATTAAAGATAAACAAAATGTGTGTATGTAGTAGGCCGCGAAATGTCATTTATTACAAATTGACAGAAGTGACAGAAAAAAAGACGGTTTGTGTAGAAAAAAAAACGGTAATGTTAATTTGTAATTAGTTTATGACTGAATACAAAAGGTAAAATACTTTTCTGCATTATTTGGATACATAAATAACTTTCGTCAAAAATTAATTGGGCAAAGTAATAATTTTTTATTCAATTGGTACAAAAGAACATAAAGTTGATAAAAAAATTACTGCTGTAACCTTATACGTACGTGAATTTATATGCGTTTATAAAATTGTGCAAATACAATAGTAGGCCGCGAAATGTCATTTCTTATGAATTGACAAATGTGACAGAAAAATACGGTTTGTGTAGAAAAAAAAAACGGTAATATTAATTTCCATTAATTTATAACTGTAAAATACTCTTACACATTATTTGGTTACATTAATAACTTTTTGGTAAATAATTATTTTCGACAATTTAATAATTTTTTAGTCAACCGGTATTTAAGAACTTTATAGAATAACAGAAATTATATGCGTTTATAAACTTATGCAAATATGTAGTAGGCTGCGAAATGTCATTTCCTACAAATTGACAGAAGTGACAGAAAAAAAAAGACGCTTTGTGTAGAAAAAAGTAACGGTAATATTTATTTCCACTAATTATAAACTTATAAGACACTTTCGCTAATTAATAATTATTTTCAGTTGAGCTCGAACTAAAGCAGCTGGACGACAGACTGATCAGATTATTGGCCTACCAACGTATCCAACAGTTGCTCAGCGCGCCATCGTCTGCAAATAATCTCTTCTCGCCGGCCGCACGCGAAAAATTAAGGCACATGCCGCTGCCGAGCGAGCTGCTGACGCCGGCCGACATCGACAGGATATCGCGGGTGTTTAACAGTCCCAAGAAGAAGACGAAATCCAATCCGGTGATAAGGGCCAGAGCCATGATGTGTCCAGTGGTATCCAAACATTTCTATAATGTGCGTACTACCGAGGTATGTGTTGAACGTTGGAAAATATAACAGGTGTTTAGTTTAAAATCGAACGTTGTACGTTGTTTTCCGCATCCGATCCCCCTGTCATATTTTATTGGAGACGTTTTGTTAACGAGCTTGATTGTTTCAGACGCGCTGTTGAAGGATTTACGAGTGATTTTCTTTGCAGGTTGATCCGACTGAAGTGAGACATGACGCGAGTTTTATGGGATTCCGGCCGACGGTGTCGCTACGTTTCCCCGAAGCCGTAGCCATGAGGTATAGAGTATTAAACATTGGTAAAGGCTCATCGAATGATGTTAATTTAGAAAAGTTTGGTTTTTGCAATAACATCATATCCAAACACGCCGTTATATTCTACGATGAGGTAACTAATAGTACGATTCTAGCGGTTCGGTATTTGCATTGTTTGTTTTTTAGTACACTAAGCATTACGAATTAATAAATTATTCACCCTATGGGACATACGTAAATAATGTACTTTATTCGAACATAATATTCACGAAGCGTCCGGATTACAACATTTCCACTGAGGAAAAAAGTGCCAATATCGAAGTGCAGGTTAGAGAAATCATCGACAAAAAAAGGAAAGTTATTAAACCACGAAAACCGTCGTTGGAAACGAAAATGTCCGCTGTCGATTGCGTGGAAAGGTACAAGTTTATTAAACGCCTTAACCGAACTTTAACTATCTTTTATTTTTAATCTTCCAGATTAGAATGCTGCTGTATTAATAATTCGGAAGAACTGAAAAAGGGCTGGGAAGGTTCAGCCATTTTAAAGCACGGTTCGTTGTTGAGATTTGGATGCGTATCTTTTGTGTTTTCGATAGTTGAAAGTACAAATTAATTAAATTGTAAATATATTTTTTTTAAATTAATTGTAAAGTAACATTTAAGCTTCAGTCAATGACAGTAAAATAAAAGTATTTTTTATTAAAATCATTATTACTTTATCATCAAATTGAGGTACTAAAGAGTATATTAAAGAGGGGATTTTTTTTATTAATAGGTCGTGTGTAAATATCATGGATTACTTTTTTTTGCTTGACTAAACTGTGATCGATTGAGAAAATCCAAGGTAATTTCCAAGAATTCCGCAGGTTTTTCACTGTGCAACCAGTGACCGGCGCCTTCAATGAACTTCATTTCCGAATTGGGAAACAATTTCTGTATCTTCGGAAAATCGCTCTTCCTGAAACGTACAAATTTATCGGTGAAAAAATGCGTTTTTCAGAAATATTAGCAAAATAACTTAAATTATAAAAATACCTCAGTCATTTTCGACAACTTACTGTATATGATCTGATTTCGAGCCGCCAATAAATAAAGTCGGCCCTTCGAATTTAATGTTATGAGTTTGGGGAAATGATGTTATTTTATCGAAATTTTCTAGAATGGCTTTCGTGTTGAACCGCCAACCGTAACTATTTAAAAAAATACAGTTTGAATGGTATAAAATACTGTTTCTTGACTCACGTTACCTTCCATCGTTTTTTTGAACAAGATTAGTGAGTAAAAAACCGATTAATAATCGATTCCTCACCATGTTCATTAGATTATCGCCAACTATCCTTCTGGCGTCTCTCAGCGGTTTATTCGAAGGTATTTGCAAATTCCTCAGGCTTTTAAGTATCGACGGTATAACAGATACTGTCGTACTCGTAGAAATAGGAGAAATATCGACCACCAACAACTTATTAACCATATCTTGCTAAAAATAAATCGCAACGTTTTCAAGACTAATCGAAGCCGCTATCGTTAAATTAAATTACGTATTTAAGGGCGAACAACATGGCCGTTTTGCCGCCCATCGAATGTCCCAAAATGTTCGCCTTCTTTATGTTCATCTTCTCCATGAAGGTCTTCAAGTCCACGGCCATGACGTCGTAATTGTGTTCTTTGTAATGCGGCGAATCGCCGTGGTTTCTCGCATCTACCGCGATCACTTTCGCCTTCGTTTGCTGGTGGATTCTCTTCGACATGCTGTTCCAGTTGCTCTTCGATCCCAGGACTCCATGCAGGATGATCAGAGGAACGGGCGCCGGATGGCTGTCCGAATAAGTGTTGGTCGTTTCGTAGGAATTATAAGCTATGCCCAATGCATTGTTTCGAGGTTTTACCGTGGAATATGCGCATCTCGAATGTACGGTTGATGATAATGTTCTGTTAATACTTTTTACTAAATTTCTCGCATGATGAATTATCATTTCTGATGAGGACAAACTATTAATTTTGATGGGGTTCGATGACGGTTCTGTCGTTAAAAAACTCGCAAACGTCAATTGCAGTTGCCAACCATTCGTTGTAGAAAATGATTTGAGATATTTTTTATTGCAAAAACTCGTTTTGGATACTCACTTTAAATAATCTGATTTGCTGCCTCCGATGAACAACGTGGGACCCGAATATTGAAGATCGTTGAGTATGGGGAATTTCGCTAAGTTGTTAAAATTCGCTAGCAATACAGGTACGTTTATCCTCCATCGAAAACTAAAAATATTGTGAAAATTTGAAATACCAATTATTAAAAACCTCAATTAAATTTGTTTCATTAACTTACGTGCCTTGGCTTTTTTCCACCAAATTTGTAAGCAAAAACGCTCTCAATCCCTTATCCTCTATGGTTTTCGATAACTCCTCGTCTACTATCGCTCGACATGTAGACATCGGAACGTTTGTTGGCAAAACTACACGTTCTAAAGTTTGAAATATACTTGGCATCGTGAATAATTGAGGACTGTCTCTAATAGGGGAGATATCCACTACTATCAACCTCTCAACACACTCCGGCTAAAAAATAAACAAAATAAGCTTCTTTGTCTTCTAACTCTTAACTGAATAAGCGATTTAATAAAACAATTTACTTACATATTTCAACGCAAACAACATCGCAGCTCTGCCGCCCATCGAGTGCCCCATTAAACTCACTCTCGAAGCATATAGTTGATCTATTAAAAACCTTATATCGGACACCATGTGAGCGTATGTGTGGCTGTCAGTATGAGGACTTTCACCGTGATTTCTCACGTCTACCGCTACAATTTTTCGACTGGGACAGCATCTGTCGTTGTAGACTTTACACATGCTGTTCCAATTCGACTTCGAGCCGAATAAACCGTGGATTATCACAAAAGGGGATGAGATACCCCCCTTTCTGAAAGTTGTTTCAAATGTGGCGTAAGCCATATCGATGGGCTCTAAAGTATTCGATGTACTTACACTTGCACATCTTGAAATGAGAAATACTTGTTTGTTATATTGAAATGAAAATAATGCTTTCTTGATTTTTAAAAATAGAGACATTTTTCTATTTGGCAGGTTATGTTATGTTTGTTGCTTGTTGTGGTTCGTGACATTTGACATTTGACACATTGTTGTGACATGTGACTGCGACACTTTTTGACTAAATTTTTTTTATGATTTCTTTACTCAATTAATATTTTAATTTTAAATTTGTAAGTTCATCATTAGTATAAATAAAGTGAGTAAATTTGGAATAATGATTCTGAGACAAAGTAATAATTTTCCTCTTTATTAGGCCTTTTACATTACGGCTAATTTTACACTTGACATTGACAGTGACAAGTAAAAGTAACCGCACAACCGCGATAGGAAAATAGATCATGTGATAAAATGAATGAACAAAAAAAAATGTAAATAATTCAAGGTAAGATTTAATAATTTGTGTTTAAATGATAATAATTAATGACACTCACGTCAGTAAAACATGATAAGGTAGTTGTTAAACCATTCGCGAAATCCGATATTCTGTTACAATGGGAAATTGTTTACTAATATAATTACTACCCACTATGTGTGTAAATTTCCAGGATTTATTGATTTTTATATTTTGCAGCAGCATAAAGTAAACATAAAATGAAGAAAAATTTTCAAACTACAAATTAGAGCGATACAGAAATTTTAATTAACAATAATGGATATAACAGAGTCGTCAACTTCCTTTGAAAATCTCTACCCTGCTTTAACGCAATGTTTTGTAATAATAATATGTGGGTAAGTAAACGATTAACAATGGTTATATTCAATGCTTATTACATTTATTGAATTACTTTAAAGGTATTGTGCGGGAAGATTGAACTGGATCTCAGAAACGGAAGCCAAAGGAATAAATACGTTTATAGGAACTTTTTCTCTACCTTCGTTAATTTTTATGTCGCTCGCAGAAATAGAGCTCGGACAAGTAAATTGGACGTTTCTTTTATCAATCCTGATAGCCAAGAGCATCATATTTTTTTCTGTGATAGTTATAACCCTTTTGGTTGGAAGGCCTTTGAAGCTCGGTAGGGCTGGAATTTTCGCTATTTTCTGCACGCAGAGTAACGACTTCGCTATTGGCTATCCCATAGGTAAAAAACGAGCCTTTCTATCGACAATACCTGCGAATTATTTATTCGTTCTTGTTGCAGTCGCCGCTTTATACAGCAAATCCCATCCGGAGTATGCAACATATCTGTACCTAATGGCTCCGATAAGTCTGGCGATTTTGAATCCCATATCATTCATTCTAATGGAAATCGGCAAGCGTAAAAGAAATAACAACAACTTGGAGGAATTGTTAATAAATGACGGAGAAATAAGCGGCCCGATTAATTTGCACAAGGAGCGATTTAAAATGGCTGTATCTGTGATCAAAAATATATTTTTTAATCCCATTATTTTTATGACTATTTTGGGAGTATTGGGAAATGTTATTTTTAACCACACTGTGCCCATATACCTTGGAGGAACTTTAAAGGTAAGTAAAATTACCAAGTACATAAAGGGTTTTTCAAAAAGGATATAACAGTTTTGAATCTGTATATACATATAAAACACAGAATGCACAGAGTGCACAAGTTACAATTATGTATGGTATTCGAAGTAGTTCATATGATCATCACAAGCAGATAACAGTCGTCGATTCTTTGAATCTAATTTTCATTTGCCCATACAATTTGGTAATCGTTTAATCCCAAGAAATTGTCTAGTCGAATGGCCACCTCACTCATACGATTTGACGCCGTTGGATTTTTCCGGGGGGGGGGGTTGCCTAACAGAAGGTTTAACCCCACCTTTTTCGTGGGGTTACCTAATAGAAGGTTTATGCCAATAATCCAATAAAGTTAGAAAAGCTCATGAAAATATTGAACGCGAAATTGCCTAATCGCTGTTGTCATGCTTGTAGTGGTCATATGAACTACTTTGAATATGATAGATAATTGTAATATATGGAATAAGTTTCAGCCCGATATCTCAATTATTCAGCGTTTTATTTGAATACAAAATTATGTATATATTGTATAATTATTTTTTAGGTATTGGGTTCAGCGTTTTCGGCAAGTGCTTTATTCTTGCTAGGCTTAAGGATGGTCGGGAAGGTTCACAAACTAACAGGCGCCGCTTTAGTTGTACCAGGAATCCTAATAATGGTGAAACTGTAAGGAATAGTGTATCCATCATATCCTTTACAGCGCTTAATTTAAACCGTTTTTAGTCTAGTATTACCGTTAGTAACGAGAGAAGTGATAAGCGCTTTACACGCCGGACACAACGAATCAGAAACAGTAGATCTTAGTACGTACGGGTTCCTCTACGGGACTTTTCCATCGGCTCCCACGGTATTTGTCTTCGCCACGCAGTATTCCATAGACGTCGATTTGGTACTATGAATTACCCTTATTTCACTTTACACGAATTCATGTTGTGTTTATATTCAATTAGATTGCCAGCGCTATGGTGGTTTGCACGTTCGTCAGCGCCCCTCTGATGTTCGTATCAGCCAAGATGATCACCATAACGAACTGCAGCCCTTTAGATTACATCAAGCAACTCGACGCCTTCACGTTGGACATCAGTATACTCGGTTTGGTGGCGAGCACCTGGGTGTTGCTCGTGTTTTTTCTTACCAAAAAAATTCTGAGAGTTCCCCACAAGATGACGGCGGCGTTGGTCGTCTCGCAGGTGGGAGTTTTGCGATGAATCAACTTTGCGAGTGGAGTTTTTAATGAATTTTTCGTTTCAGCTGGTAGGGTGTTTGGGCGCGATTTTGTGGAATACCTTGGAGGAGAAGGAAGGTTGGGCTGGTTACGTGCAGTTTTCTTTGTTCAGTATCGGAGTGTACAGCTCGAGATTGTGGACGATGATCTTAGCCGTGACGTTGCTGTTTTTGCATTGCAGAAGTTTGTGTTTCGTTTTGAAGCTGCAGCCCTTTTTCGTTGCAATCGGATGGGGGTAAAGTTTCTTTTATTCAGTGCTTTTCAACGAAACCGTCTATGAGAAGTTATAGGAGATCCTATATTAGAAGTCTGAAAATTTAGGAGTAAAGGATAATGCCTAAAAATAAAAGGTGATCCATTTGAAATAACAAAGTTATAGCCACTTTAAGTTAGCCAAGTTGTTCAGGTAATTTTAATCGCCCTCTAATTGGACCATTAAAACTCGGTTTAGTTTCATTTAGTACTGTGTCTGAACATTATCGATACCAAATTTCAAACTTCTACGTGCATTATTACCAAAGATATAGAATATACATTCGACCGTTTTTCCAAAAAAAAAATCGAAAAAATTTAAATAACTCAAAAGTAGCGCATTTTTGGCATATACTATGTTGTTATTAACAAAGTCTGGTTAACAAAAGCCTAAGAATCAAAAAATGAAGTCAAAAATGGTATTTTTCATTTGAAATAATGAAGTTGTACAACCGGAATACGCATATGGTTGAAAATATTTTAGAAAAACTCACAACATTGATTACCCTTCACTCCTAAATTTTCAGATTTCTAACTCTTCAGGATCTCCTATAACTTCTAATGGACGGTTTCCTTGAAAAGCATTGTATATCTATACGGTGTCCAGAGACTAACTGTATATTTACATTAAAATTCTAATTGGTAAACATTTCTAGATTTCCAGTACTTGTATCCGCTTTACTTTTGGTATTCGATACCAGCAGCGGAACCACTCCGTTCGAAAAGAGAAATCCCAACTTCGTGTACGGAGCCGCCCAAGCAATCATAGCCGTGTCTCTATTAGTACTCTGTTTCGTAGGTCAGTTACCATAATTTAACCCTAATGCACTAATTATAATCCGATTAATTTACAACAGTCACCGTGGGATGTTTGATACTACACCAAAGATACCACCGTCGATTCGCCCGGTACGTGGACCTTTCTACCGACGTCTTGGACCAGGAGGCTCAATCCACTCCAGAGGCGGAAACCACCACCGACATAGCGTCGGCGTTGAGCCCCAGCGCCAGCTCCAGCTCCGATAGCGGCGTGAGCAGCGTCAAGACGCCGAAATGTTGCGGCCTGCCCACCATAGCCGAAGGCTGCTGCGAGGAGAAAGAGAGTCCGGTCGTCGATATTGAAGATATATTGGGCGATTTCGGGAAAAAAGGAAGCGACGGTAGCACGGAAATTAAAGGATATTTGTCGGTGCTGAGCGAGGAAGGGTAAACAAATTATATGTACTAATCGAATTTGATAAGTGGCCTAATAATAAAGGGTGTTTCAATAAGAGCGCAAGATTTTAAGGTTCAATAAAACAATGTTAGCTGTAGCAAAATATGGAAATATTTATAAATTTATCATGTGTACATTTAGGAATTATGTATGAAACAAAATATTTTGTAAATGGCCGCCACGGCTTTGCTGGCACAAGCGTACTCTTTTGATAATATTTTCAATAGCATTATTGTATACATGTGGCGGTATTTTATTGAGCGAGCGTCTAATTTCGGCTTTCAACGCTTCGGTGGTTGCGGGCATGTTGGCATAAACCTGTGACTACAAGTAACCCCACAGCCAGAAGTCCAAAGGTACTAAATCACAAAAACGTGGCGGCCAATTCTGGTCACCAAACCGGGAAATGGCCCCACCGGGAGTAATGTTTAACAATTGGGGCGCGATTATGTTCCATATCCAGATTCAATGATCCTTTTTTACTAACTCCCAACTGTCAACTTTCGATCTGTCATGTTATAATCACGTGTCATTATGACTGTCAAACATGACAGGCAATTCAAATCTTGCGGTCTTATTGAAACACCCTTAACTATTAAAAAAGGCATTGTATGAGCAGGAATTTAGATCGGTATTTTTATGGTACAATTGATTTTAGGTTGAGTCCATCGACGGACGGATTGTGTCCGACGAGGTACGGCTGTGCGGGACCCAGAAGAGAAATGTGCCAAGGCGTGGTGAGACAGTACCAACAACAAATCGACGACGATCTCGAATTTATCGAAGAAGAACCGGAATCTCACGAACCGCAAATCTTGAGACACATAGTCTTGCTGATATTGCTCTTGTGTTCCATGTTTGTGGTAAGCAACATCCCTTTAATCTCAACATGAATCTAATAATTACATTTATATAATTTTCAGGGTATGTCATTGTCGATTTGGACTTTAGTGATGGAGCAAATGTCCGGCATATACATCGAACTGTCCTTCCTCGATGCCACATTGAATTTCGGCCAAAGCATCATCGTATTCGCGATATTCGGTGTGAATACGAAGGAAATCGTCTTGCCGATGCTGAAGTACTGGCGCAAGCTGTGGTACGGAGCCAATACTCTGGTATTGCCCGCTTGGCACGAGCTCAGTCCTGACACCAAACACATCTGCGATCAATTCGTAACGCACCACTTGCAGAATTGCCGTTTGGCGATCGCCACCGACAAACGGTAAGCTTATTCGGGTAATATCGGGTGTCCCAAAAATAATTGACGTTAAAAATCTATCATAAAGCTAATTTATTTGTTTAGAAAGTAGACATTCTATCCCAAATGCTTTTCTATGGCATACTGATGTACATAGGGGCTCGTAAAAAAATTCGCTGATTACGAAATTCGACCTCTTTTCGATGGCTAAATTAATTTTTGTCCGTAAATCGGAATTAAAAAAAGTAAAATTTTTGACATATTTCTATATACATTGTTTGATTAACGTTTCTCGTTCGTTTGGTTTAAACGGAACTGCACCGAAATGAGAGACTTTTTCGTTATTTAGACAAATTCGTTGTTTTTTAATGAACGAGAATAAAAGAAATTGCAATAATTCGCAAAAATATATGTTTCTTGGTCATTTGTACTTACCAAAAACGGGGAAACAATCAAATTATTTAAAAAAACCTACACTAATGACAGCGGCGATGAACAAACTTCGAACTGTCAAAGTTGTCATTTCCGTTACTATGGGATACTTTGACATTTAATTTGATGTACAGGGTATTTTTTCATTAAGGAAATCAGAAAAATTGATGTACGAAGTGTTTTTTATCTTAAATGAAAATTAATTAAATTTAAAATAACTGTCCTTGCGGGTCTCTGCGGCAGAGCCTATCGTTAATTACAGCGAACAAGTCGGGCGAGACCTTGGAAATAATTATTACATTAATTAACTGTGCAGAGGCCATTATTGCAATTAATAAATAAACTCGAGCTCGCATAGCGGGCAAAAATCAGATATGCAACTGTCTGCCATAGCCCTTCCCGAGCGTTCAGCGATCGAGTTCTAAGGATAATCCCACAGAAAGAAGTCTTATGGTGCCAAATCACATGAGCTTGGTGGCCATTTGACATTACCTTCCTTAGAGATGAATTAAATGATTGTTGTAATAAAAAAGTTCAATTTCACATATTTCTACCCGTTGTTTGATCGTGCACTTTTCCATAACTGAACGTCAATGTTTTCTTATGACACCATATTAAATATCTCTACTCTAGTTTCGTTGCGAAAAAAATGACGGCAAACCTTAAATATCAATTACTTTTGGGACGGCCTTTACAAGAAGATTGTTTCACATTGAACTCTCCAATTAAATATTCTTACTAACTCAGAGGATCTCTTATAGAGCGTTCGTTTCCTCCTCTGAGTTATAATTCTAGATTTATAATTTTTCTTACGTTTTTTTTTTGTATTGCAGATGGCGAATAAAGATTTACAAGAACGTATTCTCTGGCGAAGGGTTCGTGGATTGGTTGATAGAGGTGGGATTGGCTCGGGATCGAGTTGAAGCCGTTAATTACGCGAGGCATCTGATCGAAGGAAAAGTTTTGAGGCACATTAACGGCGTGTATCATTTTTACGACAGAAATCTTTTGTATACGTTCGTTTGAACTTTATTTTAGTTCAAATGTATGTAGTTATATTTTAATTTTTTTTTTGAATCTCATGCTGTATTTCGTCTTAGACCAGAGATTTTGTTTTCAGCTCGTACGTAAACACGTATTAGAAATGATTATCAGTATTAGTTTTTGAATTAATAATAGTTTCAAGAGGTTTCAAATTAGTAATAACAGTAAATGCTTCATAGAACAAGCGTACTATCGCATGGATCAAACCTTGTAATTTTGTGTTTTTTATTTATATTACTTAAACATACTAGGCAAGTTTTAATATTATTGATTTTATTCAACTGTGGGTTGTAATTTTAAGACTTAAATTGTAGTTACCAAAATGTGTAGATTACTATATTTATTTATTTAAATATTTTATTTATATGAATAATCGTTACTAAGTATGCTCAAATTAATCCAGCAGTGAAGTCACGAGAATAACACTCGAATAAACTATTTAAATATCTAAATTATCAAGATTATCTAAAATAAAATGGGATTTTTCATATATTTGAGGCTGTGGTATCATTGCGACATTAACATGAACATACTATATTAATATACTTTTATGATTGTGATAAAACAATTTTAAAGATTGTTCTCAAATTACTAACTTTCGCATACCAAATATATTTGTTTCCTAATGTATTTCATTGATAAATGTACACGATTTGCAAGCTGATTGAATTCAAAAAGCTTTACAATAGTGAGGGTCATTTAGCCATGAAATATTCTATAGTTTCAGAATAATTTTAGCGTAACTATAAGCATTATTGTTGAATATATTTTTATAAATATTCATTGTTAATGTTTGACGTAAGGGCACGATATAAAATTGTTCTCAAAAACGACTTGGCTGATCATAAATGTTTCAAATCAGTTTTGCACTCATTGTTACACCTAGGTTTTGGAAGAACAACATTCTTTATCTAGCTCTAATTTACTATTTAATTTGTGTATAGTCGACAGCCATATGCTATATGCAATATAAAAATAGTCTGAAGTAGACAATATGAAATTTAGAGCCAAAATCTCAATATTTTTTTTCAGATGGGCGTAACATTTTCAAATATCAATTGTACGAGTATAACTACTTCAAAGTTTACACCATCTTTTTTTACCGACAAAAATTTGAGATTTTCAGCTCGGCAGTATACCGCTTACTGTATTAAAATTGTTTGGAGAATCAAATACAAAGTTGAACAAAATTTAAGAACTCATTATTCAAAACCTAAATTTTTAAGTTTCCATTACATTGAACTGGTAATTCCTTCACAGTGGCTTTATTTGCGGAGACGATTCTGAACAAGATCCAAAAATCACTGTATAAAATACAAATAAAAGCCTATCGAGAATTGTCTTCGCAAAGGCTACGTTGTTCATTAAACACTCTCAAATGGATCAGGTTTGTTATATCTCAAAAGACAAGTTCATTAAGAATTCTATAATTGAACAAAAGAAATAAATCCAATTAGATTTTGTTAAAAATCAGTTAAAAAAGTAGCTACTGTCACTGTTTCTATCCGTATATTAGAAATAAAATATAACATCGACAATGTTAAAATTCTTTATTCAAATTACGATTTTATCGTCCCTGTCTCAGGTACACGCAAGTTATGTATGTATACGATTTTAATATCGATTTCTAAAACTACCAAAGTCGAATTGAATAAAAAATCTTGACAAAATAAAATAAAACGTTAAGTCCGTAGGATTATGCAAAATAAAAATTTATTCACCTGCATTAACGAGTTCAATTACTTGTATATAAATGCACATCTTTAGGGGAAATACAACGGAGACCTTTTTCGTTATTTTTTTTTTTTTTTTAGTTAAGCGACGGCGTGATGTTATCACACCAATTTACCTCGATATTTGGCCACTTCGTTTGGAGGACTGTCAACATCGGATTGGACTCGCAAACCGACTTTATATCAGACTCCAACAATATAGCCGAACCGACGTGATATTGAACCTACAAGCGAAAAAAATATGATAATTACAATGATAAGCTGTAGATATTACTGACTGGCTAACTGATTCACTGACTAACAGTATATTTTTTTAAAGAACTAACTTCAACCGTCAACAGTTATACTATACAATTAGATTATCATACTATAGAGATATTACTGATTGGCTGATCAATTCACTGATTAACATATTTTTAAAATTCTGCTTATGGAGAAAATAAGATTCACATATCACAAAGTTTGATCAGATGGGTTTTTAAAGAAAATGGAAAAAATTAAGAGAGTAGCGGGATTGGTTATTATTCTACACAAAATCTTCGTAAAAGGTGTTTTTTATAATTTAAAATAATTCTTCAATACAAGTTTTCAAAACAAAATTGCAATTTTTCTATTTATTCTACAAATGTACCTCCCATCTCCAGACATTTTCCGTCCTTTTAATAAATTCTTTATAAACTTTCCAAATTATTTGCGTGTTATTCAGTTGATTTATTACGTCCCTTATTCACTGTTTCAATGCACTTCTGTTATTTCACAAATTATTTGAATAAGCTCTTTGTTTGACGGATCTTCACAAAAAATGTATATGTGTAATGTCAGGAAACCTAGCCGAATGTTTAAAGGAAAAAATTGGTTCAGATTTGAAAATTTGTACCTATTCAAGCTTTATTTTATTATACTATAGAAACATTTCTTTTATAAAGATTTCATGTAAAATAAACTATACTAGTAGGTACTTTCCTTACATTTGTCACATTTTCTTAATTTAAAAACACCCTGTACATCGGATGTTATATTTTTATACCATATGGGGCATATCAGTTTGCAATATGGTAAATTTTATGAGTTGAACAAAGAAAGATTATTGAAATAACAGTGGTTAGAGTGAGAAAGTTACATTGACACAATATCACTCTTTGTTTTTCCTTTATATCAGCCTAATGGAAGTTGTCTTTATCACACCCATAGCCTATATAACCTATATTGCAAACTAAAATGAACCAATCTGTATGTGAACCTTATTTTCACAATGAACAGATTTTTTTATTAAAAATTACTTTGTCTTAAAATTAATAACTAGGATTTTAATCTGTGGACACACTGTATATCAAATAGACTTACGTGTCCGTTGATGTTACTTCTCGCTAGCCCATTGTAATGACCGAGAGTAAACATATCGGGCGTCGAAGACTCTTCTTTGGGGAAAAATTCGTCCATAAAGGCATTTAAGAGGATTATACCAAGGTTTTCGTTATCTAATTTTTTCTTCATTATATTCACGCTGTAAAAAAATCGTTTATTACTTAACAAGCGAACGTTTGCGAATCAATAAACTTACTATTCCAGTTCGCTTACAAGGTCTAAATTCTTAAGAACGTCTTGTAGCTTATCGGAACTGATAAAATTGTTTCCGTGCGGATCGAAGCTCTTGAACACCCTCCTGGCTTGTTCGCTCTTAGTTTCTGGACTCACCAGTTTGCGTTCGTCGCTAAAAATGACTAAAAAAAGCCGACGTGAAATCGAATATAAACCCGGCATTGATCGCGTTTACCTGTTAAGTGCGTATCTGACGCCACCACCCAAACGGGATGCATGGGATTCTTGTAAAACGAACCGACAGTACAGTACCTGTGGTACTCCATGACCGTTATAAAGCCTATTTGACTCTGCTTCTCGATACCTTTCAATTCTGTAAACAAACAATAATTCGCAGTGAACTGATGAGATTTCCTCCATACACTTACTAAGTCCTCCTACGTCCTCGTAGTGATCCCAAACGTACGTTGTTGCTCGTCCCGTAATGAACAAATTAATAAGGCTTTGGCTACCGTAACCGTACGTTTCGTCGATTAGTGGGTCTTGAGTATCGGAATCCGCTTTGACTCTTTCTAAACCCTGCAAAAAAAGTAGGGTTATTTCGTTCGATTCCTCGGTATGTGATTAGAGCTTACCTTTGAAGCTATCACAGTGTATAAGAACAACAAAATGCCGTACTGTGCTTTTAGATTTGATGTATTTTCCATATAATATTTATTAACGTCATCTAGGCACTGAAAGCTGTGTACTTTTAGTTTCTCGTGAAATTTAGCCGGATCCACGGCTTGTACGGTATTGATGCTTTGAATGCTTGGTCCTGTTACCTCAGCTTCGCTAATCGGTTCACTATTATCACTGTCTAAATACACTATATAATACTTTCTGGCGTTGCATTGTCCAAGTATTTCACAGAGAGCCGTTACTAAAACTCGATTTTGAATTTCTAGATTTATCTGAAACAAGATGTTTGGTGTAATGCGTTTAATAATGAATGCTTGATGGTAGAGTATACCGAATCTCTGAAAGATAAATCTTTGTACTCTAAAAGTAGGCTTTTGATAATGAAGGCTTCCACGGGGGCTATTATGGCACACGGCCCGCCCTCCGTTTGTTCCAAAGCGCTTTTCTCGTTCGAACTAAAATAAAAACCTGAAAAATTCGTCGACATCAGACTCAGTTTGACTTAAGAGCAATCCAAGTTATCTTACCTTGCGACCATCTTTTAAAAATATCTAGTTTGATTTCGTTGCCCCAAAGGAGATGTTTTATACCTAATAATTCTTGTTCAATGGCAGAAGGTAAAGTTTCTGCCATTGTTCAAATTTATTTTTAATTTTTTTACAATAATTATTTAGTGTACATTTAAGGTTATAACAAAATTGACATTTTATTTTGTCAATTGTCAGAATGTGACCAACCTAATTTTTCGACTTCACGTACTACCAACTGTTCAAATCGAAATTCGTGGTAAATCCCATTTATTTTTTTATACTTTATTTATGTAATATTTGTTCAATATTGTAACAGTTAGAAAACATGTATGTTTATTTGTGGAATTGTATCGAATAGTTATGAAACCTAAGCCACACTGCATGTTTTCGAAATTTTCAATTTACTGTCACCATTTATTGAAATAAATGAAAAAGTCGTAAAGAAAAAATATTTCGCAAATAAAAGACACAAGTTCTTTTTGAGATACTGCGTAGATATTGTACCATCTGGCAACAGTGGTGAGTAAAGCACCAATTTCACTCTCTGGAAACGTTGCCAGCTCTACCAAAAAATCACCAAACTCGACAAATTTTGATTAATTCCAATGCTAAAGTAACAACATTAATTTCTGGGCGAAAAACGAATGTGGAAATTACCTAACGATAATATGGAACTTGCTAACCGGCAGAATAAATCGATAACTACCAAAATATTATCAATTAGACAGCAAGTATCGTTTGAGGACTTCTGACCTCTCGCTCGTTCACAGCGCACTTGATAAACAGAAACGGGGCTACGCTAGCACCGCAACAAAAAAATTTTTACACATTCGCATCGGGCCAATTTACGACGCCGAGGTTTTATTAGTGTCGCACGTCGAAAACATCGTCGAATCAAATCGATTTTCCACGATTCGACGATAGAAAACGCGCGGCGGTGCTAAAAGATGGCCGAGAGTCCGAAGAAACAGCGAAAGAGCAATTTTTCCCAGGAGGAAATCGAGACTATCGTGCGAGCGGTGCGCGAGAATTACGACACCCTGTACGGCACGTACGCCAAAAAGGCCGTTAACAAGAGCGCCAGGCACAAGGTCTGGTCGGAGGTGACCAAGGAAGTCAACCAGGTCTCCTACGAGAAGAGGACCTTGCAGGAGGTGAAAAACAAATGGAAGAAATGCCAGCACTTGTACCGTATGGACGATGCCTTCAACGATAACAGCAGTAATTTGGATGCACCAAATTAATTTCCCAACTTAATAAATTGTTATTTTCTAGTTCCAGATTCTCAGAACGTTTGGGAACCCCTGACAGAACTCGATGATGATGAAGGTTGGTTAATTGCAAATTGCAAGGTTACTCGACTAGGAGGATGTCTCTTCCGGTTAAACGTCACAGAAATAGAAAATTCAAACGGAAAAATCACCGGCGAACTGTTGTTACGTCATATGTAAACGAGTATGAGACAACCTCCAGACGTTTTGCAACCTTGACTTTCTTGAGTATTGACATTTTTTTTACCTGTGTTGCCATTGTGGAATTTTTAAATATTACGTTTATTTAATTCGCCTAAATTGCGTAATTTTCATTACAATCTTAAATTTAACTAACGCTTTATGCTGTCATCTATTATTTTCTTAAATACAATTGAATATAAATCCATAATTTCCTCGCATTCTTGGTAACGTGGCAACAACGCGCGCGACAATAACTTTTCCCTACGTAATACAAAAGAGAGGTTAGGAGAAACGTCAAATAAAAATTCATTATCCAACCTGGTGTTTGTGTTTGTTATATTTCACAACAAAACGACAATTATAAATTAAACGTTACAAAAATACAAGAATTTTAACTCGACCTGCAATTGATCGACACGACGATTATCCGATAATCGACCATCATGAGGTTGAAAACGAGAAGTAAAATGAAAACATGCAAGAAATCCTTGCACGAGAAAACTTACTATGATATCGAATACAAAAGATCGGTGGTGTCTTGCGCCGAGGAAATCGGCAATTTGGAGACCAGCAGGAAATTCGGAATTTCCTTAACGAACGTTAAGCGTTGGAGAACTAAAAAAAACTTGCAACCGGAAGAAACCCTTATAAAAGATATAGGTATTAATTAACGCATTTCCAAATATTATCCAAGCCTTATCCATTCTTGTATTGTCATCTGAATTGTATACATTTTTAGATTCTATGCCGCTAGAGCAACGTCTTAGGGCCGCACCTCCTGACCAATCGGAACCTGCAGAACAGGTGCTACAAAGCCAACCGCTGTCTCCTACCAAATTAAAAGTCACCCGACAGGCGAAGCCTCCTCAACTATCACCTCTATCTCCCTCATTGTCCACCCAAACCGAAGAAATTTGCCTCAAATGGAACAGCCATCATTCGAATATGCAAAACACGTTTCCCAACTTGCTGCTCCGCGAGCAATACGTCGACGCCACCCTAGTAGCCGAAGGACAGACATTAAAATGCCATAAAGTACGCCAATCTATTAAACACAACAACCGAGTTTTAATCGCAAAATTTATCATTTACAGATCATTTTATCTTCGTGCAGTCCATATTTCGAAGAAGTATTGGCCGGCATCAGCCCTTATCAACACCCGGTGCTCTTCATGAAGGACGTGTCCTTTTGGGCTTTGAAAGCCCTGTGCGATTTCATGTACGCCGGAGAAGTGAACATTCTACAGACCAAGCTGGAAGATCTGCTGGCCGTTGCTGAAAATTTAAAAGTATGATATACTGAATCCGGGAGATTGCTCACATATTCCGGGACATCCTGTTTCATTTACTCGCTTACATTGACTTTTTTTTTTAGATAAAAGGTTTGGCTTGTCACACGCAGATGAACAACTCGGACGTTAAAATGGAGGTGCAGAGAGTGATCAAAGAAGAAATGCAGGATGAAGGGAAATCTCACGAACGGGAGTTGAGAAGGAAGGATGACAGAGAGTCGAATAGAAGGGCCGACAAGGACGCGAAGAAGGAATTGAGAAAGAAAGAGGAGAGGGAGATAAAGAAAAAGGAGGAGAAGGATTTGAGGTTCGCCGAGTTGAGGACCTTAAGGCGAAGAGAGGAATCTAAAAGGAAAGAGGAGAAAGACGCGAAGGATAAGAGAAGATCGTTGCTGTCGTCGGAAATGCCCGTTTTGAAAAACGCCAGATCGACAAAGGTGGCTGCTCAATCGGAAATGCCTAATTTAAAATCGGCGAGGCCACTAAAAACTTACACGAAGAGAGCGGAGAGGAGAGCGATGGAAAGAGAAAAATTAGACAAGTCTAATCAATCTAAGGAATTCCTCTCGCCGTTGTTAGATCTTCTAGAACCTGTATACGAAGAAATCGAAAATGATGTAAAACCCATTAAGTCACTCCTAACTAAAGACACCAAGAATGTGCACGTTCGTCAGAGAAGAATGAAAAAAAGAAAGTTGATAGAAGAAAAAGAAGAGGTGAGTTAATAGTCTAACGATCTAATTTTCTACTTATTTATTTTCCTTATAGTCTCCTCCTCCGGTTTTCATGCGCAGAGGCACCCGGTCTCGTCCGAACAGGAAAATTCCGAAGCTCTTTCATCCGCCCGACGAGCAATCGACCATCGTCAGAGAACCGCACACCGATCCGCTGATGAACCTGCAATGCATCAAATCGGAGCCACTCTACGACGATTCCATCGACATCGAAGACAACTTAGTGGGTTTCAGCGAGTCCTCGATGTCCATAGATCACCTCATAGGAGGCTACGATCAGTCCCCGTTCACCGGGTTATCCCCGCCGGCGTCCAATAGATGTTTGGACAACGAGCTGCAGCCTATTATATTAGACGTACAAAGCATCGCTAACAAACCGGACGATTCCTCGATCAGTGGTTTAAGAGACTCGAAGCTGTCCGATCCCTTGGAGGATCCGCTGATTCTGAATAACTGCAACGTCGAGGACGCCGATTTGGGTTTTCGCATAAGCGAAGTGGTGACGGAGAAAGACGAGAATTTAGGGTTTCAGATAACCAGCGTGGTGAGCGAACAGGATAGCAATGCTCATTTCGTGGATATCGAAGAAGCCAAAGGAAATAGTTCACATCTTGAAAACGATGATAGTCCGGTTACACCTACTTTTTATATGGACGTAACGAGGCAATCGAATGATTTCGATATGCAACCCACTATTCTCATCGAAAGATCAGTACTAGAAAATTCCGGTGCATTGCAAACTAATAGCGCAATTGAAGAGAAGCCTATAGAAGAAAATATCGACTCGGCTGTGAATCCAGACGAAGCAAGTCCTGATAACAATTTAGAAAGTGCAGATAAAATTTTATCTGTAGCAATAGAAGAAAATGATGTAAATTTGGAACCGAACATTTCAAATGAACCTCCAGAGGTCAATTGCATATCAAACAATACGAATATAAACGAAGCAAATGTTGATGACATCGAAGAAACTAATTCCAACGTTGTTTGTACAAATGTAAATAATATACCTGATAATGAAGAACATTCTTCAAACGCAATCGAGGGAGAAATTGTACCTGGAACAAACGCGGTACAAGAAGATACCGCGGACGTTCTTCGCGATGTAACTGATATTACAGCAAATACGCCCGGTGAAAATTCAAACGATTCGCCAGAGAATCGCGCAGAGGAAGCGAGCAGCTCGGATCAACCGGGTTTCCATATTGCTCAGGTCGTTAGCGATCAAATCGCCGAAATCGGCAGCAACCGATCATCGGATGAATATCAAAATGATTCCGAATCTTGCCAGAAGAACTACAATGAATTGGAGTCCATTGTGAACGATTTATCGATGATAGTCAACGATTCGTGCAGCGGCTTGGATGATGCGAATTTAACGACGGATTCGCTCGAGCATCTTCTGAATAAGTAATGAGTATTTTTTTAGAAACCTTGAATTGGAGGCGACAAATGATTCCAAAGTACACTGGCTGCGCTCCTTTACTAACAGAAATGTAGATATCTGGATAGATGTGTAAATTCTCCATCTTCTACAACTCAACCAGATATTCCTTTGTGCCAAAAGTTTGGAACTATTTGAATCACTAAAGCAGCACGGGATTTTTTATACATCACTCGGATTATTAAGACTGACATTTGCATCTCCAATTAAGGGTTTGTAAAACGGTCTTGAATTTATTCTATTTATTTACAAATAGTTATTAGGGCTTAGACGTCTGTACTAATTAAGATACTTTATTTTTTATTGGTGCCTGTAAATATTTTGTTATTTTTTTGGTATGTAACTATTCAGCCTAGTATTGTTTTTTATTTATACAATAAAGGTATTAGTCGAAAACCGTTATCGACCAATTAGACTAACTTAAATCAGACATACGAGGTTAATTGGATCATATAAACAGTTTGATTTAACATCGAATATTTTATTGTACCATCTTTAACAAATGTTTGTAGCAACGCGGCAGTTTTTCATCATTACAAAATATTAGCTGGCTAAATAGGAATGACAAATATAAATTTTTCTAAAAAATTTCAACATTTAAAAATTAACAAAAAGAAAAAAAAAACAAATTAAAACATTTCAATATATTATTTGATTTAAATATGTAACAAAAAAGTGTATACACAAAAAAAAACTAAAAAATATCTATTAAAAAATATACCCCTATTGTATCAAGAAGTTCTCATCAGTTTTGTCGGCTTATGTGATGACGGTGGGAGCATCACGACCGGTAAATTGTTTCAATTGAGATATCTCCAAACCGATGTTAACCAGAGGTTTTAACATTTCCTAAAAAAATAACGGCATAAAAAACGTGCAATAAAATCGCTAGCAAATTTATTACTTGTGCATCAGATAGTACATCCTTCTTTTCGTAGCTGTCAATATAAACTCTAATAGTAGCACCGCTACTTCCAGTACCGGATAGCCTGTAGACTAGTCGTGAGCCGTCATCAAATAGGACACGAACACCCTATAGAGCATCAAAATTAAATAATCGAAAATAAACTAATTGCTAAGTATTTACTTGGTTTTTAGTAACGCTGTGATCAATAGGATCCACGTAGGAAAAGTTGTCCATTTTAGCTACCTTGTAGCTTTTACCATTAGAACTGAACGATTTCCCAATCAAACCGTCGGTAGCGATGAAATTTTCCAAGTGCTTCATCATTTTATCGGCCGCGTCGCTTTCGACCTCTTCGTAATCGTACCTGATTTGTTGAAGTTTTAAAAAATAGCTTTAAAAATAAAGTGTAAACGTAAACGCACTAACCTCGTAAAGTAGTTCCTTCCGTAAATGTTCCAATGCTCCTTCAAAATATCCTCTATGCTCATGTTTTTATGTTCGATGATCGACAACCATGCTAGTACGGCCCAAATTCCGTCTTTTTCTCGGATATGATCGGAACCGGTACTGAAATACGACAGTAAAAAACTTTGTTTTATAAAGATTTTAAAAGCTACTCACCCGAAACTCTCCTCTCCGCATAGCGACAATCTTCCGGCGTCCATCAAATTTCCGAAGAACTTCCAACCTGTCGGTACCTCAAACATTTCCTTGCCCAATTTCTCAGCAACTCTAAATTAACGAGGCTGTTTTATTGTTCGTAACAGTGCGTCGCAAAATAGATGCAATGGTAGGTGTAATGTATTAAAAAATATACAGGTTGTCTCGTGACTCGATGGATATAGCTTAGGAAATGTCTTATACACTTTTGTCCATTTTCGACATAAAATTGAGCTATGTCCAACGAGTAACTGGACACCTTGTGTTATAAAGAACCTAATGTAACAATTATTCTAGAGTTTGAAGACATGTTTAGTCCTGTACACCTATAATTCTGTCCATTTTGAGGCACATTTGTAAGCTGTTAATTTTGAGATAAATAAATTGTACCTGTCTACAGCTGCTGCAGTAGGCATGGATCTTGCAAAACCGCGTACGCCGTGCTTTTTGAAGTACGGAATGCATTCCAAATTGTTCGCAATAACGGCCAAACTGTCGCTGGGAGTGACGAAGAAAGCGTTTTTGCCTATAATCATGTTACGGTCCTGAAACAATAGACTGTATTTATAAAAAGAAGCACAACCTTTTGCTTCAAAAAAATGAAGGAATTGCTTCAAGGTATATGGGTAAAAAGAAGAGAAGGAAGAGAGATTTTGCTTCGAGGACCCTGCTGTTGCTTTAAAGCAAAAGGTTTTGTGGTTTTAAAATCTTTGTATAAGGTTTTAGAATCTTTTTCTCTAATTTTTTGCCTCTACCTTTTATGCAAAGTAAATGCTTCATTTTTATAAATATGGACTAATAGGTATTATTCAAACCGTACCGTCCTGTTACAACTTATGGGGTATCTCATGATTATCTAAAACCATAGATTTCCACGTGGAGATAGTTGATCATATTTGGACATAAGAGTACTTAGAGTTACTCAAGAGAAGTCATTCTTTATAAAAAAATCTCTGCTTTGTGAAAGAAATAAGTCTGTCTTAATAAAATCTGGAATCTGAACTGCAGGGATACACTAGTATGTGTAGTTTAAAACCGATTCACTCACCCCGTCTCCATCGAAGGCTACGCCCATATCATAAGCAGGATTGGCTTGGATCTTATCGACCAAATCTTTGGCGTACACGAGATTGGGATCCGGGTGAATTTCGCCGAAATTGTCTAAAGGTACGATTCTAAAAACATTATTGTCTGGACTAGCACCCAGTTCTTCGACGAATATGCGTCTAACGTAGACTCCAGTAACTGAAGAAAAAAAAAAGATTAATACCATTTTCAACTGCCAACTTACATTTGGTGAAGTATAGTATGATTTTGGAATATTCTATCCACATATTTATTATATACATACCTCCATTCATCGAATCGATAAGTACATTGAACGCCGCACGTTGTTCGGTACCGCGAATGAGCGTTCTAAGTTTCTTGAAATCGAAAATTTCCTTCATAAGCTTCACATAATCCGCCGTGGAATCAATCACTTCCACTACGAAATCGCGACCGTCGACCTACAATTTTTTTTACATAAATAATAATCATGAATGAAAACTTTACCTATGGATAATTACATTGAATGTGTTGGTTCCCAAGACATCGATAAGCCTGTCAGTTTCCAATTTAGGGGTGAATTTGTAGGAGGTGATCTTCTTGGTGTGTTCATAGACGTCGTTGGTGAAATGAGTGGGCGCCGGTCCTCCATTTTCGATGTTGTATTTTATGCCGAAATCGTGCCTGATGCCGCCCGGATTATGGGAAGCGGTGAGAACGATACCGCCTGTAAACGAAGAAAAGGCCCAAAGGAATTAGAAAATTATATTACAGAGTGTTGATTAATTGAGTGCAGATACTTCAGGATGTGAATATTTGGATGATTTTAAGAAGAGAAGTTTATATCAATGTATGTCCTAAACATCTTAGTTTTCGAGCTACAAGGTGTTACAGTTTTAGAAAAAAAAATTTGTTCACATTTTTTAATTATTAAGGAGCATATTTTGAGACAAAAGATTTTTTTTATTTTTAGCCGTGACGTCCGTACGAGGTTTGAACTGAATATGTTTGAAGAAAAAATGATACGCCACTAATTTTTTCTAAAAACCATTATTTTTTAATTCTCATTTATTTTGGAGCAAATTCTGTCCGAACTCTTACTTTCGTACAACATACCATTTTCGCGTATAAAAATAAAAACCAAAACAATTTTTTCCCATGTGTTGAGACTGCTTTTGATATTTTGTTGAAATTTAGTAGTCGCCCACCATGCATGGAAACACTTTTTTGGGGACAAAAATTTATTTTCTACTATTACCAGTGACGTATACGTCCGAAATTTCATAAAAATATCTGGAGTAATAACGAAGATTATGATAGAAAATATATTTTTTCTCCCGGTAGCTCGTAAACTAAGAGGTTCAGGACATACATTGATATAGAGTTTTCTTAGTTCTGAAGTATCGGCACTCAATTAATTAACACCCTGTATAAATTGATAGACTTCATCAACATGATCCCAACGGAGAATTACCTAGGACTTTTTGATTTCTGATCAAATTGGAAACCGCCGGGGTGGAGAGTAAACCGAGTTGTCCTATGATTAATTTTGATACCTAAAGATAAAAAAAATTGTACAATTACTATATAGAATATAATTTATAGTATGCAATTTCCTTATCTAAAAACCCATCCGTGATAAAAGGATTGCTTTATATGTTACATAAGATTAAAAGTACAAACGGGAGTATTCGAAAAATAAAATTTAATATAGAAAAACATAAATAATGCTAAAGGTCATTTCATGACAAATTTTACCACTATATTAATAACTAATTGATAAAATCAATAATTATGAAAGTGCGATATGTCTTGGTATTTTCAGATTTTTATCCCAAATGATTGATAACCTTTGAAATTTTTGGAGGATAATCGACTGTGAAGTGCGCACAATATCGAAATACCCACTCGAGTTGAAGCCGAAAAAGTGGAGGAATATATTGCAAAAATATTACAAATAAAATGCAATCCTCTATAAAATAATCAATGTGATTGAATTACCTAATAGCTGCATTGTGCATTGTTAATTTTTTTTATTGAAAAATACACTCTTCAAACATATTCTAATCTAAAGTGCTTATTCATTAAAAAAAATCTAAAGGTAAATACTCAGATATGCATCTAAAACGATTGAAAAGCTTTTAAAATTGTAATAAAACTACTTCTTAAATTATTATCAAAAGCGGTTCATCTTATTGCAATTCACTTACATTTTTTTTATCAATTTTTAAATTCAAATATTCCTTTGTTTTATCAATTATTGTTTTTAGCAAAATCACGTCAAGTCATTAAAATTTTAAGTCGATCCTTCTAAAGTTTATAAAAGAATCCCAAAAGTTTTTTGTACCCAACTAAAAAGTAAATATTTGCTGTATTTGTTAAATATTTAAGATCCTTATAAAGTTAATGTCTCTTGTGGAAAATATTTTTTGGAGTTCAACAAAATCATGGACTGTAAATGTAAATTTCTGAGTTTTCATAAAACAAACTAAATACTAATTCCTCAGTTATTGCGTTGTATTTTACTAAGTAAGTATTTTACTAGGAAAACCCACTTAATGTCATTGAAAACAAATATTTTTATAAATTATACTACACAATGTAAAAATTCAATAATGGAAAAATTAAACAAACGTAAAATTTTCGAAGCAGATTATTAGCATTTTATCACAACACTGGCAATTAAGCCGAATTAATTACCATAATAACCTCAAACAAACTAAAAATATGAAATCATATTATCTTATACACGACGATTCGATAAATACAATTACTCGAATCGAACAAAATCCTTACCCCATTAGCAGAAGCGATTCTAATGATGGTATTAATGGCTTGCTTGGAGAAATATCTACCATCGCCTCCTACGATCAACGTGGAACCAACAATTTTGTCTCCGAGGGTGTTAAGAATGCATTGAATGAAATTCTCCGTGTAATGCTTCTCCATGAATACTTTGACCTTTTTCCTTAAGCCGCTCGTCCCGGCGTTCTGGCCCTCGAAGGGCTTCGTCTCGACAATCACTGAGGCAAGGGACATGGCGAATTTCTAATTCTATTTCTTCCGAACTGAAAAGTCTGAAGGAATTAAACGAGTCGATTATAAGTTGTACGTAATAGTGCGGATTAGATGGTGTCTCGCAAACTGAACATCTATTGGAGACCCGTCCATTTATCTTATCGTTTTTATTTATTGTTTTCTTATTTATTACTTAAAAAAGTGGGGTTAGGAAACGTTGCGTGGAAATAATCCGATCGATAAGCTTACCTTGATGAGTCGATGTAATTAATTTGAGTTATGTGTGGGATGTGTAACTGATTTTTTGGAGTGGATGAAGCAGTACCCAGTTCACAAGAATTTCACTTTTATTTTATTTTGAACACCTCAATGGCCCAATGTCATTGGTAGGTCGCCTTGTGCGCAGCACCCTTTTGCAGCGTTGCCAGCTGCACCTCGATTTACACATTACTTATTGATAATTCGCTAAAATTTCGTACTTTCCTTTATATTCGAAGGAACAAATCAAGTTAGCAACGATATATTGAGGGTGGAGAATGAATATGATTTGCGAAATTTAGTTACTATAGATATTTATGATTATTAAAACAATCTGAAATAATTTGCGCTGTTAAAATTCGTTATATTAAAAGTAAAATTGTAAGACTTGGCAACTGCGTTATATTTTGACATGTGTATGATGAAAACAAAAATTTCGCTGTGGCTACGTTTACGTAGGACGGCAAACGAAGTTTTAACGGTACTTTAGGCACAACTCCGGTGCGATATTTTTCGAAATTCAATAATTGTTTCGTCGTTCAAGTATATTTAAATACTTTGACAGGTGTCTTTTGCAAAACTGAAACTAGCTGTGAACATGTCTTACAAAAATTGCAAATATTTGTCCATTAAAATTTTTTTCTCCTACAGTTTCCGAGATCCCTATCTGTATTAAACATTGAAAAAAACTCACCCTGTATAATTCTGGTACTTCCGTAATTCTCGATAAATTGAACTAATTAGCTGTTGTTCCGTACATATTATACTAGTGAAATCTTTTCACTTGCTTGAAAATAGGTGTATTTACGTTTGAATAAATATATATCTACTGGTACTTCCCCAATTCTCGGTAAATTGAATTACTTACATGCTGTTCTATGCAATAGCAGTAAAATTTTTTGCTTAATGAGGGGTCAATTTTCAAAATCTTGCTGTTCTATCTAGTTTGTAATAAATACTTTACCGTATGTCCGAATTATTTCGCTGCAAGTATTAGAATTAGAATCTAAATCAATACTATAAGATAGTAAAGAACAGAAACTTGTTTAACGGTTGCCGGCCGATATTAGAATTCGTAAATTCGCTTTGCTTATAACAATATTCATATTTTATTCATATTTAATTCCTCACAATAAAAGAGCGATTTTGCTTTCATAACGAAGCACCCAGTATACACAAACAATACACTGGCACTCCAAAAATTGCGCACATTATTATTACCAACATTTTACATTTAGGTAAATATTATATTTTCAATGAAACACACTGTATACAGGGTATACCACGGTCGATGGCAGGTTAGGCGTTTAGGGAAAACGGAGCGTACGATTGTCGTGAAAATTTGGTTATTTAGGTAATTGGTCCTGCTCTATCGATTTAAAATATTTTCAACGCTGCGGCGTTGCCACTTCTATCGAAAAGTAGCAGCAACTTTGTTATTTTAAATGAGACACCCTGTATATTTTTACATTTTTTGCTCCGCTATTGCTTTCCGATTATTTTTGTATAATACTTCCCTATACCTATCTTTAGCGCTTTTCGAGAAATTCATTATTTTATTTAATTTTTTATTCAAAACATAGCTCTATTTAAATGTTGATTACTGCGTTAATTAGATTAGGAGAAAGCTGAAATTTTGGGATTAGCTTAGAGATGCATTAGGTATTAGTTCGCTATAATCGATTTTTTATTTATTTATACAGGGTTGTTCAAAAATTGTCATTTTATCGCTAGATATACAAATGCTAATAAGTTCATTTTTTTAAATGGGACACCCGGTATATTTTTAAATATTCAAAAAGATAATTAAATTCTCTTTCAAATGGTATATCATGTTCCTATACCTAAATAATCAGGTTTCCGAAATAAAAGCAAATTTCTATAAAAATCTGATTATTTTGGGAATTTGTATTAGGTAGCTGTGAAATCATGAAATGTCATCAAATTTGACATTTAATGGACATTTAATGTAAGGAAATAATTATTCAAATGAAGTTCCTATGAATTTATTTATTCTTCATGGACAATGTGACAAAATTATAGCTAGAACATGCAGAGAGTTCAATGTAATGTATCCGAATTTACAACCAATGAACGAAAAAAAGTTTGTAAGATTGCTTAAGAATTTCGCTAATTATGGATCAAAACTGAGAGAGACGAAAACATGTCAGTTATAAACATAAAAATAAATAAATAAACATAAAAATAATAACAATAAGAAGTACAAAAAAACCTTCATTTGAACTTCATTTGAATAATTATTTCATTCCATTTCAATTGTTTTTAGTTTAAATACTTATGTAGAACAGACGTTTTATTATTTATAACTAATTGGCACTAAATGTCAAATTTGGATGACATTTCATGATTTCACAGCTACCTAATACAAATTCCCAAAATAATCAGATTTTTATAGAAATTTGCTTTTATTTCGGAAACCTGATTATTTAGGTATAGGAACATGATATACCATTTGAAAGAGAATTTAATTATCTTTTTGAATATTTAAAAATATACCGGGTGTCCCATTTAAAAAAATGAACTTATTAGCATTTGTATATCTAGCGATAAAATGACAATTTTTGAACAACCCTGTATAAATAAATAAAAAATCGATTATAGCGAACTAATACCTAATGCATCTCTAAGCTAATCCCAAAATTTCAGCTTTCTCCTAATCTAATTAACGCAGTAATCAACATTTAAATAGAGCTATGTTTTGAATAAAAAATTAAATAAAATAATGAATTTCTCGAAAAGCGCTAAAGATAGGTATAGGGAAGTATTATACAAAAATAATCGGAAAGCAATAGCGGAGCAAAAAATGTAAAAATATACAGGGTGTCTCATTTAAAATAACAAAGTTGCTGCTACTTTTCGATAGAAGTGGCAACGCCGCAGCGTTGAAAATATTTTAAATCGATAGAGCAGGACCAATTACCTAAATAACCAAATTTTCACTACAATCGTACTCTCCGTTTTCCCTAAACGCCTAACCTGCCATCGACCGTGGTATACCCTGTATACAATAATTAAAAACTTCCCTCATTCACCGCTATAGGAATTCCAGTGTGGTTTGTAATAATTTTTTTACGAAACGTTTAAAACACATGGTACACAATACTTACCAGATGCTAAAGTTCTTCGAATAAAATCCACTCTAGTTGTCTCGTTTTGTCTCGAAAAATCACATGATACTCTCTCGCCTCATGTATGTAATTTTTTGATCGTGTCGTATTACATACGTAATTGTGTTCAGGTTTGGACTCGAAATTTAGAGGCAAAAATAATAAATTTTAAATTTAAAGACGAGCCAAAAAACTAAATAATAAAGTCTAGGTTTTCTTAGAATAGAATAAAGAAAATAGAAGGACTATGGGTACATTTTTTTTACTTCAATTTAGCGCTAATTTAACTAAACACAGTTTTTTTAGTTTTTATAATTTGGTATTGTTTAGTTACAATTGGAAGTGGAAATTGGTCCAAAAAAATAAATATTTCATTTAACTTTTGTCACTTTTTCCGAAATTATGTTGCTGGAATTGACGAGATATCTTGTTGGGATTTAATTTTAATTCAGTTATAAATAATTCATATAAAACAAAGGGGACAAACAGCCTAAATCTCTTATGATTTGCACCAGGTGAAATTGGATGCGACCCTGCAACATTATTTTGAACTAACGACCATATGATAAAGAGATCAGACAGTTTTTTGCTATTAGATCCTCCTTTTAATTCCCATTCTTAATATAGTGTTAACTATTAAGTGAGTCTGTCGTGGCAGAACATTCAAAGGGATTTTGAAATAGCGCCTTTTCGGAATTAACTACCCGCTACGACACGTAAGTAATCCGCCTTTTAATCAAACAAATCGCGCAGAAAAATTAAAAATAACCGGCCGATAATAATTCAGATTCCTGCCGGTAATTAGAAAAAAATTAACGCAACCGAGCAAATCTACATTGTTAATTTTTTCGAACGGAACGTCGACAAAACGGGCACGATAACGAAAATCTGTGGTACGGTTTTTGCAGATAAGTTTACCGAAAACGGAAGTGGTGTTACTTAGGATTTTATCGCCCGTTGAGGCATGTTTGTATCGAATGCCTTCGAAAGGATCGAGAAATTTTAGAGCGATAACAGAAAAAAAATTAATTGAGTGGATAAGCCGCAATTATAATTTAGGTTGAACGGATTTGACCGGGAACTAACTAATAAGTAGAGATTATTAAATTTACCTCAATTACTATTCTCTATACAATGAAATTTTTACCTGGCACAAATATAATCATCCAGGCGTTTCTCCAATAACAGTAGTAGGTAACCTAAATGGCACATTTGTAATCAATTCTATTGCAGCAATGATCTTAAGTAATCTTCCGGTATTGAGAAATTTACTTCAAATTACGACATATACCAAAAAAAACGTAGATAAAAGCTGCAATATCTACGTGAATTTGCGGTTCCATTATAAATTATTTCTGTTCGCTGGCGACCAAGATATTTTTCCCTTATCGCTTTGACCATATTTCCTCTGTCACGCCCCGCGTTGTTCGTTATAAATACGAAAAATCTCGTTTAATTTATTTATTTCCTGTTCGAGTTCCGAGAGCATTGTTACCATAAGATGAAGTCTTCGAAAAAAACAATGATACAAGCATAGCTTGATTAGCAAAAGTGTTTGGTGTTGTTGCAGAATAGATAGTAAGGTAAATTATGAGATAAAAATAAAGGTGAATGGAAGAAGAAGAAGACACGTCCTCGATGGATAATTTCAACTTTTTGCTGTAGGGCTCGTCAAAGGGTAACTGGCGTATTTATTAAACTGCTAGCTGCCTTTTGAAGGGCAATATTGCAAGGGTTAAAAGCACCAATATTATCCAATAACTATTAGGTAACATTTTAAATGAATTGTACTAATACTGTAAAATAAATTGTATAATATAATTTAACATTTTCTGTGTGTTTAGTGGTCAAAATTAATAACTCACCATATACGAACAATATAGAATATATTTAATACAAAACAATAAATAAATTAAACTTAAACATGTAACATTTTACATAGGATTTTTAGTCAGTTGAAATACAAACCAAGGGGTTATCACATCGTGCATCACGAAAGGAAAAATTTGCTAGTATATATTTTAGTAGTATTTTTTTTCTTAAAATAAAATGTTTTAAAATAGTAAAAATATTTGTTCCCTAAGCGTAAATCAAATTAATTACAGTCGTGTTATTAAAGAAACTAAAACTTTAAAACTCAAAACTTGTCGAAAGAGTACACAAGTTAAATTCTTCAAGTTAAATTGTTCGCGATAAACTTTAGGTAGAAAAATACTGACGTTTGTAACATGCAAGTAAAAAATTAAAATATTTACACTTGAACTTTGTTTTCACATCGAAATAATACTATCCAGAGGTATAAGTAATTTAAAAAAATGGAGATCTTAGAACTCATAAATTTGAGCACCTTTGTTACATAAAAAAAAACATATCAATCGATAAAAAAAAGTACAAGTCATACTATTAGAGCCTCAAAAGGCCCAAACATTTATACGTACAAGGCCAAAAAACTTGTAACGCCAATCAAAGAAAAATACAGGTTGTCCCGCATAAGAACCCACACTGAGCAGGGCGTGTAGGGGAACCTAAAAATGTAGTTTACACAACTTTTGAATTATCGACGATTTTAAGTAACATTGATAGTTTACTTGACTTTATTTTTTTAGCGTTTTTCATCAAAACGACAAAGAATTTTAAAAAACAAAAAGAATAAAAAAGTTTTAAATCTATGAAATGAACTAATAATTTGTCAAATCATCTATCAGGTAATACATTCTGTAACATTTTAAAGGAGTATTATCCCTAATGAACCCTTTAAAATAGATCAATTTATCTCTCCTAGCTATCGATTAATGCTCCTAGTACACTCATAACGTATACCAAATTTAGTTACTTTAAGTTTAAATATTAGAAGGCCACTTAGAAGACCGAAAACTTCTCAGGAATGTAAGTTTGTATTAACTTAAGTTGGTTCAAACCACGTATTTTAGGCTCCCTTACATATCCCAGCTCTGTGTCGGTTCTTATACGTGGGACACCCTGTATTTTAAAATCAACAGAAGAAGGTGAATTAAGTTTTTGTTCCTTTTGCATATTAATGGCTATTACACCTTCACAAACAAGTCAAAAAAATAGGCCGAAACGGACTAGATAAACATCCTAGAACACAATATAATAGACTACAAATAAAATGTACCTTATCATTAGTACCAAGCACGCAGAATTGTTCATGCCGAAGCCGGTGGAGTCGGGCGACTGCTGCCTTCAATCAACTTCAACGCGACCAATTCGATAATTTGCAAAACGACGTCCATATTTATTTTCTTCACTTGTAAAGATGATACTAATAGAGAGAACACTTTGGTGAGATCTTTCTTATCTAGGAAAAGTTTAACGGAATCTGCAAATGCGAGATTAATGCGCATAAAGATTCGTTAAAAATGCATATTTACCAAATAAACCGAGCACCAAAGACTCGGTAAATTCGTCTGGTTCGAGAAACAAAACGTTCGTGTTCGATTTCTCCGGTATAGTCAATAAATTAACGCATAAATTTTCCATAACATCGTCCACTTTATCGACGACGGTTTGTTCCAAAGTATTACCGATTACTAGCAAAACAGCTTTCGTGACCGGTTCTCTGATCAACGGCGAATCGGTATCGGCTAATAACTCGCAAGTAATATCAACCAGGGCTTTTGTTATCGGTAATTTTGCTTCGAACTCGTCCAATTCATCTAAAAATTAGTAAATTATTGAACGTTGGTGCTTCGGTAAACGAATCGAACCTTCGAATTCCACGCTCGATTTGAACAAAGACTGTTGGAACGTGTCCAACGAATCGATTGCTTCGTAAGCCGCATCGATTTCCGTGTCCAAAACGCAATACTCTTGTCTATCGCTCAACAATCTTTTCATTCTCGTTAAAATTTCAGTTTCCTAAAAAAAGCAAAAAGCATTAGGACCTTTTCGTTAAGTAAATAATAAAGTTTGCTCCCAATCAGTTCATATACGATTGAAATAATTCAACCTTACGTTTTGATTAGCTTGCATGAATATCCAAGCATTGTCAGAGTATTCGATATTTTGCACGTGACTCGGCAGGGCGGTTTTTATCGAAAGAATCGTTTTATCTAAAACTCCTGTGGCCGTTTTCGCGCAGAATTTGTAGAAACTCGGAATCACACCATCCACTTCGTCAGGGTCCGAACTGTTCTCGGACTCCAGATATGCCCTATAGAAATAGGTACATTAAATACTATTTAATCATACTTAATATCTGAATATTAAGAGATATTCTGAGTAATTACATTGGGCTTAAAGCTGGCGTAGACATGCTCGATTCTGACGAACGTTGTTGCAGTAATGACCTAAGTTTAGCTATACTGGAAGCTAAATCGGCAGCATCTTCATACTCGGGATCTGGGCTATTTGTACCAGTTGAAGCTTGTTCCATTGATATGGATGGAATTTCCACTTCTTTCTTATCCAAATCTTTGTTCTCTTTATCTGAAGATTTCTCCTAAAAAAATATACAAGCCTCGTTAGTGCTTTAATGGAATAATGTAAAATGTGTTGCCTATACACTTATGCTCTACGCTTTTGTTAATAATTGACAATTAGACACGTCCACGTCAATGTCAATAAACTCAAACTTTTAACCTCACTTTTTTAATTTTGAATAATTTGAATGTAAATTTACCAAAACGATGGATTTTAATTTCAAAGAATTTTGCGAGTTTCTAGACGAAATAAAACGAACGAAAACGCCCAAAGAGAAATTCAAATGCGTAGCGGAAAAGTTCAAAATTATACGAAACCAATTAGGAAGCGAATCGAACGAAAAGTTTTATCAAATATTGAGATTAATGGTGCCGAGTTTGGACAGAGAAAGGGATTCCTACAACATGAAAGAGGCCACGGTGGCGCGAATTTTGATAAAAATGCTGGATTTACCGGAAGGTAACGATAGAAACGTATTAAAAAAGTCCCACCTGATGGCTCACGAAGCCACGGATTTCGGGGACGTGGTACATTCGGTGATCAGAAAATATTTATCATACTCCGTCACCACGTTAACTATTAGCGACCTAAACAAATATTTGGACGATCTAACTAAAAGAAGAAACGAACGCGAAGGAGAAGACATACTAATGAATATATTTAAAAAATGTTCTTCGGAACACATGAAATGGGTCATAAGGATCATATTGAAAGATCTAAAACTCGGTTTAGGCGCAAACTCGATTTTGAATTGCTATCACAAAGACGGGGCTGCGTTTTACGCATCGAACAGCAATTTGAAAAAGGTGTGCGATGTTCTCCAAAAAGATTCTGTACGATTGCACGAATTAGAAATAGAAATAAACGAAGCTTTTCGACCGATGTTATCTAAGAAAATCGACGCGACGAATTTTATAAAACTTTTACCCGAGAACAAGCCGTTCTTCGTCGAGAACAAATTTGACGGGGAGAGATTCCAGTTACACATGAAAAACAACGAATTCAAGTATTTTTCCCGGAACGGATTCGATTTCACCGAGAGTTTAGGAAACAATTACGATACAGGTTTATAGATACTCATTAAATATCTTCTTACTCAAACAATTCTTATCAGGTACCCTAACACCGCAGCTAAAGGGATTGTTTCGAACTAATATAAAAAAAGTTATCTTAGACGGAGAGTTGATGATGTGGCATAAACGTTCCAGAACGTTCGGTTCGAAAGGAATGACACTGGATGTTAAAAAGCTGAAAGAAATAGGCCATTATCAACCATGTTTTTGTATTTACGATATTATTCTACTTAACGATAGAATTCTAACAAACGTTCCGCTACGAGAACGCTTGCAAGTAAGTTTTTATCGAGATAATTTAATTACTACAAGTAACCATTTTTAGGTTTTAAAAACCGTTTTTTCCCACTACAAAGAAGGCTCTCTGCAACTAAGCCAAGTCAAGGAAGTTTCATCGAGACAAGAAATCGTCGATGAACTAAATTTTAGAGTCGACAGAGACGAAGAGGGTATCATCATCAAAGATCCGGATTCGGTATACAAATATAGCGACAGAAATAGCGGGTGGTTTAAAATGAAACTGGAGTATTTCCAAGTAAGAACATCATTCGAATGATGGATATTCGTAAATTATCCATTTTTTATTTAGGACGTTATGAACGACCTGGATTTGATTCTAATGGGAGGCAATTACGAAAAATCAACATCGGACTGGTTAAAATCATTCTTTGTTGGTATCAGATCGGACGACCCTACAAACAAGAAACCGCTCTACTTGGCGCTGGGTAAAGTCAGCTCTGGGTTGAATTACGAAGAACTGGCCATGCTGAACAAGAAAATTAAAACCGATGGCAAAAAATTCGAACATTTCAATTCCAAAAGTCTAGCGTTTGGTAAAGACGTTCCTCAATATTACATTGAACCGGAAAAATCGTTGGTTTTCACTATTAGAGCGTCTGAATTAGTGAGAGACACGCATAGCGATTTCAAAACGCATTATACATTAAGATTTCCGAGGGTGCTTAAGGTTCGAGATGATAAACCGGTCGATGAATGTTTACACATCACCGAATTACTCGAACTAACCCAAAACAACAAAGCCGTTATAAAATTAAACAAAAGAAACTTGGATTTGGAAGAATTGTTGAAAACAAAAACTAGAAAAATCAAACGAAAAGAAATCATTGTTCCCGTTATTTACGATACTGCGAAGATATCCGACGTATTGGAAGGATACAATATTTTAGTTTCCGAAGAGATAGAATTAAAACAGAAGGAGTATCTGCAAAGTCTAGTCAAACGAGCCGGGGGTTCGATTCAATATATCCTAAAGGATAAAGTAGACATCGTGCTAACATGGGATCGAACCGATTACATTAAAGAATTAATCAAAAAACGCCCCAAGTACGACATAGTACACACGAATTGGTTACAAAGAGTAATCCAAGACGGTAACTTATTAGGCTACAATCAAGAAGAAATATTTTACATAGGCTGGTCGTTCAAAAATTGCCTTTCTGACGAATTGGATAAATACGGTGACAGTTTTACGGAGGAAACTGATGTGAACAAACTGAAAAACACTTTCGAAATTATAACCGATATGGGCGACAAATGCATAATAAAAAACATCGTAAAATTAGAAGGAAGAAAGTATTTGAATCACCACACAGCTTATTTCGATAAGCATTCGATAATCGGCGATCACAATTCAGAAATTATTTATAAAAGCTTCTTAGATGAAATACAATTTCAATATTACGGCGGTATAATCGAAGAGAAATTATCAACCAGCGTAAATTTAATTATATACAATGGAAACAGCGACAGGAAAAGAGTATTGCAGGATTACTTGCATTCGATTCAACGAACCGACATCGAAATATCAACCAACAGCATAATTTATAATTAGAAAATGAGTTACTACTACTAACTAATGGTGCAGGTCAAGACAAGCCCCGGCACTGAAGCCTCTGGCGGGCCTCCATTGTGCCATTCCTATTGATTCCATGAAGCAGAGTCCCTTGATGAAGGCCTTAGTGCTTCTCAGGGGGCCATAACAGGGACTCAAAGAATAAAGAATCACCTAGTTAGCACAGCCCAATGCAGACATGGTGCGATATTTGTAGAAAATGAATTTGTACGTACCAAAAGAATTTGCCCGTCGAAATTCGGCGATTCCAATTGCAAGGGATTGATCCAAACGGATTCCTCGTCGGGGCAAGTTTTATCCGTAGACTCGGCCCTCAGAGTCCTGCTGGATTTTCTCTTAGTCGGAGCGATGTTCAAGCTGGCCCTGGCTTGTTCGATGTTGTCCTGCAAGCCTGTCAATTTGAGCCCTTTCCTGAGGCCGGCTCTGCCAAAGTCGAGGATCCCTTCGACCATGCCGGCCGCTTCGTCCTAGAATTCCAGGTCGAATAAACGATCCTCTAGCGGCGAGTTTTTTTAGAAAAATCTACTAATGAATGACTAAAAATCTATTGCGTTGCTCAATGGGAAACTTTATCTAATGATCAATTTTTAATTAAGCAGAAGCGATTGGTAAAAAGAAGTTCGAATAAAACCGAATGTACATGCAAGTTCATACCTTCTGCTGTATAACAGGGATGTTATATGAGTTGTGTAACAGTGTGAAAGTTATTGTTCAGAAAAACAGAGATACATTTAATCAGACTGTATGGATTTTAAAGACATTTTTTTACCTGGTATTCTCCGAATTTGTGTAAAGCATTATTCACTGTAGATTCTTGTAAATCTTTGATATTGTGAAACGTGCTTACAGTTGCGTCGCCTTTAAAATAAATAAAGTGATATAATAAACTGTGTTATTGTTTTCGAGATAACTTACTTATGGGTTTCATCGAGCTTTTCAGTCCTTCCACTGTGCTTTGAGTGGAAAGTTTTACTTCGTTCAGTAGTAAATTCGCGGAATCCTCGACATGCTCTATTTTGCCTAAAAATGAAGGAAATGAGTTAATGCAATTTTGATGTTAATTAAAAAAATACTTTTGACGTTTTCTATTGATATGGGAAATGCTTCTAAAGGGTCTTGTCCCAATGATACTCCGAAAGCTAGGTCTTTACTATCCGAATAGGTTTTTGTTGCTCTGACTAGTTTTGGTTCGTGAATTTTTACGGGTGCGCTGGATGTAGAATTATCTTTAATTTGCGTTTCCTGTACTTCTTCAGCACTGTCGATTTTCTATAAAAAAATCGTTGTTGCATCAAATAAATTGTATAAAGATTGAAGAGTGTCTACAATCATTTTATGAGTCTTTGTAACTTTTAATACTTCCAATTTGAAAGTAGTATAATTGGTTTAATGTTATGATAGTGGTTAAGATGATCAATACCTTATGATGTTCGGATTTTTTCTTAATTTTCTGTCGAACTAGAAGTGAATTTTTGTTGCTTTTGATAGGAACAATTTCTAATTCTTCAGCATTTTTCGTTTTTTCTATCACTTCTGTAGGGTCGCTTTTCATTTCAGCTGTGCTACCGTTTTGTTCGTCAATTTTACTCTTAGAATCGACAACATCGTAATAAGCAGTTATAGATATTCTGCTGTAATTTTCTAATTTATACTTTTCCCTAATTTCCTTCGAAGCGAGCAAATTTAAGAGGTGGTAATTAATCACTTCAGGATCAGAAGTGATGTTTATAATGTAAAGCACCAATTTCCTTGCTATTATCGACACGAGTACTTGGCAAGGTAAAGAATTCCACAATTCAGAATTGATAAAATGCCTCAAAACGTTCAATGTAAGTTGTTGAATGAAATGATCTTGAATATTCGGATTCGCACCGACAACATGCGAATATCTAAAACAATATCCAATAAAAATTATTAAGTAACAACGTAGATCATTTACTTACCTATATAAATCCTCGATAGTTCCATCGTACTTTTCTTTCCTCCTGATTCCTCTGCGATACTCTTTCAAATGCTTCAAGAATATATTCGAAACGCCTTGCAATAAAACCTTTGCGCTTACGCAGGCTTGAAGTTCCGCTAATCGTCTAATTACATCGTCCAAAAATAGTTTCGTTTCTTCGGGAAACTCGTCATTCGAGCTAACGTACACGTACCATTTACTAACGAAATATTTGTCTATATCTTCTACTAGATATTTCAATTTTTTCGGATCCGGCGTCACGTCTCCGCGGACTTTCTTCAACGTAATTCGACGTTTTGTAAATGCGATGGGATCGTTTCTTTGCAGCAGTTTGTTCAGATAGAAAAACGTTACGAACAATGACACAAACCATGTCGATATGGAGACGAATAGAAACGTAAATCCACTTACGGGCAAAACGGCCACGAAACCGTTCAGAAACGAAACGGATATCAAAATCCCGAATCCCAATAAAAGAATTTTCCAATTTAACAAGACGTCCGATACAAGGGGCATTTCTGTTATTTGTTCAGCGATTTATTGATCGACTTGTGCAATGCAATCGGAATGCTCATAACTTACAGTCTGAGCATTTTCGAGTAGTGGTTCAGTGAGATAACGTTAAAATTCTATGGATTTGTTCACAAGTACTCACATTTTTGTTTACTTCGAAAATTAATTCGGGTTAGGCAGTAAATGTCACTGTCAAGATTGTCAAACACGAAACGTCAAAATCAAGATACACTAGTGCGTTATTAGGCAACACAAATTACACTGGTTTAAAAAAGTGATATTTTATTCAAACTTGATACTAAAACAACTAACACTCAAAACAAATTCCTTTCCGTTTAAGGAGCGATTTGTAACTGTGCCGGCTTGGCATGACTGTTACTGTTTTGATCCGTTTTAATATTCTCATCAGTCGATAACTTCATATGAGAATGATAAAATCGCGTTCTAATTTTTTTGACGAAATATATGAATAGTAGAGGAAACGGCGTCAAAACGGCCACCGCTACAGGCGCAACTGAAATAGAATTAGATAATAATCTATCCGTAAAAAGATTTTTATAAAAGCAGCTTACTCGTTGTGAGATCCCCTTCAGGTTCCGGCAAGGCCATCCTCAGTAAAAATATAGCAATGCCTGTATTTTGAGTGCCGACTTCTATGGCTATTGTTAAACAATCCGCGGCGTTTCTGCCCATTAATTTAGCCAGCAAATATCCCGCCAAGTAACCTACCCAAGGTATACCCATACCGGCGAGTATTATCTAAAAAAAAAACACTCATAAAATACGCAAAATATTTAGTCTATATTTATAAAAATGAAGCATTTTACTTTGAAGTGAAAGATTGGAAGAAAAGAATTTGCTCTAATCCATATATTATTCATAATCTCCGCCTTTTCCTTGCAAGGAAACATTTCCTAAACGAGTCTAAATAGTTCTAAATGATTCTGGAGCGTTCTAGATTGATCTAGGCAATTCTAAACGATTCTAGACAGTTCTGAATAATTCTGGAGCGTTCTAAATGATTCTGGAGCATTCTAGATTGATCTAGCCAATTGTAAATGATTCTAGACAGTTCAAGATGATTTTTATTTAACGTTCTAAATGGTTTTAGACTGTTTAAATAATTATGGAGGATTCTAAATGACTCGGATTCTAAATGACTCAAGACAGTTTTGGAGACTTTGGATCGTTCTAAACGATTCTAGACCGTTTTAAATGGTACTAGACTTTTTAAATGATTATGGAACATTTCAGATTGTTCTAGACAGTTCTAAATGATTCAGGGGCGTTCTAAATTATTCTAACGGAAATGCACCCTGTCAGCCATAACAAATTGGGGAAACTCAGCCAAAATGCCCAAAAAATTTACGTTACAAGCTGTGTGATGGCTGAGTAACTACTGAAAAGATTATGACGAGTTGCTATGAACATATAGAATCCATTTTTACAAGCATATATCCTTTTCTTTTTAAGCAAATGCTTCTTTTCATAAATAGGCAAAATATTATCGCTCGTCTATCTCACCTGCCACGAGAACAGTTTAAAAAGGTACAAATTGGTAACTATGGCGAATACAATGATGAACAGTATCAACAAGGACGAAAATCCCTTGATAATTCTCGTCATGAATTGGGCGATGTTCTTGAAGTACCTCTGAATAAGATAACCGATGCCCAATGGTATGACCAAAGCGCTCACGTATTCCGTTATGTGAGTGTAAGGTACTTCTAATTTCGCGTTCTGGAATATCACCCTACCTGAAAACGTTATTCCCATTTAGAAACTTACAGTAAAAATATTCCAGTGTTTCACCTAAAGTGAAAATCCACAATGGCATAAATCCGAAGGCTGCTATAGTACTGGCGGCAGTCATGGAAACGGACAAGTTCAAATTGCCTTCCAGCAGTACTGCCCATACGTTGGAAGCGCCCCCTGCCGGCGACACGCCCGTAAAGAACAGCCCCAGCTGCATCTCGTGGTTGTTGGGAAACAGCAGAAGTCCCAACGAGTAACTCAACTACAACATTACACGTGTATTATTCGCGAGGTTCTATCGCGGGGATTCCCAACGCACCAATGGCATAATGAAGAAGTGGCCGAATAGCCCGATGGCCGGTCCGACGGGCTTCTTTAGAATCCCCTTGAAATCGCCCCAGTTCATGGCGCAGCCGAAATTAACGTACAGTATGCTGATTAAAATGACCACGCTCGCCGTAAATGCGATATCGATGGGTCGTTTTTTTCTTACTACAGTCACGTTCACGCCGTCGGCGATTTTCTTCGGCGAGTTCCTGTCTCTAACCGAAACGACCGTTTTGCCTAAGAAGTTGCCGGATATGTTGAATTTCCCCTGCATGTTCGATATGAGGTATTCTTTATCCAACGATGCCACGTTGGGATTTTCGCTGTAGAGTATGTATTCCGAAGAGCTACCTAAAACATAAACGAATTCGTTATAAGGCGAAGTAGGTGTTTACAAACCAAATTATTCGAGAATTACAAATTCGATAACAAGGTAAATTAATTCAGCAGATGTCCACATTACAGGAGAAAATCAATGCATTTGTGTTTACCTTTACATTGATTGTAACATACTGTCTATCCCCCGTGTTTCGAATCTTCTAAATATAGATTTTTGAATGAATCAATTCTGAATGAACAATTTCGAACGCTTTAGAATCATTTTGAACTCTATTAGAATGCTCCAGAATCATTCAAAACTGTCTTGAACAATTTAGAACTATCCATCATCATTTAGAGCGGTCCAGAATCATTAAAAATGTCTCCAGACTCCTACAATATTTTACAATATTAAACTCTTCATCGCCATTTAGAGCGCTCCAGAATCATTTAAATATGTCTGGAACAATTTAGAAAGCTCCAAAACCATTTAGAATTCTCCAGACCCATTTCGAACGCTCCAGAATCATTCATAATTCTGTCTAGAATCATTTAGAAAACTTAAGAACCGTTTAGAATTCTCCAGACTCATTTGCATTGGTACAATTATTTAAAACTGTCTAGAACAATTATTTAGAACGCTCCAGAACCATATATAACTCTCCAGACTCGTTTGGAAGCTCCAGAATCATTCAGAACAGTCTACAACCATTTAGAGCTCTCCTGACACATTTAGAACGATCCAGAATTATTCCGAACCGTCTAGAACAAATAAGAACGCTCCAGTATCATTTGGAACTGTCTAGAACCATTTAGAACGTTTCAGAACCATTTAAAACTGTTCTGTATAGAATATTATAGCCGAGATCTTGTTTAGAAGAAGAATGACAAAAAAAACTAATATCATTTTCATCTTGTTTAAGATTCAAGTAAGCAACGTTGCCATACTTAAAATTCGGAATTATATAATCATTGGTTACAAAACCATTTGATTATAAAAAACCTTCTGAATACGGGGGTAAAACTCAATAAATATCTGTAGAATTTATAAAAACTATTGACAAATAATTAATAGTAACGAAAATAAACGAGAACAAACCTTCTGGTTCAATTTTGTACTCCACGACTGCATGTTCGTACATTTTGATCTTTGTAGCATTGGGATTAAATGTAACTTTGAAGCTGTTGACGACGACAGCATGGCACACCAAGAGCAGAGTTATGAGGAGAATAAAAAATTGCAGTAAACCCGAAAACGGACACATCTGAAACAAAATTTAAAAAAAAACCATTAAAAATTATCCAAAACTGCATAAAATTGAACAAACAATCGTACCATTTTCCTTGGCTAAAACAACAAAATAACTTTCGATTAAATATTCATAATATGGTAAAAATACTTCACCGCGAACAGACTTTATTTTCTCATGCGGTTTCGACCGCAACGAAAACATTTTCATTGCGTATCGGCGTTGAAAAACAAAGCTTGAAATATTCGGTTCATCGAAAAAAACAACAATCATAAATTGGAAATAATAATTTTCCTTTGAAAAGATTAAAATGTATTTATAATCTTAACCGGGATGATCGAAGTTATCTTACCTTCATTTCGGATACGCGAGCATTGACTAATTGGAAAAACATTTATAAGTGTCCAGGCCGGGGTTTTTTATGCAGCTTTATATAGGAGGGGTACAATCGAGAAATCGAATGGATTGTAATTTTTTAGAAAACGTCCATCATCACGCAATCGAACACACAATTTGGAAATTAATAATTAATATTTAAAAAGGGGTAATTTGATCGGCTAGGCAATGGCCTAATGAAAATAAATAAATGGAAAACAGGAAACCTCGAGGTCGAACTGATATGAAGTAATTACACGTTATAAAATTGGGGATTTTGTCTTTCCCATTATCAACTGTTAATTTTTTTATCTATTATTAATAAACCAATAAATGGTAATTAAGAAGTTAATTGTAATAAAAGTACAAATAGAAGTTAATTCGTGTGCAGTGCAAAAAATATGCAATCTGCTGCAATGAAAATTAATAATCTTGTTTTATATCTACTAATGTAAATAAAATACATAATATTATGTAAAATAGTACTTAATTACAAGATGAAACTTTGAGCTATACAATCGAAACATTACATAACGTGCAAAGATGATAATAAACCCAATATTTGAAGTAGGTATTCATTAATATAATACAAAAGGAACAAGAAAATTAATAAGTGAGAATTTAATTGCCTGTTCACATGCATATACCTAAATATAGCACAAGTAATGTTGCGAAACAATGTTTTGAACAAATTTCCCAAATCCATCTTATATCTTGAATTTTCTAGAAATATTTATTTTAGTTTAAAATTTTTCCTGATAAGTACCTACCTACATAATATTAATGTGCATAATTTAAAGCAAAATATATACTTTTAAGTGCGCACTCATAATTATCATACTTAAAAATAATATTTTGAATAATTCTTTTGATAGGTAAGTGTGAACACTTCAAAAGAATTTTGAATTGTTCTTTGAATGTTTCATGTTTACACTAAAGTATAATTGAATGGAATGGGCAAATAATGATTTTAATAACAAATAGTTTGAATCATGAAGATGGAATTAATCAATTATATGTTTCAGCAGTTCTAGTGGTTTTGTTAAAAAGGGAAGTGATAATAGGAAATGATTTCAGAATTATCTCTTTTTAGTGAAACTTTCCAAAGCATATTCTGGTAATTTGTTTAAAGTATTTTGTATTTAATGATTTAGTTTTTATCGTTATGTGCAATTCATTCAGTCAGCTTGTGAGTTTTTATAATTATTGTTAATGACATTATTTGTACCAATAAATTGTAATACATAAAAGAATTAAAATTAAAGGTATTGAATAATTATAGTATTTAAGACTGCGTATTATTTTTCATACAAGGTTGCGGCATTATATTAAGAATAGAAATTAAACCAGTTTTGCTTGAATCATAGCCTGCTTCTATTAGAATAAATAAACCTAAATTAATAAGTAGGTAATTTTTATAAAATACTTTATTAACAATAGGTATTCCAAATTGTGCAAGAACTACTAATAATTTATCTTAGTCTATTTTGACATACATTTTTTAAGCTTATATACACACCTATATCATTATTACATGTACTTTCATACTTTCTCTTTTAGACTGGAGTAAAAAAACTTATGTAACAAAAACTCACATTAATTAAATACTATTAATTATAATAATCTAACAAATATTGTACAGAAATAGTAATGAATATAGGCAGTTTTTCATAAATTTTTTGAAAATTCTTCTACGTTTATTTACCATTAATTTTCACCACAAAAATTTTCTGTACTACTTTTTGTAACACTACTATATTTGTCTCTAATTTTCGACTAGCTGTCGTCAATTTACAATTAAACACCACTTATATTAATTTATTAATTTAAATCAAATGTATTGGTGCTTTTTAGTGAGTAAATAATAATTTAAATGTAATTTAAATGTTGCGTATTTTTATAACCTTACCTTTTAATATAACGAACGACTTGCCTTGAGAAACGATATTTTCACTGAATCCCGAGCCTTTTTAGTTATTTTCATTCGAGAATTGCGTAATTTTGTAATTTTACGCTTTTATCGGAGTACGTGCACATTCGAACGAAGTTGTGTATTTGACTGATAGTTTTTTTTATGAAGCTGATGTCAAGGCCAATACAAGGATAACATCTTTAAAAAAAAACACTCTACTCCCAACTTAGTGGTCTGAACTATACGAACTATTCAGACACCATTTAATGTAATATGTGTTGTATAACTAATTTACAATTATTTTAGATAATTCGAGTTGAAGCAGGATTTATTTGTGAACCATATCTTGGCAACAAGTTTTAATTTGTCTTGTGTTGCAGTAAATCGTTGAAATATTGTCATTCAGTAATTAGTCCAAGTATCGATTATTTGACCTATTTTTCGTTTGACGTTTATTCCTGTCATTCGAACAGCTGATTTGAAGGTCGTGTCATATGAAATCTGGAATTTGTTATTTATGTTTTTTTTACTGATACGACTAGTGATACGTACAAAATGGCAGATGTAAAAAGTTTGGAACACCCTACTTTAAAGGTAAGCAATTTGAGCATTGTATAATTTACTATTTACCAATTTCTATCATCATCAAACATGCCTTGCGTTGAATTTTTACGAGTAAATACGCAATAAATTGATTAGCTTATAGATATTTTGTTGTGCAGACAGTTATTATGTATTATCGAATCTTTTACTTGCGCTTCCATTTAAAAATATGCTAAACGAATCGATTTATTCGGATATTTTCCATCGAATCACGCAGGTTCCCTACGAAATTCTCAACAAAAAGTTCAGAACGGCCCAAAAGACCATCGACAGGGAAGTCTCTCACGTTCAACAACAGGCCACACTCATCGAGGAGACACTCCAGCAATCCGAAGTCAAAGCGAAAGACATATCATCCCTTTTAGGCGGCATGGTGGAGAAACTCCAAGTCTTGAAAAGAAAAGGTGAGTGTTAACCTATCCTCGAACTCGTCCTCGATGCTATAATAACGATTGTTTTGTAGCCGAAGAGAGCATAGCCGAGGAATTGGTCGCCTCGAACGTGTGCAAAAGGAGATTGGACCATTTGAAGGAGCACAATACCGTAACGCCAATGGGCACCGTCTCGCAAGCGGCCCTTAACCAGTGGCGTAGGAAACGCTTGGACCGAATGGTCGTCGAGTATTTCCTCAGGAACGGCTACTACAACGCAGCCATCACCCTTGCCGATCGATCCGACATCAAAGATTTAACCAATATCGGTGAATGATTGCTTTCGATTAGCTACGAGCCGTTTGTAATTGCGAATGTTCCAGATATTTTCCTGACATCCAGAGAAGTGGAGAAGTCTCTGGCTAACAAGGAAACGTCCAAATGCCTGACCTGGTGCCATGACAACAAACACAAATTAAGGAAGTTGAAATCGAACATGGAATTCAATCTGCGTGTGCAGGAATTCGTTGAATTGGTCCGGTCCGATCAACGGATGGACGCCATCAAGCACGCCAGGAAGCACTTTCCCGGCTTCGAAGAGGAACATTTGTCTACCATAAAACAGGTCATGGCGTTGCTGGCCTTTCCCATAACCACCGGTACGTTTATCGCATACAGCATACAGCCCGAGCATCGTGATTAATCTCGCTCAATTTTATCAGATATTATCCCGTATAAATCTCTCTTAGACGAACGAAGGTGGGACACCTTAATCGAGCAATTCAGACAGGAGAATTACAGGCTGTTCCAATTGGCGTCGCAATCTGTTTTCACGGTTGCTTTACAAGCCGGCTTGTCAGCGCTCAAAACTCCATATCCTTTTTTATACTACAAACTTAAAGTTTTGACATTAATATTAGCTTACTATATAGCAAATTCTCTTTCAAATAGAGCATTTAAGACAGCACACATACACATATTACAGTACAGTATAGGGTTGTGCTAATTTGTTCTCAATATGGTTTATAGGTGCAAGAAAGACATCTTCCATTAGTCTCATGTAAAGGAAAAAGAAAGAGTGATATTGTGGATCTAATCTATCTTTGTTCAACTCATATAATTGACTGTATTGAAGACAAATCTGCACTTACTCATAGTAGAGTTTGGTATACTCCGAGTGCTCTGTTTCGAATAGAATTTGCAGGAACATACGAAATTTGTTAAGATTTCCTTAATACAGTGTAATCAGTGTTATTCTGAGACGGGCGAAAACAGAAATCCCACTTGCCCGGTGTGTCAGCCGTACTTGAACGAACTAGCAGATTGCTTGCCCTTTGCTCATTGCTCACAATCGAGATTGTATTGCCATATCAGCGGATTGCCGATGAACGAGAATAACCAGCCAATGATGCTGCCCAACGGTCACATCTATGGCGAACAGGTAATTTGTATAGTTTCGATGTACCGAGTATCCCAATTACCAAATCACTAAAATGCCCCATGAAGTATACAGTATAATTGAGTGCCGATACTTCAGGATGTGAATATTTGGATGATTTTAAGAAGAAAAGTTTATATCAATATATGTCCTAAACCTTTTAGTTTTCAAGCTACAGGGTGTTACAGTCTCAAAAAAAAACTTGACTATCATAGTTTTTTGTATTACACCAGATATTTATATGAAATTTGACGTGGACGTCACTGGTAATAGTAGAAATTATGATAGTCAAGTTTTTTTTAAGACTGTAACACCCTGTAGCTCGAAAACTAAGAGGTTTTGGAGATACATTGATATAAACTTTTCTTCTTAAAATCATCCAAATATTTACATCCTGAAGTATCGGCGCTCAATTAATTAACACCCTGTATATTTGAGTTTGATGTATTCAGTCATATTATTTGAAATAACCTAGTTATAAGGGTGCGACAGGTAACCCGGGACACCCGGTATATGTATGTAATCGTATAGCATTATGTAATACTTGTGTTTTGTTTTAGGCCTTGACTGAGATGGCTCGCCAGAATAACGGCCAAGTAATTTGTCCGAAGACGAAAGAGATCTTTCCCTTTAAGAAAGTGGAAAAAGTGTTCGTCATGTAGTTGTTTGTGATATATTTACTTCCTTCTCTCGATTTACGTATACGGATTGGAGTGTACAATGCTTTGTATAAATTAAAGCTCCTTTATAAAGATTATTATTAAAATATGAGTAGATAAGGATATTCGTGAACGTCGATTTAAGTTTAGGGTAATTTAAGCGTATTATTAGCAAGAGGATTTAATTACGAGCTGATATTGCTATTTTTTAATTCTAATATTAATTTCTACAGAGATTGTCTCAGTAATTTATAAGATTGTGTTACAATAAAAATCTAATAAAAATATTCCAAAAACGTCAAATAATTTGTTTTGTATTATTAATTCACCACTAATATCTTAGAAAATTTAATTTGAAAATAAATGTCCTGGTAAATTATTTTCAAATACTCCCTGCATCTGGCGTTCAGCCAATCAGAGGCACTTAATAATACTGCATTAGTCAAATATTCGATTAATTTACTACAGTTAATTTATCAATACAACATTAATTGAATTATAACAATTATCTCGCATGAAAATAAACTCGACTCCAAAATTACAGATACGAAGACCAAGAAAAGAAACCAGGAAATTAATTAAAAATATCAATTTAGGAGTGCATGTAAATAAAATGCGACGTTGCCACATTCATAGAGACTTTATTAGCAATAATGCGCATTTGCGACGTTTAAAATACGTCAAAGAATAATGAATGAAACGTTTTAAGCAATATTAACAATAATTAAATAGCAAACTAATTAATATATGACGGATTTACGTAATATGGGCGATTGCACTTTATCCGGGACACCCTGTACACCATTCTTCCTTATCTGACGAAAGTTGCATTCGGCCGCGTTCGGCTATCGTCGCGTCGCTTCGGCTCCCACATTAAAATGGAGTCTATTTTACGAGCACAACGATTTGTAGTCGTTTAGAAGGTGTGATCTCGTTAAATCGGCCGCAGTTCGTCGGTGATACGCCAGTACGTGTACCCGAAATACGTGAAAAGTGACCAAAATTGACGCAGAAGAACCAAATCTACCGATAACAGGTGAGTTTTCCGCGTTTGATCGCCGCCCGGTTAGTCAAAATCGCTTTTTAAATAAAAACACCAGCGAGTCTCTGCAATGGCATAATTGTTTGTCGGCGCGTGCGCATGCGCCGCCGATTTTTTGCGGGAATAATAACTATTTTATATTTAAATTTCCCTTCACACAGCGCGATTCCGTGTCCGTTTTAATTCGTAATTCGTAGTTATTTTTATCCGAATCGAGTTATTTCGATACGAAAATCAACTCGGAATATCCTATTGTCAACCCCCTGCTTTGTTTCTTTATTAATGCTTGAAACGCAAATTAAACGTACAGGGTGGATCAAATTACAAATTAAACTTGGGGATTATTCAACAAAGAAAATGATTTTTATCGATTTTCCAAGCGGAGCGTTAATTATTATACAGTGCGTCAAATATGACAAATTTATAGCACTTAATTATAATTGTGTATTACGTTATAATTTATGAATTTATTCGATCAATCTCAATGTCAATCCGTAATATTTTGTTACACCCTATATACAGGATGAAACCAAATAAGTTTCCTACACGGTGCAACAATATTCAATAAAATTAAATAATATTCTGTGTTATATTTCGTTTTTTTTAAAGCTAATAATATTTTACTCAACAAAATTTATAAAAAAAATCCGGTAGTTAATTTTTAGTACGTGTTATAGCTCGGTAGGAAATTGCTCGAAAATAAACCAATAAATCAAATTTCACAATTAGATAACAGATCATCCTGTATAACGGCTGTAATAATTAATTTTATAAATGCGAGTTTCGAAATGAACGAGCCACTATCCGTATTTCATAGGCAGTTTTAATGGATTATTAGTTTTTAAACAATGCAGATAAATGTTTTTGTTTCGTAAATAAAATCGTTGTTATGCCTGTAATAAAATAGCGTGCATATCTCCCGTGGAAAATATGTAATTGCTTTTACAATTACATTATAATTTTAATCAAAATCTATGGTCAATTATTGTAATTAGGGGATATTTGAGAGAATATACAATTGAATAGTTAGGAATTGTTTATGCCATTAGTGTGATATTTAAATCGCTTTTTTTTGTTAAGTATACATAGTTCAAAAATATTCTGATTTTTATTTTATCGAAATAACTCAAAAATTATAACAATTACTGACGTCATTGCTTTCACAGTTATCTACAATTTTAATCAAAATTGACCATCAATTATTATAATTAGTGTGTATTTGAGAATATAACAGTTGAAAAGTAGAAATTTTTTATGCCTCTAGTGAGGTTTTTAAATTTTTTTTTGTGAAGCAATTCCAAAATATTCTGATTTAGATATTATTGAGATAACTAAAAATCTACAGAAATGCGATATTAATGTATTTGCTTTTATAATTATAATTGTAATCAAAATGGCCAGTTAATTACATATCTATATTAATTAGTGTATATTTGAGAGAATACCTATACAGTTGAATAGTACGAATTGCTTTCACTATTATAATTTTAATCAAAATCGACGGTCAATTATTGTAATTAGGGGATATTAAATTTGAGAAAAAATACAATATTGATTAGTTAGGAATTGTTTCTGGCCACTAGTGTCATTTTTAAATAGTTTTTTTAGGTAATTCAAAAATATTCTGATTTTGATTTTATCGAAATAAGTCAAAAACGCAATTACAAAAGTAATTGCTCTCGTAGTTATAATTTTAATCAAAATGGCCGATTAATTATTTTAATTATAGTTGTTTTAAATAGTTAATACAGTTGAATAGTATGAATTGCTTACGTCACTATAGATTTAATATTATGATTATAGATTATTGTAGATTATAGACATGATACAATAAGACAAGATATGATATTGCGCATGTGGGCGTGACGTCACAGGTGAGAATCTTCGGAAAAATAACAAACATAACCTTATTCTTTGACATATATGTCAAATTCTTATTTCTTTTTTCTTGTTATTTATATTATTTGAATTACTATTTAAAATATTCTGAAGTTTTTTAATACTTAATCTTAAAAAAGGTGCTAAATTTTATTGCATATCCTATTTTAGTTTGAACTTTACTCACCAGTGACGTCATTGCGCAAAGCAAACCGAATTTTGAACGCTTTCAATCATACCTTGTATACTTGTATCATGGATTATAGATGTAATATTTATACAGGGAGTCAAAAAGTATGGAAACGGTCAATTTTCTGGCAAATTGAGGTCCGAATGAGAAATTGAAAAAACCATTGTGCAATAATTTTCCAAGGGCTATCCATTGATACGAATATCAAATAGCTATCCCACCCTTTAACGGGCGAACGGGGGGCTAATTAAAAATTTCAATGGAAACCCCTATTTTTTTTTGAAGATTCGGAATCCTGGGCATCAAAATCAAACAAGTTTTGTCTGAAACATTTTTCGAAATTATCAGAAAATGCTAAAAATACACCAACCTCAGGGGATGGTGTAGAGTGCAAAGGGTTATTATTAACCTCGATAGATAGCTTTTAAGAAATTATTGAACTTATAATTGTTTTTTACTCTTCAATCTTTCGATTTTTTTTATCATATGGTGAGTTTAGGACCATTTGAGACAATTAATTGTTCAAATAATTTTTTGTGAAAATAGGTAAACTTATAAGTAGGAAAATAGGTTTATAAAAATAGGTAACTGAACACATTGATTTTTTAAGTAAATTCATTTTGATTATTCTGCAATTTATTAAAACAAAGAGATATTGCGTTAACAAATCCAATATTGCGAGATTATTTTCAATTTCCCACACACTCGAATTGAATAATAATTAACGCGCAAACAGGAAAGCTATTAATAAACAGTATGGGTAAAAAAACCGACAAATTTAATACTCACGGAATAAATCAATAAAATACAAAGCGTATGAAATGAAAAAAAAATTAATCTTTTACATTTCCAGATAAAGCATGTCCTCGGTGCAAGTGCAAGTGCTGAATCCGCCGCCGGTGAAAACGAACAATGCAGGCCATCACAAAAATCCCGGCAATTCGAAAAGGAAAAACAAACACGACAGGAGCAGCAGGAAGAGATCAAAGAGCTTTTCCGGCTGCGGCATTCTCATCAACCAAAAACCGGTATTACCGTCCAAGTTTCTACTGGGCGGCAATATCAAGGATCCCTTGAATTTGAACAGTCTCCAAGACGAAGAAATTAACAGGTAAGCCATATCGGAAATGTTGCGAATTTAGCAAAAAGTTTTTCCATCTATCTCTCTATCGCATCGCCTTCTCGTGCATATAGTATTTTTCTCGCGAATCGATAGCGCAGAAATATATCCGAAGAACTCGCTCGTTCCGTCGATTTTTCTCGCTTCTCTTTTTCATCGAGTGCATCCGACCGTGCGATGTGCACTTTTTATCAACGAAATTTCGTAACTTGTCGACTTTATTATATCGACTGCTGGATGACTCCGGTTCGCTTCGATTAGGCGCGAAACGGCTCTATTAATTAATTGTCCCATCGATTTTTTTGATCAGCTCAGCTGATGCAAGCGAAAATCAATGGGCACTAAATAGATGCGTTGTTCTAACCCGATTGGATATGTCCATGGCAGTGATTTAGGTTTAGTTCGTGATGGAAATTTAGATGATGTTCGGCGTCAATGAAATTACAGGGTTTAATTAATTGAGTGCCGATGATTTTAAGAAGAAAAGTTTATATCAATATTTATCATAAACCTCTTTAGGTCTCACTACAAGGTGTTACAATTTTAGAAAAAAAATATCTTTTCTATCATAACTTTCTTATTAGATATTTACAGATATTTTTATGAAATTTTGTACACTTTTTAATTATTAACAACAGCATTTTTGAAGCAAAAGATATTTTGTGTGAACTGAATGTATAAAGAAAAAATGGCATGGCACTTCTTTTTCTAAAATCCAAAATTATTTTTAAAATCCTCATTTATTTTGGAGCAAATTCGGTCAGAAGACTTACTTTCTTACAACGCACCATTTTCGCAAAAAAATAAAAAGCAAAACCATTTTTTTCCAAGTTCATTTTGAGACTGCTTTTGATATTTTGTTGAAATTTAGTAGGTGTCCACCATGCATGGAAACAGTATTTTTTGGGAACAAAAATTAATTTTCTACTATTACCAGTGACGTCCACATCCGAAATTTTATAAAAACATCTGTACTTATATAGCAATAATAAAATTATGATAGAAAAGTTATTTTTTTCTAAAACTGTAACACGCCTGTAGCTCGAATACTAAAAGGTTTAGGATATACATTGATATAAACTTTTTTCTTAAAATCATCCAATTCTGCACATCCTGAAGTATCGGCACTCAATTAATTAACACTCTGTATATCTTTTTTGTTATCCTGGATATTGCGGATTTATCGAATGGTATTAGGATTTGGCGTGAATAAAGAAATAGATTTTTTCTATTATATCTTGAGTTAAGGCGAAGACGTGAATTAATTAACATAACTACGAGTGTTATTAAAATTTCACGTTTCTATGTTGACCCAACTCTATTAATTTTCTGGTAACTTCTCTAGTGATTGATGTGTATGAGAGAGTTCTAAGAGTATTCCAAACTTTCTAAACTACTTAAATGACTTTGGAATTAGAGTTGAAGTTGAGGTAAGGATTTAATTAGTAGCAAAGTGTACTAAATTTATCTTTTTTTATTTATCTTTATCTTTATCTATTTATCTTTTTTTTCTGAAGTAATCAAAAGGATGGTAATAGTGTAATACATTGGGTAATCATTCCTACTTCTTTTGGGTCTTATTGCATAATTTATAATGAAATTATAATGAAATTATAATGAAATTACCTGTAAAATACACTAAATATTTTTTTAAATTGTCCATTAGGTAAAGAAATTCAGTAACATTTTAAAGGAGAATTTTCCCTGATGAACCCATTAAACTAGATCAATTGATCTCTCCTGGCTTTCGATTAATGCTCTTAGTACTCTCACAACGTATACAAAATTTAGTTGCTTGTTTGAATATTACTAAGATATATTTTTTTAATTTGCAACTCCACTTTGAAGGCCTATAACTTCTCACGAATGTAACTTTGTATTATGTTCAGTGGGTATACAACCTAATTTGGGTCTTCTCTACACTTCCCTGTTGTGTCGGTTCTTATGCAGGAGATCCTGTATACAGTGTATCTCCCTGCATGTAATTTAAGAGATTGAAATCATCGTTTCAACAAATTCCAAATTTTACTACGATAAACTTATTTTTTCGATAAGCAAAACTTTGTTATAAAAAACGAAATTTCTTCGTAAAATTATTTTACCTCTATCGTCAACTCCATCCAGGGACAAACTGTAGTTTTATCAATCTCACAAATACCCCGTATAATGAGATGGTTAATAATTGAAACCTCGATCATTGGTTTTCCTTTTAATTCTGTCACCTCTTATTTGTCAACAGGTCAATTTATTCAATCTATTTTACTATTTTTTTCTAGAGCCATGAACGCAGTAACACCGAAATCCTCACCAGTACCTACACCTCCGAGGAAAAAAGGCCAATTGGACGTCATCATCCCAAAGAACATCAGGGATCCCCTGAATTTGATCGATTGCGACGACGACGCCGAATACGAACAACAACTTTGTTCCTCTATCAAAAAGGTAAGAGAAATAGTCCATTTTTTATATTATACAGGATGTACCTTATGCAGGATCATTTCCAAATTCTTCTACAGTTGGTGCAAAAGAAATATCAATGCACGTCACTATACTGTCGTTATACTTGAAAAGCATTGTGCCCACCTTTTAAAAATAAATACACAAAAAAGATAGGTACTTAATACTTGCAGAATTTAAGGTAAGAGGAGTTCACTTTTTACAAGGGGAGGATAGAAAATGCTAAAAAGAAGAATTAAATCATCCAAAAAAATATACAGATTGCTTGAATTCATACCGCAACATGGTCGTTTCTACGAGTTGAACAAAGAAAGATTAATAAAATAACAGTTGTCAGAGTGAAGAGGTGCAATGACATAATATCACTCTTTCTTTTTTCTTTATTAGTGTCTAATTGAAGTTGTCTTTGTTGCGCCCATATCCTATGTTGCAATGCAATTCAACGTTTGTATTTAAAATTAATATTATTTTCTTATAGTAGGTTGGTAGGCACTGACTGTCAAGTTGCATAGTTGCCGTTGTCATCCGATCGGTACTTTTAATTTTAAATTTCTTTTTCTTTTTTCTAGTTTACTAATAATCAAGAAATAACAATTTTTTGCATAGTTATCTTTTCTTCATGTTAGAAATGACACAATTTGAGCTCAAAATAATTCAGATTAAGAAGTTTTCTTAGATATTTCACTATGTACTCTTTTAAGGGTTAATTGTACACTAAATTTTTATACTCGCACTGTTAAATATATTTCAGATGATAAAGGAATTTGATGATTAATTATAGCGAGACCCTGAATAAGTCCACCCTTTAGAAAAGTAAGACAGGTACCCCTAATTTTCAATTTGTTCTCGTCATTTTGCCATTAGACAACTTTAGAAAATTCTAAGATTATGTAAACTCTACAAAAGTTCGGCAACACTGCCTACTTGTGACGTACCAAATCATGTGTGACGTGCATTGATATTTGTTTTGCACCAACTGTATTTGTTAACAAACGATTGTATAAATTTCGCAGGCGAAGAAGAAGCGATTGAAGAAGCGTCGAACGATATCGGCGACGATGGACGCCGAAGACGTCCCGGCGGACGTGAGCGCCACCTCCGAGGCGACGGTGCCGGAGGCTTCGACCGATTCGGCCAAGATACCGGAGATACCGGAGGCGGAGGCGGCGGCGGCGGCGGCGGCTGCCGTCCAGGCGAACGCGGCGCCGACGGCGGCGGCTGCGGCTGCGGCGGCGACGGCGGCGAAGCCCAAGGGCGGCGCCGATCTGTCCATAGACCTGTCGAAGAAGGAGCCGCAGAAGAAGCGGAAGAGCGACGAGCACGGCCATCACGCGATCAAGAAGTTCAAGAACAATTCGATGGACAAGATCGTGAGTCCGGTGGTGCCGCAGCCGGGCGCTTGGTTGAAGAGGAGCAATTCGGTGAACAAACGGGCCAAGTCGAGACAGGCGAAGCCGATGGTCAAAGATGCTAAATTGCCATTGTTCAAAGATAAGGATAAGCTGTTCCAGTACGGGAATTACAACAGGTATACAAATTTGTTTTTTTATTATTATTATTTTTTAACAGGCGTAAATTAAATTAATCGGATGAATAGCAACGATACGGTGTGTCACTAAATAAATTTTGTACGTTTTAAAATGTCAATGACGTTACGAGCCAGCGTGCAACGTTGCCGAGCTGTAATTGAAATCCATTATATGACGGATACATTTAATTTTAGGGTATGTTTACTATCATTGTATGCAAATTAAAAAGGGTCACAAATAGTAGAATTTAAACACGAAAAAGAACATCGGGAAGAAGATACGAATTCGCGTGTATTAATATTTAAGTGGATATTAATACACAAAATACACCAAAACCTCACCAAAAACACATGGAAAAATGCGGGAGAAACTGATAAACGTACAAAAACCTCACGAAAAACTATCTAAAATGGGCGAAGAACACAAAAACTACCCGTAAAGTTGAAAAAAAAAACAGGACAATGTCAAAAATCGCTGGGAATCATTTAGAACGCTCCAGAATCATTTAGAATTGTGTGGAATCCGTTAGAACATTACAGAATCATTTAGAACTCTAGAACCATTTAGAATGCTCCAGAATCATTCAGAACGCCCCCTGAATCATTTAGAACGCTCCAGAACCATTTAAAACTGTCTATAACCATGTAGAACGCTCCTGAATCATTTAAAACTGTCTAGAATCAGAAAGACAAAAATCGCTGGAAAACAAAGTCATAAAAATAACAAATTGTAGTGAAAACTAGAAAATCAACTAGAAAGAGCCGAATTTTGAGAGTAACGATATGGCAACAACGCATCTGCATTACAACCGAGCGTCGTAAAATTTCCCTAGTCAAATGGCAGAATTAACATTGGCATTAGGGAAATGTCGAACTGCGTGGAAATTACTAAAAATGACGTCATTATCATTTTAAAACGTACGAACTTTAGATGGTTTTGACGAGAGGAAAAACATTATTTTATGAAAAAGAGTACCTAATGCTTTATAAAAACTCCTGCTTGTCAAAAAAATCTGGAATCAGAACTTATTATAAAGAACTTTTTTCTTATTCGTTAATTCCATCCAGGTACACACTGTATATTTCGTTTAAAGTTCAAATTAATCATTACAATGGTCATAAGGTAAATTATTAATCATAACATTGGCCTAATTATTCCACCTGAGATTACTTAATAATTAAAATTCTCTATTTATATTATTCCGGTAGTTTGAATAAAGAATTAGCAGTTCATAAAAAGCTTCAAGATAAAAAACAAACAACCGTAAAATACTCTAGCAAGTCTAATAATACATGCCGTTTGTTTTGAATTACATCGCTTGGAATTTTTACCATTTTACTTTCTCTTGCACTATACAAGTACAAAACTCTTTTAGCAAAACTTTTTCGTAGATTAAAGACGTATCGTATTGTCTCATCAATAATATTAATTTAATATTATTCCGTTTAAGTCACGTTATTAGTTTATAGTTATTACTCATAATGTTAAAATTATCGACGACGCACAGTGGGGTGTATTGCCCGTCATAGTAGGCCAAAATTATTTGTATTACCTATTTCGTATCAACAGTGTATAAGTATGAGTAATTGGCCTTCTATTGTTGGGTCATTGGACCCAAAAGTATTTTTGGGGTAGGATGTTTATACTACATATTATTACAACTTTGTCCACCATCTTTTTGCCAAAGATTTTTCAATTAAAATTCCCTTACTTTATAGAACTGTTACTGGGAAGGGAAGAGGTTTTAAACCAAAAAAAGTACACGAGAGGCACCCCTTAATTTGACTGAAAATTACATTTAGAAAACGTTTATGTCGCCTTAGACATACCGCACCCCACATATTTCTTCTACTATTAATTTTTTAAACCTACTAAAAAAAAATTAATAAATTGCTTGTTATTTTCAAAATTTACCATCGAAACATTGCACAAAATGTACTATATTATCTTCCCTGGAAATATCTAAAATGTAACACTTTAATTACACCCGAGACAATAAAATCAGCTATTTCGTTTCCCACCAACTTTATTAGATTCCCTCAAGTGTTTACATCAATTCACAAGACGAGCAATTCTATTCTAAGCCCATGTAAGTTCAGTATACATATACAGGATGTATCTAAATAAAACCGAAAAAATTTAAGTGGTGATTCTGTGGTGAAAATTAAGGTGGGGTAATCGGTATGCAATTGTTTTAAAAAACCCTCCCCGGAAAAGTTATACCCCTTCGTTTTTCTTCCTTATTTTCCATGTATATAATTTTTCAACCCTGAAGTATGCTTAGAAACGAGCTTAGAAGGGATTGAAATAGTCAACGCCTAAGACTTTTCTTACAATTTATAAGAAGTTTTTTAGAAATTTTTCTTTTAAAAAATATGGCTAAAAAGCCTAATTTATTTACTATTTTTATCTACGTTTTTTTTAACTTGCATTTACGAAAAAAAATGTATCTATTACAAGCTCATGTTAAATAGCATTTACCATGAACAAAACAAAAATAATTGGATTTTTCAAAAAATTGTATACCAAGTACCCGCCTTAATTTTTATCACAGAATCACCTCTTAATTTTTTTCGGCGTTATTTAGACACACCCCGTATGTATAAGGATTCCGCACATTATTAAGTCGCATACCGAAGGTAGAAATAATGTGTCAGGAGTCGACGGCGTGTATTAGACGGAGATTAGTAGAGATTAAATTCGGAAAATCCGACTTTCGGCCGTCTAATGCGGCCAATTACCCTACTTTGCGACGATGTAGGAAAAGTGAAACGTCGTCCGATCCGAAGGGAAAACAAAGGTTCGCGCGAACAATGAACAATCGTCGAAGGGGAAAAAGGAGCGAAAAACCAGCGGCGCACTCATTTCCTTTTGTCGAAGGCGACTCGCGAAAAGTGGGTCAAAACGGTGTATTTTTTTCTTTCGTCCTTTTCGGCCGCGTTGCGTTTTCTAATAACGAAACTTTATTTTCAAACCCGCCTGGCGGTCTTCGTTTTTTTTTTCCTGCAGGGGCGCTCGTTTGTTTTAATTACCTCTTATTAAGTTTAGCAGGGGATTTTTTTAACGCCGCGTTGATGGATTTCTCTTCGTGTCTTTTTTAGAATTTTCTGCTTAATTTCGTTTGTTTTCGCTGTTCTTAGCGATCGGATGATTTTAGATTATACTCTGTTCGCCATCAGGAGATACATAGATAGTAATTAACCCTAATTTTGTTTGTAACAGACAGCGAAAAAACATAACTTTAAGGCTATTACCAATAGTAATTTTATTTTAGCAGAGCTACTGTGTATACAGGATGTATAATAATATGCGACTTCTTAATAATTACTAGATAAAAGTGATCTAAACATAATGCACAATTGGGCTTCTGGGAAATTAATTAGACACTAAAAGGATATAATAAAATTAAACATCGCTTTTATTGCTATCACTACCGGTAATTATTCAGCGCAAATTCGTTTGCAATATGGTCAATTTTAAGAGTTGAACAAAGAAACATTATTAATATTTCATTGGTTAGAGTGAAAAAAGTTACAATCCATAGGTACAATATCTCTTATTCTTTTTCCTTTATATGAGACTAATGGAAGTTGTCTTTGTTGTACCCATAGACAACATATTGCGTGAAAATTTGCACTTATGTGTATATCAAATGATTAAATCAATGTGCATACATTTTAATTCTTTTTTGGCGCGTCCATCTTCAAGACGGTTTCATAGCGATGACGGAGAACGGAGTATAATTATTTAATTTTATGATTTTTTATAATATTTTTGGTATTATCTCGCGGATTCTACAGTATGACTTCAGTCTGCTTCAAGACGGTTTCATTACCATCTCCTGATGACGAACGGAGTATAATTATTTAATTTTATGATTTTTTATAATATTTTTGGCATTGTCTCGCGGATTCTACAGTACTTTTACTAATAATATTCAACAGTACCTACATTTTAATTATTTATTGGCGCGCCTATGGTTTACTGCTTCAAGACTGGTTTCATTATCACCTCTTGATGATGAACGGAGTATAATTATTTAATTTTATGAATATTTTACAATACATTTCTTGCGTCATTTCAACGATTCAATTAAACGTTAACTAATAAAATTTTGCGAATATTTCCAGGTATTACGGATACAGAAATCCGCACAATGAAATCGACCATCGAATGCGAGTCTTCTCTCATCATCCGTACCTATTCGAAAACAAAGACATATTGGATATCGGCTGTAATATAGGCCACGTAACGCTATCGGTAGCTAGAGATTTCGGTGCCAAATCGATCGTTGGCATCGATATCGATCCGAAATTGATATCCATAGCGAGAAAGAACGTAAAGCATTACGTCAAGAAGGAGGAGGCGACCGTCTCGCCGCTAATAATGCTCGAGAACGTAATGCAGAAGCGGTCGCAGTCGCAAACAAAAAGTAGTGAGTTTTTTCCTATAAGTATGCCTATATTATATGGGGCAATTGACGTTCCAGGCTACCATGATATGCAAAATAAGGGCAAGGGGTTCCCTAATAACGTCACATTCAAGCAGGTGAGTTCCATCTATACGTACATTTACGTTTAGTTTCTCGATAAAATTTTTATTATTTCATTGCTTTATTTGTTGTAATATTCGAAGTGTATCCGGTCGAGTATAAAAACGATTCTTTTTATTTTTTTGTAGTGCAACTACATACTCGAAGACGATAATCTGATGGCTCTGGAACAGCCGCAATTCGACGTGATCATGTGTTTGAGCGTCACGAAATGGTTCCATTTGAATTGGGGCGACGCCGGTCTGAAGCAGGCCTTTCGAAGAATGTACGCTCAACTCAGACCGGGCGGTAAACTTATCCTGGAACCGCAGAATTGGGCCAGCTATAAAACCAAAAAGAAACTTACGGTAAGCGCCATTTAAGTATACTAACTGTACGAGTATACTAACATATATTTCGTTTTATAGGAGACGATTTTCAACAACTACAATTCCATCGAATTCTTTCCGGAGAAGTTCAGAGAGTACCTGTTGTCTCCGGCCGTCGGTTTCGCCAAAGGGGAGATCCTGGGCTATCCGGTGCACCAGGCCAAAGGTTTCAGGCGGCCCATACAGGTGTTCACCAAGAGCACGATGTTCCCGAGCGAGAGGATCGAGGCGACGCCGCAGAGCATCACTCCCGTCGTCAGCAGCGGCGCCTCGGATTCCTACAGGATGAAAACCGAGAAGTACGAGAGCCAGACGCACGGGCCGTGCATCGAGCACGTCTACACGGACATGTTCGACGGCAGATACTGCGGTTGCGCGGACGATAGTAACGATGTCAACGAGAAAATCGTGGAGGAATTGAAGAAATCGAAGGCGAGCGTCGCGACGCCGGTCACGAGCAGCGAGCGTACTATAACGAGCGAGGAGGATTATTCGAAGAGCAGTCCGGTGTACGTCAATGTGGAAACGACGAGGTTGGTGGATTAGAATTTTTCTGGGGTTTTTCGGATTTAGCTAACTGTTTCGGTTTTGTTTTGATAGGAATTCGGCTGAAGTTGAAGTGGATAACGAGAAGAGCGAGAGCCAAGGAGAAGTCGCGAAGGATGGTGAACCCCAGGTGTGGCCCGATAATACTTAAGATGCGAAATAATCGAATCGAGTTTTATTAATTGTACATATTGTTAATATTTTTTTTATAAATTGAGTTTATACGCTTTTTGTACATATCTATAAAGGATGCCCCAAAAAATAGTTGTAAGAATTACAGTTTTTTTTTCAATGGCTGTATTTTATTTTGTATGAAACTTTTGTTAATTTTCTCACATGTCGATATAAATTGAAGTTTGTAGAAAAAAACATTTATTTAAATAATACAAAATACTAAAATTATATGTAAGTAGTTTACAAAAAAAAATTAGCGGAGCTATTTAAGAATGTTTTTGTTCATGTAATAAATATAATACTAGCTACATTTAAAAGAATGGATTATTTTACGAAGGAACGTTGGTCTGGTAGAAAATTTTGTAAACAGAAAATCCCCAAACTCCTTCCGCAATATTTTCAATTTTCATGCAACTTTGCCCATCATCTATCTATCTGAATATCTCTAGCAAAATCGCCGTTTCAATTTACTATTATTGCACTAATTCAATCCAACCCTCGCTTTTGTGGATGATAAATGATTCATTAGAACTTCGATAACTGTTTCGTTAAAAAGTGAATTCTCTAAACATTACTAATGGTCATCGATTCAAAAAAACACTAAAATGCTACTAGTTCATAAGTATTCCATTTCATTCACTTCCAAATTAATATTTTCCACATCAAAGCACTTCGCGACTCCGACTCAATCCGTACTAATTCCATAGGTCTAACTAAGAAATTAAAAAAAAAACACATCAGTCAGTTAAAAAAAATTACAAAAAAAACGTAATTTACGTTCGCTCTTATACCCTCAAAATCTCTAAAGATTTGTTGTAACAAATGGCAATCCAATCCGGCTGCGTAGCGCCCCACTGTATCTGATTGACTTCCCCTTCGGCCGCCGTATACGCCAAAATCGGATCCTCGATGGCCCTCGGCATCTGCTGGATATCCCAAATGAGAGCCTGATGATCATCGCCGGCCGTACAAATATGACAACTAGAATGCGGCGCCCATGCTATACCGTTCACGCAAGCCCGATGATTGTTCAAACGCGCCACCGGTGTGCACGGCACTCGCACATCCAGAATTATAACCTAAAAAAAATCATTCGATGGGTTATTTCGCAAGATTCTTTCGAAATAAAATACCTCGCAAGCATCCATAGCTATAGTAGCTAAATAATTAGGGTCTTGCTTATTCCAAGCTAACCGTAATAAAGGAGTATGCGCAGGGTCTTCGTATATAATGGTAGAATGCTCCAAATGTCGTAGATCGAACATCCTTACGGAACCGTCGGCTCCGACGGAGGCGAACATGTCTCGACCGCCTCCCGCTCGAGAAAAGGCGATGTCGTACACTTCTTTATCGTGGGCTATGAGCTGCGTTTTGACGTGGCCGGATACCAAGTTGACTCGACCCATCACTTGGCCCGTTTCCAATCCCCAAATCGTGCAAGTCGTATCGATAGAAGACGTTCCCACTAGGTTGGGATCGACTTCGTTCCAGTCGAAGCTCGTTAAAGGTGCGCAGAAATCGGAATTCTTGTTGTTGTTTAAGACGCACTCCAGTCTCGTGTCCGGTTCACCGGCTCTCCAAACTCGCAGATAATCACCGCTGATAAACGAGTTATATTAGTAAGGGATTTGTATTTAGGCTGTAAAGAAGAAAACCTCACCTGGTAGCTAGTAAATCAGGAAATATCCCTTTACTGTCCGGTATCCACATGATTTTGGTGGTGGGATATGGATGATCGAAAGTGCTTTTAGCCGAAAACTCGCTACTATCTTCATCTAAAGAAACGACTTGTACTTTGTTATTATACTCTTCCACAAAGCTGCCTAAGGCTAGACGAAATCTCTTATCGGGTCTTACCGACCAGTTCATACTGTACAAGGGCCAAGGGGCCACATATTTGTAGATTTCTTTACGTTTGCCACCGGGGACTACCCCTGAGTGGGCCATTTCTGAAACGGGCAAATTATTGTACCGCAAATAAAACAACGTGCAATTATACTTACTGTGAAAATCAATTTTAACGAATTTTAGTACAAAACGTAGCTAAACTTTGTGATATTTTTGTTTATAACAAAATTGGTTTGACCTTGGCGTTCTTGACAATAATGATACTATTGACAACTGACGTTTCTTACTGTCAAAAAACACTGTCGGTAAGTAGAAATCTGTAATGTAGGATTTTAAAGATTATAAAACTTTTTTACAGATTTATTTTATATAACTATAATAACTGTACGAAACAGTGCTAGTAAATAGGGAATTATTAGTTGATGTTATTTTATTTATTACGTCAAAATTTATTTTAACATTTTGAGTAAAGAAAAAGTGACCTCTGTTGGTGGAGAATGGAAACAATGTTGCCATTTTTAAATAGCCTACTTTATGAACTTAATTTTGAATTTTTTAACCCAAATTGAAAATTACCGAAGAAATAATAACAGAAACACCCTTTAGATTAGAATCAAAAATAGTGAACACTAATGAATGTTGTGTAATTTGTGAAATTTAAGCCGGTATAGTGAACACGTGTTTGAAGTTTTCCCGCAAATTCTTAATCCTAGATATTCAATAAATGCATTTAAAAGGATTTTTCAAGTTAAGAAAATACAGTACGCAAGTGAAAACGACGAAATTCTTCACTACACCTATTTATTATGTAAACGCAAGTAAGTTAACCTCAAAATGTAACAGTTTGTTTTGACATAAATGACATATACCGAACAGGGCCGGCTTTAGCTTAACGTTCAAACGACTAATTCAAACGGCATCGCATCGCCGTTGAGCGCCGCTATAATATTCCTCGCCGTCACGATTCCCATTTCGTTTCGCGTTTCGATCGCCGCGCTGCCAATATGCGGCAGCACCACGCAATTCTTGAGCCCGAACAACGGGTGGTCCAAAGGCAACGGCTCCGGCGTCGTCACGTCCAACCCGGCGCCCCAAATCGTCCCGTTCCTCAGCGCCTCGACCAGCGCCTCCTGGTCCACTAGGCCGCCGCGGCTCGTGTTCACGAACACCGCCGTCTTCTTCATTTTCCCGAAGGCCGCCCGGTCGAACATCCGCGTCGTCTCGGGCGTCAGGGCGGCGCTGACGCTGACGAAGTCGCTGCGGGCGAGCAGCTCGTCGAAGGTGACGCGCTCGGCGCCGATCTCGCGGGCCTCCTTCGCTCGCTCGGATCGGTTGTAGTAGAGGATTCGGCTCGGATTAAAGGTGCTCAGTATGCGGGCGATTTGCTGGCCGATGCGGCCGAAGCCGACGATGCCCACGGTGGAGCCTTTGAGGCCGCGGCCGCACATCCAGAAGGGCGACCAGGCCTGCCAGCCGCCGGTGCGCGCCTCCTCGGCGGCCTCCAGGAGGCGCCTGCTGGTGGTTAGGAGGAGGCCGACGGCCAGTTCGGCGGTGGCGTCGGTGAGGGCGTCCGGGGTGTAGCCGATTTTGATGTTTCTTTTTCGAATTTCGGCCGTGTCTAGGTGGTCGTAGCCCACCGACATGGTGGCTACCACCTTCAGGTTAGCGCCGGCTTTGTTCAAAACCTCGGCGTCCACGCGGTCGGTTAGCATGCACAACAAGGCGTGTTTGTTTTCGATGTTTTTCAGCAGCTCGGTTTTCGGTACTGGGCCCGGTCCTGTCCATGATGACACTTCACAGCTGTGTAGATAAATTTTGTTAAATTGTTCAAAATGTGTTTTTTGCATATTTGATTGTACTTACTGTTGCTTAAGTAGATCTAGGGCTTCTTGGTTAATTTGCCTAGTAACGTAAACCGATGGTTTGCTCATTTTCGTCGATAAGCGAGCGTAATTAATGAAATTTTTGCGCGCTGGCACTTGCACTGGGGAGAGTAAAAAGGGAAATATCCGGTATACTTTCGACGCCATTTTGATTGTATTTATCGAATACTTTTATTACTCAAGTTCATTACTATCTCTACTTTTCATTAAGATAAGCTTACTATTTATATTTTATATAACTATTTATAAAATAATTACGCAAAAAAAATGGTGCTTAAGTGTGCCTTAAGCATATTTGTGTTATTCCATCCTTGTCAAGGGGAGTGCTAAACTTCTCTCCTTTCATACAACACATCTAAATAGAATTATGTCACTGTATTAGTATTGAATTCTACTAAATTATGATCAGCGGGAGGTTGATCTCTTTGCCATCTGTTATGGATTTAACGTGCTGTTTAGATATTGTTCATAGAGAAACATAATAGATGGCGCTAAACGGTCATAATTTAGTTAATGTTTCATGTTTTTTATGCCATATTCAAAATTTATTTCAAAGATATTAAAGTGTGTTATATTATTAATATATAGTTAATATCAATAAAAAGTGTTATGTACAATTGTCGCTTAAAAAATAAAAAACTACAGAATGGTAAACTTAGTACCATTTTCGTGGAAAAGTGGTCATAACCATTCTGTATAACATTATACTATATTATTTTTTGAAGAGCTGAAAGGGAGCTAAATTTAATTTTTGAATAGAAAATAGGGTGCGTTCCATTTAAAAAAGTATTTGGTCTACCACGCTAATGACAAACTACCAACTAATTTTAAAATATGCATCTTAAAAAGATCTACAGCTTTTGTAATTAAGTTTTTTTGATATCTTATAACAGATAAGATAATAACAGATATATTGAGATATCCATACTAATGTGCCACCCTGTATATGTGTTTTTTTTAATGGGGATTCCGTGTTTTATACCATTTTCGTTCGGATTTCCCACAGAATTTCATAAGTCTGAAAAACCAATTTCTGTTTTTTTCATTGTACGTACAATTTCATAAAAACGCACACATTTCATGCGCAAAAATTGTTAAAATTCCTCGCACAGGCAGTTTATTTTTTATTAACTTCAGGCCCTCACATCGGCCACCTGTACAGCTCGCTAATAGCGGACGCGGCGCAACGATGGCAGCGACTACTCGCCGTCGGTGCGGACATAAAATTTTCAACGGGCACCGATGAACACGGATCAAAAATTCAACAAGCCGCCCGCCAGAACGGCGTCCCGGCGTCCGCCTATTGCCGCACGATTTCCACGCAATTCGAAAAATTGGCGCGCGATTTCGACGTCGGTTACACCGACTTCACCAGGACCACCGCGGACAATCACCGAAACACCGTCGAATTGTTTTGGGTAATGCTCTCCGATTCCATCTCTTCCAGCTTCGAAATTGATTTCGAAATTCCCTCATATTTTCTACTATACAGACTGCTAACTTTGCGTTCGTTTTTAGAATACGCTAAGGAGTAAGGATAGATTTTATTTAGCGAAATATGAAGGATGGTATTGCGTTCCCGATGAGACGTTTCTGACTGAATCTCAGCTGAAGGAAACCGTCGGGAGCGATGGTAAAAAATTGTTGGTGTCTATCGAAAGCGGTCATCCGGTCGAATGGAGCAGCGAGGAGAATTACATGTTCAAATTGAGCCAGTACCGAGACGATCTTATTTATTGGCTTAAAACCAACGGTAATAAACCCGTAGAATTCGTATATTTCTCGACTCTCTTTATATTCTTCGTATTGTTTAGAAAATTCCGTTCGACCGAAGAAATTCCGCAAGATAGCGCTTGATTTCCTCCATCAGGACGGCGGGCTCCAGGACCTCTCCGTCTCCAGGCCGACCAAGAGAATTAATTGGGGAATCCCCGTTCCTGATGATCCTTCACACACGATTTACGTGTGGCTGGACGCTCTCACCAATTATTTAACAGCAGCTGGCTACGGTACCGATGCTTCCCAGTTCCAACAGTGCTGGCCTCCTGATGTTCAGGTCATCGGAAAGGATATACTGAAGTAAGTCATTTGGTTTCCAATTTTCCAAACGTTTTATACCTTCTGGCAAAAAAGTACCCGGAAATTCTGATATAACTGACATGTACTTAATATTTTTAACTATTTTAAAGTTTGTATATGTAGGTAACAGTGTTATTAATTAGCATGCTAAAAACTAGAGAGATTTTTTCAGTTAGTTTGGTTGGTAACAGCTGATTGAATGAGTTCATCTCAGCAATGCTTTACGAATTTTGCAATGGACAAAAATAATGAACAAAGAGTTTATCTCATATTTTGGGTTTTGAATTTCGTGGGCCAAATCGGTGCAAATGCTTGAGGTAACTCTGTTTTATCGCAAACCAATATTTGCGAATGGTACAAAACTTTTAAAGACAGTCGGGAAATCGCTAAATACTTGCCTTGTTCCGGACGGTCTACGACACATTCAACCCATGATAACGGCGAGAAAATGAAGGAAATTGGGTTCGAAAATCATCATACTAGTATTAGAGAAGTAGCACGTGAGCTAAACATCTCCCGTTAAACCGCTCGTTTGATTTTGCTCAACCAATCAGACATGCTGCGAATTGAGGCTCGCCTCGTTCCGATAGAGCTGAGTTTCCTTCAAAGACGATATCGTTAACTGGCCCCTGCAGATATGCTGGATCCTGTGAAGTACCATCGACCAGCCGCCTTACTCACCAGATTTAGCCTCGTGCGACTTTTTTTGTTTCCCTAACTCAAATTGCCACTTCGGGGATCCTGTTTTGACTGTATAAATGCCATCAAAGAAAAAGATGCTTAAAGCCGTACCTACCAAAAAGGGGATATAAAAATGCTTCGATGATTGGAAAAGGCGTCTGCCTATATGTATCTTTTTAAAAGGAGCATATTTTGAAGGTGATTCAAGAAAAATGAAAGAAGATTATGAATTTTGCGTTTCATTCCAATTTTTCGGGTACTTACTTTTTGTACCAATAATGCAATTTTAAAGAGTATATTAGTGTGGTTATTTTGCTTTATTTTATTGAGGTTTCTAAATACCTATAAGAAACAGATTTTGAACGTTACTGTAGGTTCTTGATGAAGCATGAAAAATAAAGTTTTGTTCGAAGCATTTCCACTCGTTTATAAATTGCAATTTTGGCATAATAATTCCTCCAGTGAACGCCCCATATGAGCCCCATAGACATAATTCATTGAACCGATTAACTTTTCGGCTTTCTTAATGCTTTGCGAACGATCACTAAAAGGTTTTGCTAACGTCTATTACTCGAAAATTACCTACAGGAATTCGGTGGGTTTCAAGGTAATGATGCGGCCGCGTTCATTTATCATATTCGCAATACGTCGGGGGGAAGTTATTAAACGTTCAACTCGGGCCATGTGAAGCTGAAGCCGGGGATCGCTTGTTAACGGCATTATGGTCGATTCGTACAGTCGATGGGATGTAATTTGCGTCCTTACATCGACCTAAGTAACGTTTGAATTGTGGAAAACGTTTTTGGAGATGATGTTTGAGGTTTTGTGTGTAGTTTTTTGCTAGTTATTCGCATACGTTTTGTTAGGAGATGGATTTTTGAAGACGTTACTTCAGGAGCATACGCGGTTTTAATGATTAGAACGTTGAATTTCAACCGTCTGAGCTCTGAGCTATTTTTTTTTCTATTCTAAATTCTATTCTATTCTTCATTCTATTCTAAATTTAGATTTCATGCCATTTACTGGCCGGCGTTTTTGATAGCAGCCGATTTGGAACCACCAAGGACCATATTTTGCCATTCCCACTGGACTGTGGATAACGAAAAAATGTCCAAATCGAAAGGAAACGTCGTTTGTCCTTTCAAAACTGCTGAAACTTACACGACTGATGGATTTAGATACTTTCTTCTACGCGAAGGAGTAGCCCACAGCGACGGAAGTAAGATTCAATTAACAAATAACATTATGCATGTGACAATTTTTGATAACATATTTTCTGAAAACATTCATTTTAATAGCTTTTTACTGTCAATTTGAGCCTGCTGAACACGATTATAAACATTATTTTTTGTAATATGTACAATTTCGAAGTTGTGATAACTTTCAGTTTCATAAACGAGGAAAACTAGTGTAATAGTTTTAACAGCAACTATTATGATAGCATCAGTGAATCATTATCAGAATTTCGAGCCTGGTAAGTTCTAAATGAATCTGGAGAGTCTTAAATTGTTCCCGATAATTCTGATTCGTCCTGAAGTTATCTAAATGATTTTGGGCAGTTCTAAATTATTCATGACAGTTCTAAATCTTTCTGGACAGTTTCAAATCATTCCAGATAGTTTTAAATGGTTATGGATATTTCTAAATCATTCTGGACAGTCTCAAATTATTCTGGACAGTTATAAATCATTCTGGATAATTCTAAATCATTCTAGACAGTTTTAAATCATTCCATATAGTTTTAAATGGTTCTGGATATTTCTAAATTATTCTGAACAGTTCTAAATCATTCTGGACAGTTCTAAATAATTCCAGACGTTTCTAAATGGTTCTCGACCATTCTGATTCGTGCTGAGTCAATTTAAATAATTCTGGAAAGTTATTTCATTGAGTTATATAGAATTGTAACTTCTTCCCACTAACCACTGTTATTTTAATAAATCTTTTTTCAACTCAAATCGCCTGCCTGGGTACAGACAATAACTAAAAATATGAAGTTTTAAATACCTGCATCATTGGACCCTTTTGTTTATATTTGAATAAACAATTCAATAGGCTTAATAATATTTATGTTAGACAAACTGTGTCACACAATGTAATTACCTATAGTCTATTCACTGAACTTATACGGGATTCGGATTAAAAGATTATTATTAAATTGCTAATGATCGTAAATGGTCACTTTCTTTCGGAATTCGGGTCAGTTGTGTTAAATGGATTAATTTTTAATAACTTTTAAATTGGATTTTACGAAATGATCTATTTCTACAACAAATACTATTTATGATTTCATATGAATTTATAGCTATGTAGCATTAATGCAGCATTAACAATCATTTATATAAATCAAATACAGACGGATTATTTTCGATTATATCCATAATTATTTGACCAGTTCACATTTACCCAACAAACAGATAAAATTCGAAGGTGCCCAACATGCAATTCACTCTAAATTTTTAATCTAAAACTCCCGTAAGTTCAGTGAATGGACTATAACTATCTCCATCAGATCTTTGAAATTGGCAAAGAGAGCGTTTTGATTCATCTTTGTTCATAGATTACAGCGATTTGGCAGTGCTGAGAGCGCTCAACTCTGAGCTGGCCGATACATTTGGAAATTTGTTAAACAGATGCACGGGATCCGCGTTGAATCCCGAACAGAAGTTCCCGGAAATCGACGTTGGCGCGTTGGAGGAAATCCGACAATCGGACGTCGCTAAAACGTTGATGGAAAACGTGGAGAATTTACCAGGTAAAATTACCCGTCGATGCGAATTGTAGGTATATCGATTTGCCTTTCTTGCCTGTTAGGGTAATAAATAAAATTTCGCCCGTTATTTAAGTTTATTCCAGAAGTTAATTCCAATTCCGCAAGTTCTATATAGAAATCGATTGGGTGGACAATACTTACCTAAATCTGGAAAAATTGCACCGATCGATCCATAGTGGTCAAAATCATCTATTTGGGTGGCCAAAAGTTTTCTTTTTCTTTACATCTTAAAAGTGGATTTTATGATTTGCCCTTATAACTGGTCCCAAAGTTTACAATTCTAAAGATATAATGAGTATTTGGCATAAAAAACACCTATCATCGGCTAGTTTATATTGATCAACTTTATATTTACTTATATTTAGCTCATAATTATCGTCCTCATAATTAGTCCATACTTACCACTGTGCGACGGAGGTAAAGCCCAAAATAAACAACAAGTTTAATTATCCGGAATAACAAACAGGATGAGGACATAAATTTCGGCCAGAAAAAAGCACCTAACCTACTCTCAACTCCGAGTTTCTAATCAAAGTTAATTCAAATCAACTCAACCTGACTGCTAACGGGGTTTCGAGCGATAATTTTTTCCGGACATTAACCTCAACAAATTCCGACGATTAAAAGGAGTTTGCTGATTAAAAAACTCGTCTCTTTCGTCCCCCAGGTGCCCTTTCCCTCCTTTCTTTCACCCGTCTTTTCGCCGACAATTCGACCTCTATTTATCTAAGATAAAAGTTTGTAGGTACTTACGCACTGTCGAATTTAATTTTATTTCGACGGTAACGTTGATTGATCGCGTCCATCGGGAGTAAAAAAGTCTAACGTAATAGATTAATAGATTTTTTTACATTGTAAAATTTCCAAAAAGGTCCTGTTAGTTTTTTTTTACGATAGAAACCTGCAAGGATCACTACGACGAGATGAATTTCTACAAATCGATCGACGCGATCCTGGCGACTTTGCGGAGCGCGAATTTGTTTTTCGAAACGTTGAGACCATGGGAACTGGCAAAAGCGCAGGAAACTCGCCGAAAACTCGACACCGTGCTCCATGTGACTCTGGAAACTTTGAGGATAGCTGGCGTGTTGCTCCAACCTATAACGCCGAATATATCTAAAGTTTTATTGGATAAAATTAATATCCCCGTGGGAGAAAGGACTTTTATTCATTCGAAGCATATTTCGTGGCGCGACAAGGATTTCAAGGAGACGGATTTGGCTCCCGGCAAAGTGGTTTTGTTCAAAAGAATTGTTAGCGATGACAAGAAAGCGAAAAGTAAAAATTAATGTTTAGTAAGTTGTAATATATTTGTTTTATTTAATAAAAGGATGAATTTGATAAATAACGCTCTAAAGAGATCATAGCAATTTATTAAGAGATTTCATTATTTACATTAAAGACAGTGGTACATATTTAGGGAACGTGGATCTAAAACGGTACTTTCGATTTTTATTCGCATACAAACGAAGTACCTTTTAGAAATAATCCTCACCTACCCAAGGGTATAAAACATTAAAATTTTTATACACCTATTTCTCGTAACGAGAAGAATCGAATTACATTCAGTCTATATACAATATGTTTTGGAATTTGTAGACAATAAATAGATTTGTTTTTTATACAGATATGTATGGTTCTTAACACATTTAATGAGTATCATACAATTTATATACAGGGTGGTCCATTAAAAAGGAAACAAGGGTGTTTTCGGGTAGAAAAAATTTGGATTTTTGGAAAATCGGTTAATTACGTATATTTTTATGACAAAGGGGAATCTTTTGATGTAAAAAACTATTATCATATTATTTTACCCCTTTGCCCAGCAACAACAACTCTTGATAATTGAATAGGGAATATGGGTCGTGTAATACATCATTAGAAAGATTATTTTTTCTGAAAATATAAAAATTAAATCTGTCATTCGTTTTTGAAATATTTACCTTTAAAGAGAAATTTTCGGTTCATTTAAAGTATATGCTAATTTAAATAACACCGGTCAGGAGCCTACTAGATAGCACAAGGCAATTACAATATACAGCGTCTTTTTTAATAACATGCTAATAATGAAGGGGATGTTTCTTGGACCTATTTTAAGAAAAAAACTTCATATGAACACCTGTCCTACCTAATTTCAAAGTGGTATGGAAATGCCTAGGAATGCATAGGTTCATAGGAAGTTTTTTTCTTAAAATGGGTCCAAGAAACATCCCCTTCATTATTAGCATGTTATTAAAAACACCCTGTATTACGGGACATAATTTAAACTTTTATTAAATGGGAGTTTTTATGATTAGTATAGGGATTAGATTAGAGACTTTTGTATCTTCTCTTTTTTATCAAATAAAATATTTTTTTCTAATTCAGCTCCATCTGAAATGTTTTCAACGTTAGACATAAATTAAGAGAGATTTTTACCTTTAAAGGCAAATATTTCAAAAAAGGATCGGCGGATTTAAATTTTTTTTAATTTCAAGAAGAAAATAACCTTACTATTGATATATTACACGACCCATATTCCCGTATTCCCATATTCCCATATTCCTATATTCCCGACCCATAATTCGATTTTTAAGGGTTGCTGGACAAAGGGGTAAAATAATATGATGGTGGTTTACACATCCAAAGATGTCCCCATCGACATAAAAATTGACGTGCCTCAGCGGTTTTCCAAAAAAAAAAAATTCCAACCGAAAACACCTCGATTTCCTTTTCAATGGGCCACCCTGTATGTACCTATATAGAAATTTATCAACTAAGTAAACCCTGTTTCTTAAGTCTATCGGAGAGATAAAGATACATATGTTTGAGGAAAATTGGCGGCGCAGCGGAACGATCGTTCACGAAATAGGCCGAATACAGTGCAACTAAAAAAAAAGTGACCAAAAAGTTTTGCAACTTGAAATTATTGAACGGTTCAACTCAGTCTTGCCTAGATGAAAAAAACGTCCCCCTACGGCCGATTTTCGCAGATTTTTTGAACAAACTATCACAACCGGGAAATATTGCTATTTCATCTATGAATAAAATATACAAAAAACGTCAACTATATGATTAGTTACTATACAGAATGTACACACAACTTACAATCGAATTCACTTTTAAGAAAACCTACTGTACGCCTTTAATAACATTAAAACGATGAGTATATTTTATTAAATTACCAATGAGTCAACGCGGAGTTTAATTTAAAGGGTTTTTACACAAACATACGTTATACTTCCAGATATTTTAACCTACGTTAATTCTTATTGGTTCTTTTAAAATCCTTACAATTTGGACGAAAAACCAAAAAAAATTGTTTATTTTTTGGAAAACTTCCATTTCGACCGAATCAGTCGCTTCTCGATTTTCCCGCTTTGCGGGCGGCCTTCGTGAAATTCAATAACCGAATGTGAATCAGTCATTCATTCTCCGTCAAACGAAAAATGGGGAAAAAACCCCGACAAAACCGTTATTTATTTTCATTCTACAGTCGGCAGGTGTGTGGAAGGAAATTCGACGATTGCCTGTAGAAAACTCGAACTATACCTTGGTTTCGAAATAACTGGCAGTGACTAATAGTGACTAATAGTGACTGCAATAATAAATACAAGATTTTTACCGCTTCATTAAAAATTGACCAGTTTCGCTTTAAAATGCGAATATTTACGATAGTAAGTTTTTATTACTATCTCTAAAATTAAAAGAAACAGAAATTAAGGCATTTTATTTGAATTAAACACAAGTAGAAAAATTAGTCGCTGTCAGTTATTTCGAAACCAAGGTATAGAATGTACGTTCAAAAAAAACAAGAAATAATCGTTTTTTAAAGCTCGTTTGTTTGCGATGCTCGACGTTATCGTACGCATGTTAACGACATTCAATTAAAAATCCTTACCAATCGAGTCCGTCCCTGTCTCGGCTCGAAAAAGAAACGTTATTACAATTTTCGATTCGGCGGAAATTTCAATCGATCTGACAGCTGACGTGTAATTGATTGAATCGTATTCAAGAGGGCTCCGATTGATTTTCGTTTTCATTTTCATTTCGGCGGCGAATAAAGAACTATTAATTGGTTTTTTGATTTAGTTTTCGTTCCTACCGTTTTGCAAGTCTATATATGCTGATTTTTTAAATTTTAATAGACTTCGTAACAATGAAAACAAGATTATTTTCATCGACGGTTACTTGATGTGTGTAGGTGATCTTTTCCCCATTTGCAATTGACATTTCTCTTTTGACAGTTCAATTTTGTGTTCTATATTGAATAAAAAGATGGCGAAAGGCGATAAATAGTAGAAGTTTGCTCTATTTCTATTCTATAGAATGTTTACGTTAGTTCAATATAGAAACGAGCAAAACTATATTTAGAGAAAAATTTTAAGAAAATTAGTTTTAGGGAAGAGGATTTGGAAGTTCAAAATTTTATTTTACGCCCCATTGGACTGGTCCTTTACAGTGAATCAGGGAACATTATTAAATAGGTATTTCGGCATGTATGTATGTTATTATAGGAAGATATGATTGTTAATAATATCATTTGGACTAAAATTTATCTTCGTGGTATAATTAACTTTCTTGTTTTTCCACTAAATTATTTTGTTACAACGCACAGCCTTAAAATATGAAGAGTGAATCCATTATACCTACAATATCTACGCTTTATGATATAATACACAAGGATTTTCAATAACTACAGCCTTGTATCGAACTACATACAGGACGCTCAGCGTTACCCTTTCCCTCCCATAATTTTCGATGTTGAAGCTCCATCCAGACACCAACATTGAACATAACCGCACAAACTCTTACTAAACCAACGTGTCCTGCAAATTGTCGCAATCCTGATGTCAAATGGCGCTGATATCCTCCAGTATATCCTTCTCCGAGTTGACCCGCGTCTGCCTGACCGACTCGCAGCTGAGGTGCTCGCTGGAGAACTCCCCGAAGGAGCCGTTCCTGCGGGCGTTCACCACCAACGTCTTGGTGCCGTAGTCTGTTACATACTTGTCGTTGTGCAAGCTCACCGATTGGTATCCGCCTGTAACGATATTAAAAAATAATAATTCATCGATTAGAAGCGACGAGACGAGAGGTCTTACATTTGCACCAATCCGGGTAATGGGTGGTCAGGATGCGCTTGAACGCCTCCCGGAACTCCGTGTTGAAGATGGAGTAGATGATGGGATTGAAGGCGGAGTTCGAGTAGCCCAGCCAGGTGAGTATCTTGAAGGTGATGTCCGGTATGCAGGTCTTGCAGAAAGCGGTGACGATGTTTATGCAGAAGAACGGCACCCAGCAGATGAGGAACACGCCCATGATTATGCCTGTAAAACGCGACGATGCAGATGGTGCGAGTGTTTACGGGAGACGGGTGAACATTGTATGAAGTAGTCGTTGAAAGTTTTACGAGAGCAACAGGACGGTGAAATACGGGCATCCAGAACAATTCGCTTCATTTGCGATAAATACGAGAGAGAGGGATGGTAGGTGATTTATGGTCGGCGATAAACTGTCGAAGTTTGTGGAAGTTCATTAATGATAGATATCGACGTTGCCAGATCGAAATATCGAAAGTTTCTAAACTTCATTCTTATTTCAAATACGGACGAAGACATCATATGAATAGCTTGTGATTGGTGCTTGCCAATTTTCGCAACGCTATTGGACGAAGGTGGTTCAAATGCACTGATCACACTCTAGTTATTGTTTACATCGTTCGTATTTGAAATATGAATAGAGTATAGATGCGACTCTATCACAAATCTAATCACTGGACTCTTCAAAACAATATTTTGGATGACTTGAAGGTATTTCAATCTAGAATTGTGGAAGTAGTAGAGCAATTAATAAATTAAATTATTGATTAAAAACATCTAGTATCTATTTATTTATAGTATTAAAGCGATTTTCGTTAAAGTTTTCACTAAATTAATAAAACATTAAAAATATCCATATCTAATCAAACTTTACTAATCTTGGCAACACCGAGAGAGATCCACGTCAAGTAACAACACAACTTCATTACTTATACCTACCAACAAGTTTTTTACACTCATGTAAAAGATAAAACTTGTCACATTAACATTTTATTATTTCATCCAACATTTTTAGAACCAACTTTTTTCCCCCACGAACTAAAGACTAAAATTATATTTTTTCGAAGTACATCCACAACTCATGAATGAAATTAAATACTGACCTACTGTAATGGCGGCTTTGTGATCGCTGACGTGATAGGGGCTACTGTGATGGTTGTGCAGATGTATGTGAAGAGCTTTATTTTTCTGCTTGGTGCTCTTCTTCTTGATGGCGGCGTCGGGCAAATCTATCGGTCTCGTGATGGCTCTAATATTTTTAACGTGTTTTTGAGCGTAACAGTATAACCTACAGTAGATGCCTGAAAAAGAAAAACATAAATCCGTAGAGTATTCCGGCATCGTTAAAGTTTCCACTGCGAAACCGGCTCCGGATCATCCGGGGCCTCTTTTCCCTGATAAAATATTCATTTTTACGGCTTCGCGTTCTAGGATTAACCGGAATTGGAGTTCGAGGACGGGACAACCCCCTAAGTTATGCCCTTGTTCCTCGGGATATGAATTTCTGAGACGTTCCGAAGACGAAAAGGAACTAATATAGTCAGACAATAGGTGGGATGAGGTTGTAAATTTCGAAGAATCGGAAAAGGTGCAACGCGCAGATAATTTAGAACGTCGCGTACAAAAGAAATTCCGTATAATAACCGCGTTGAATGGTCGGGGTTTTGAATAATTTAATGATGACTTGGACTTACCTATCATTACGATACAGGGAACATAGAAAGATATACAACTAGATACCACGGCGTAAGTGGGCGTCAGGTCCAAAGCGCACGTAGGATAATTTTGCCCTCCTGCATTGTAAACGAGCGGTTGAGGAGGCCTGTGAAGCCCTAAAGAAATCGGAACGAACGATATTAATCCGGCGAGCAGCCAAATCGTCGCTATGGTTACCAAAGCTATTCTCCTCGTCACCCATCTACCATATCTGTAACAATGACATAACGAACTGTAGAGGATGTTTAAAGAACCGTTGAAAACTCAAATGAACTAATCTGTAGATAGATGCCTTAACTTGATATGTCCAAAAGATATTACAACTAATTGGCTGTAAAGTTGGTGAAAAAAAATATCAATTCATGTCACCTAAAATTTGCTACGTCACAAGTAGGCAGTGTTGCCGAACTTTTGTAGAGTTTACAAAATCTAAGAATTTTCTAAAATTGTCAAATGGCAAAATGACAAGAACAAATTGAAAATTAGGGGTACCTGTTTCACGTTTCTAAACGGGGGATGTATTCATGGGTTCACTATAATTAATCATCAAATTCCTTTATCATCTGAAATATATTTAACAGTGCGAGTAAAATATTTAGTGTACAATTGACTCTATAGTGAAATTTCTGAGAAAACTTCTGAATCTGAATTATTTAGAGCTCAAATTTTGTCATTTCTAACATGTGGAAAAGATAACTACGCAAAAAATTCTTATTTCTTGATTATTCGGCCGAATAGCCTTTAATAGTTGAGGCTAGTGAAATGGAAAAAGAGGAAGAAATTGAAAATAAAAAGCACCTTGATGAGCAACTTGACAGTCAGTGCCTATCAACCTACTATAAGCAAATAATAATAATTTTATACAGATTGCTCCATTTTTCATTGCAACATAGGCTATGGGTGCAACAAAGACAACTTCAATTAGACACTTATAAAGGAAAAAGAAAGAGTGACATTTGTGTCATTATTGTCATTGCAACTTTTCACTTTGACAACTGTTATTTTATTAATCTTTCTTTGTTCAACTCATAGAAATGCCCATGTTGCAATCGCGAATGAGGCACAGTGTATACAAACGTTGAATTTTGACAATAGATACTTTTTTGGATAATAAAATTCTGCTTCACATTTTCTATCATCCCTTGTATTTATTAAAATAAATTCTACAGGTATTAAGCTTAATCTATTTTGTGTATTTATTTTTAAAAGTTGGGCACAATGTTTGGCAAGTATGACGACAGTAGTGACGTGCATTGATATTTGTTTTGCACCAACTGTATGTATATGTCGATATTTTTCTCAAAATCTTTATTACTTATCTATGGTCAAAATTGAGTTATCAGTACCATTATGCAGGTTCCTTTCGTTAATATCTAAAAGATGGTAGAATATAACAGTAAAAGTTTATTAACGTTAAAGCATAATAATTACTTAGAGGTAGGTACTGAAGAAATTTCATTATTTGAACATTAATCCAAATTTAATATAGCTCTCCTGTAAAATTTATTAAATTCGACATCAAATTATTCCCATCTATTCACAAAAATACATACCCTAAAAACCTTTTGCAACCATTTTTTCCGTTTTTAATTTCGTTTGGGAATGTTGGTAAAAAATATGTAACAATCTGAAATAAAATCCAATCCGCTGTTATTGGGGAAATCACCGGTTTTCTAGTAGCAACATATCGGATTTCCCTCTTGCGGTATTCGCGAAACCGCTCGATAAATTAATTGTTTTAGCCATTTTAGGTTTGTTGTGTAATCGAACTTTAACAATTACCGCAGAGCGAATGGCGCTTTTCTGGTAGATTACAATTTAACGAGCATAGGATGCCGTGGAAATTCGAAATAGCGGAATACGGATTTTTTTATTATAAGGAAATTACTCACTGCGTGCATTATTGATTAGCAATAGCAACAAATTTTTGAATAAAATTCCTGCTCGTAAGTAAAATAGTATAGTGCAGATGAAAATGTAAAGATTCGCGTATTCGCAAACGCGACTCGGAATGTTTCCATAAATAGAAACGCGAGTACTCGAATTTCAAATATGCCACTGGAATGTCGTATCTAATAATCATCATACCGGCAGTGTTTTATTGCCGAAAGCGATGTTTCCTTCCTCGTAAACGTAATACAATATCCCGCCGAAATAAAACAACAATTTTTATTAAAGTCGCATACATTCCCATCATTCGAAAATTATGTAGGTACGTATTTATCACCTAGGTACATTTTACAACAGCAGTAAAAATATGTATATAGGTACTTTATATGTATATTTACCGGAACAAAAAACAAATAAAACAAACTCTTTGAACAGTTCCTGTAATCAGTTTGTAACTAGAATTGTTCAAATAATACTTTTAACCAACAGACAAAATTATAGCATTATAGCAACATAAAAGAAATAAAACAAACTCTTTGAACAGTTCCTGTAATTAGTTTCTAGTTTGTAACTAGAATTGTTCAAATAATACTTTTAACAAACAGACAAAATTATAGCATTATAGCAACATAAAAGAAATAAAACAAACTCTTTGAACATTTCCTGTAATTAGTTTGTAACTAGAATTGTTCAAATAATACTTTTAACCAACAGACAAAATTATAGCATTATAGCAACATAAAAGAAATAAAACAAACTCTTTGAACAGTTCCTGTAATCAGTTTGTAACTAGAATTGTTCAAATAATACTTTTAACCAACAGACAAAATTATAGCATTATAGCAACATAAAAGAAATAAAACAGACTCTTTGAACAGTTCCTATAATCAGTTTGTAACCAGTTCCAGGACTATTCAAATATTGTTCACCAACAGTCAAAATATACCGAATTTACTTATACAAAAAACAAATAAAACAAACTCTATAAACAGTTCCTGTAATCAATTTGTAACCAGATCTAGAAGTATTTAAATACTATTCACCAACAGTCATATTGGTTTTACCGAACCAAAAAACAAATAAAACAGACCCTTTGAACAGTTCCCATAAACAATTTGTAACCAGTTCCAGGACTATTCAAATAATACTGCTCACCAACAGTCAAAGTTACCGTATTTACGGAACCAAAGTACAAAGTAAACAAACTTAGTGAATAGTTCCTAGAATCAATTTGTAACCAGTTCCTAAACTAATTATTGCTTATTAAAAAAAATCGTACATTGCGCCCCTTTTGACCGGTTCCCGGACTGATCAAATACTGATTGGAAAGGAAAATGATGAGCAGCAGATGAAGTAACGACCCGAATTCCGGGCCGGTAATCAACTAAGTTATCCGGTGAGCGAGTCTGTCGCTCTCTCTTCCTCTCTCCGGGCACTCAATTCTAACAATTCCGGTCGGAATTCGAGATTGAACGAGAATGTAAATCTCAAGGCATATTCCGGGCCCATTCTTGCTTAATTACGAGTGGGTTCGGATGCAATTCATGGTCAACTTGCGATGCCGATACGGTCGATTCGGGACGGTAAATACGTGCAAGGATTTTCTTAGGAGCTCATTGGGATTCGGCAAAAAATATATTTATGTCGTGGGTTTCGGTCGAATGTAATTAGAGGATTTATGTTGGTAATTGTTGGTGAAAAAAATTCGTTCGGTGTAAGAAAGTGTGATTTGGAGTGATTTATTTAAAATGTTGAATGCGGGAGAAATAAATGTTTCTGTATGAATTTAAATATCATTATTACATGTATATATGTTTTTTTGTTTCGATTTTTAGCTAGTTTTTATTTGGTAGGAGAGTTTTATTTTCCTGTTCCTACACAATTTTCAAACTGTTTGAATATTTTTGAGTTTTGCTGATGCTTCTCTCAAAACCAACACATTTTCTTATATAACTTTTAAATTACTTTAGGAAGAAACTTCATATCATGTTAAAGAGAAAACTTTACAATCCGCCCAATTCTCAATTTTCGGAATTATAATAATTCTTCCTACAAAAATCGAGCATCAAAAAGGATTTCCCTTTTTTAATTCCTCAAGAATATATTATTCACATTTAATAAAAGTTCTACATCGCGTGAAAATTCCAGATAAAGTTTTATTTTTAATATGCTTCACAGGAAGACTTCTATTATGTGCTTCTAAATTCATTGAGAAAAGTTAGGAAATTTAAAATTATCAACATTAATATCACCCACCAAAACTCCTCGCATTTTTCCACTCTTTATGATAATTATTATTATTTAAAGAACGTACGCAGCAGAAATTCCCCGCGGATGTCCTATCATTTACAAGTCCCATTTTCCATATCGCCCGAAAATTTTTTCGCGCTTTCGTTCGCGCACGAAAACATCCTTGTCCGGAACGTTCGAAAAATACGACCGGAAAACTTTTTCCCCCGCACAAACGATGTTTATGTTTTAATTTTACAACTCCTCCGACCGCGAAACGTCGAATAAAATTTTTCGAAAACAAAGCGCCCCGACGCCTCCGGGCGATATTTTCCACTTTATCGAATCGGCCGCGGCGAAACGAAAAAAATCCGGCATCATCGCGGTAATAAAAACATATTGCCGTTAGTTTTCCGGAAGGAGGGCGCCGGGTATTTAGGAATTTTAGCACGAGTTTCATTCCTGAATTATTGTCGGTGTTTATCACCGCACCCTTGCACTCGTAAGAAATGATGCTGAAATGAATTAAGAATAACCCAAATTAATTTTAACAATCATCTTTTTAACCACCCTGTATTTATTCACAAAATAAAATTCTTGACCCTTGAAAGTTGGATGGCTCATCAACAATTGACATTAATGTACCACTCATCAATGAAATAATAATTAATGAACGACTCATTAATTAATGACTCATCATTGAACGACTCATAAATGATGACTCATTATTGAACTACTATATTTACCAACAAATGACTCATCAATGAACTGCTCATCAACCTACGACTAATAAATGATCGACTAATGAATAAACGACTCTTTAATGATTGATTTATCAATAAAGGACTCATCAATGAACGACTCTTGAATAATTGACTCATAATGAACTACTACTCATCAATAAATGACTCATCAATGAACGACTCATCAATCAAGTACTAATGAATGATTGACTCATTAATGAACGACTCTTCAATGTTCAATGAGTGATTGATCAATGAATGACTCATGAAGTACAAGAACACTAAATTTGGGATGACACAATACTGCTGCGTTGGTACTTTGTATTTTTTCCCCCCATTTTATATAAGAATGCAATAAATTAATTCAACTTCAATATAACCCGCAGGAAAATATAAAAGGCCTCTCTCGTTTTTCCGCTTTATTGCTGGCGTCTTTTATTTTTCGAGCGCCCGTTTCGTATCTAAAAGGGAAAGAGGCGAAATTAAAGTGTATGTTAAAAAAGAGAGTCAAACTGCTGGTGTGGGAAGTCCCGATCTTCGGCTTAACATTATTTCTAATGGGGCGTTTTTATTCTTAAGGGACTCCTGGAATCCGATTGAATACTGATGATGATTGCGGTGTAACGGTGATTCGAATCGGTGAAAATTTCACGAAATTCGTACTATTAGGTAATTAAATACGATCAATCGGAAATTGGATCTGGTCGCGTGACAAACGGGGCGTTATGTGAAATAATCGCGTTATTGTTTATTCTATAACTTTAGTAATTTAATTGAAATTCTCGGGAGCAAACTTTCCTTTTAAGCATTTCATTTCCAAGCGCAACTCATCTAGATTCCCTTGATGAATAATCCTGTAAAGAAGTTTTTTGACGAGATTATTCTCCTTGTTTCTCATTCAATTTCGGTTTATTACCTCGTAAATTAACGTTAGTACGTCTGAATACAGGGTGATTGTCGCAAATTTGACTCCGATTGGGAAAGATCCATGTGGGTTGCCTGGTAATTAATCTGGTGCAAAATTTCGAAAATTATAAAATGAAGTCACCTCGTAAATTCTATCGGTTATTTTTGTTATTTCCACTCTAGTTTAAATTAAAATAACACCTGCCCGCCGGTTTGTAAATATTTAAGTTTCAGGAGGAATTAAACTACCGCAACAAACTCACTCCGGGAAGATTTTAAACGGATCGATGGGAGTTTCATCGGATCCGAGTAGGAGTTAAGTCGGATTTTATGCAATGAATAAATTCGTAATTTACTCGGCAATAATAAACAAGGTTGTTTGTCCATCGAACAAGAGACATTCTGCGGTTAATCAATTAATTAAATTTAGTCATCTCGGGTAACAAGTTCTGCGGTGAATAACGTTTGTATTTCGATTCGAGCGATTATATTCCGCGCCGTTCAAATAATGAATATTAACATTGTTGAATGGTAATTGCATTAGCGGATTCTGCTGGTTGGCCTGATGTTTATCTCTCGAATAATTTAATGTTATCAGGGAGATAACTAAAATTCACAACGATTCGGATTCCTTCCGGGGAGAGTGGGGCATTTGCATTAATTTGTAGGCAAATATACTTTTTAATACTCGTTATAATGAACAGTATAGTTTTATTTAATTAAACTAAAAATTGGATACTTTCACGATCCATATATGTATTTTTCTTTTTTATGTGTAAATTGCTGAGTGTAGAAGTGGAGATAACAAAAAATAGTGAAATAAATTACATCAGCAGGTGCATTAGATTGATCCAATTCCGAAGTCGTTATATTAGATTACAAGTAGAGAGAACCGTCCGAGATTTCCGATCAAACGCGCAATTTCTCAGCGATAATCCCGAAGTGCTTCCACAACAATCTATCTAATTTTTTTTCTCCGCCATTTTCCCGTAATAAGTAAAAATGGCCTTGTCATCACGGCCTCTTCGAGCAACCCTCTATTATTCTCCGAAGGTAACAAATTTCGTATAATCAGTTCAGTCCATAATAGACTCCATGCCGATCGTTCAGTGGAGTATCCTCCCATAGAAATGAAGAACTCCCGCCCGTAGAAGCGATATATTTTCTAATTTAGTCCGCATCCCGACTGATAGATATGAAACGAGCCGGAAAAAGATTGCCCTCATACGTCGGTCCATTATCTTTTGCGATAGAAATAAAAGGAGTTGCCGGGGAGTTTAGAGAACGAGGAAGAGGAGCGCTTCGACTGAAGGGGAAGCGATAAATCGAAATTGACAGTTTGAGTACTTTTTAACGCGGCCGCCGAAGCTAGAGGGAGTTTTCTGAGAGTCGGGTCGCGCCCGTCCGATCCGGAGTTCGGATTGAAGTTGACATCGGCGAGGATGACGCGATTGCGAGGAGTTTCCTGTTACTCTAATATTATTTCTAACGCAGCTTTTCTGTATTTTGGTGTTTAGTTACTCTTATATGTCACTACTTCAACTTTTGGTAAACTTGCATTCAAACTGTAGATTTTACTTAAAATTTCTTGTAGTTAGTAAGAGTAAGGAGTTGATGATTATGAGAAGAGCAATAGATGTAATTAATTAATTTACATTTAAATTAAATACAATATTTTGAGCTCAAGATTATGCAGTAATAAATGTATTTACACATAACGCATATATTTACAATTAAATTTGTAAAATATTCGTTAGAGCAAAAATAAAATTATTTTAATAAAACATTTGAGTATATACTATCGAATTCCCATTTTATATACCACACAAATAAAATAATATACAGGATAAAATGTATCCAAAAATCCTATAAATTCAATGAACATTCGACAAACCTATTCATCAAATATTCCTGATGATAAAATAAATTAATTGGAATTATTCCAAGTACGGTTTTAAAATAATATCGAAATACTACTCACCTTAAGGGGTCTTTAATGTGAATATACCTATCTAGTGATATGGCGCAAAGATTAAGTATACTAGCTGTTGAGCACATGACGTCGAAGGCCACCCAGGTGTCGCAGAATTGAGCACCGAAAATCCAATAACCTGCAATATTAATTCACACCGTCACAGACAAATCTAATTAAAAGCCTATACAGTGCTTTTCACGGTAACCGTCCATTAGAACTTTTACAACTTCCTCAAGAATTCCTCAAGAGTTCTAAAAAACAATTCTAAAAATTTAAGAGTAGTGAACTCGTATAGTCAATGTTGAGATTTATTCTAAAATATTGTGTGGCTGGTTTACTAATAACTTTTACTAATAATGTTTAACTAAATTTTGATAACTCAATGCATATGCTAAAAATCCACTATTATATCAATTAATACCTAATGCACCTAGAAGTTTGATATTTTGATTTGTGCTTTCGTATTGATTTTGCCCAGAATCATTACTAAGTGAAACGAAACTGGGTTTTCATATAGTCCATTCACAGGGCGTTGGTAATTCAAATGGGAATTTTTCAGCCCTTTAGAGCTATCCAGGGTGCTTCCTTAGTAATTTCTAAGTAATATCTTACCTAAAATGTCATTGACTCCGGCGAATGTCATAACCAGACAAGCGACGAAAAGATCAGCAATTGCTAAACTGGCCAGAAAGAGGTTCCCAATTCGACGTAGGCCCCTGTCCGTATAAATGGCGACACAAACTAATATGTTCCCAGCAACAGATAGGAAAATCAGCAACGATAAGAACACGCCTGCAAAACAAAATGAACTCTTTAAAGAACGAAAATATAGTTTGTGCGTGACGTCATCGCTTTATTAAACACAACCATACTATACGCATAAAATTCAAGGGTATAAAGCGAAAGTTAGGCGCTAACAACAAACGCCTCTACATCTCTTTACTATCAATTTAAATAGGCGTTTTCGACGGAAGGTAAATACAATTTGAGCCGCTAATCCCCCGATTAGCATTTCGCCCGGGTGCCGAAAAACCGCGGCGTACGGTCCTGCGCCCCGGAAACTTCCCGTCGTCGAATTTCCATATAGATTGCCTCTTTAAATTCGACATTTCTTTTAATTATTTCATCCTTTTGTAAATTCACTTCTGGCTTTTCGCCTGCACGACACGCCGACGAACAGAAAATACAAGACGGAGCAAATTGAAATAAAAAAAAATATACAAAAGACTATCGAATTTTCGCCCGGTCGAAATCGATTCGAATTGATGGGACTCACCTATGACGAGTATCGACATCATCGTGACGGTGTCCTGCTCCTCCATGAATCCGATTCCATTTTCCGTGCACGATTCGTTTATGATAATCTGCAATGAGAAGAATTTGCCCCGATTAGGTAAAAGTAAATAAATACATTGGTTCGAATTAATCGAATGGACTTTTAATCAGAAAGCCATTATTAATGAAACAATGCACGTAGTTAACTAGATAGTCCGTTAATTTTCAATTAATGTAGGGGTTAAATTGTAATTAGCGTCTCTTGGAGTACACACGATTCAATTACAACGTCGAATGTCGCAGCGGCGTTGTTGTATTAACAAGTTACAACTAAAACTTGAATATGTTATCGCAATTAATGCATATATTAATCTATCGAAATGTTTGTTCCGATTTAATCGACTACATTTTACTAATTAATTCGAAAGGAAGGATCTCCAAATTGTTTGACTAAAAATAAAACACCCCAAAGGTTTATTTTTCCGTTTTTAGCAGAGCTTATAGAAAACTTTGTATTTTCCGCGTATAGGTATAAAAGTTTGACCTAAAACGACAAACTCGAGTATCATAAGAGGCGCTCCCTTATTCCCTGATAAATCCAGAACAATGAACGTTGTATGTATACGTTTCGAAACGGGGAAAATTCGAAGTGCTGTAGAAAAAGTTTTTCCCCCGTTTTGCGACGTGACTTCACCAAGCCCGTTAAATAGGCGCTCGGGCGCCGCGACGCTTATGCATGGAAATACTAACTGCTTTTTTGCGATAAACCTGGTCATCATGGAGTATTCCACGAATTTAGCGAAAAGTGCATAACTCTATTTTAATTGTAAATAAACATGTAAATCCGGCCGTGGAACGTTCGTATTTACCTTCATCTGGTTACTATGCCAATAATAAATTCTATTGCAACTGTCTAATAATGAAAATGAGCTCTAAATTACTGTATTGTTGTAGACATGGATCTATTATGCAATACCTATGTTGTGGGTTTGTTGTTTCGTCAATAATCACGACAGGGATGCGATTGCATGTTAAATTCATTGATGGGAAATGTTTAAATTTAATACTAATACACAATGAAATTAACTAATGCATTACTAACATAATATTCAGATTAAAAGAGTGGTGTTATTACAAATATTTAATATAACACTTTATGAAAAGCATGTGGTATCATATGCTGAACAAAAATTGAAAATCGGGTAAATGGGAACTGTTTTAAAGTATTTTATAAAATGGTATATTCGGTACTCTAATAAAATATCAAAAAAACCTATTTTCCATTATTTATAATTAGAAAGCAAATAATTTGGGACATACTTTGGTATATAAACAAAAAGTCCAATTTACCATCATCCATTAAAAATATCATTATTATCCATAACATATTTTAAAATCGAACAAAAACATTAAAATCCATCCCCATTATGCGCGTAATTGTTTATCTAACGCTGTTTCGAAAACCCCCATTCCAAAAAAGCGATATTTGAACAAACATACAATCATTATCAGTTTAATTGGAACGTTCCCGAACGTCATGAATTTTTCGAAAATTAATTACGAGCAAAAATACGGACGCAGCATGATCAATTGCACGCCATAAATGTGAATTAATTTTTATTTAATACAACACAATATCATTTATTTAACATAGAACGAGCAGGTGTATTTATTATTTACACTAGATGAATTAATGTATGTATATGGCTAAGTACAAATGTGTTGGCTATACAGGGTGTTTCACAACTTATCCGACAAATTTTAACCACATATGCACTGTTACGAGAGAAGTTAATTTCCCAAAAAAGTGTAATAAAAGTCTTACAGAAATCGAGATAATAAAATAATAGTTTAACAATTCAATTACTTATACAAGATGTTCAAAATTGTTCCCATTTACTGCAATGCAAGCTTGGTTGCTTGTTTTTTTTTGTTTTAACCATTGTTTTGGTGCAACATTTGCTACAGTAAAGTATTAAGGCAAAATTATGAACGCAAAATGCAGTATTTATTTTTCAATTTTTTATTGAAACTCGGGTTTATAATTTTATTTCTGTAGGACTTTTATTACATTTTTTTTGAGATTTCTCAAAGAGGGAGAAGTTGATTTCTCAAAAAAAAAATGTAATAAAAGTCCTACAGAAATAAAATTATAACCCCGAGTTTCAATAAAAAATTAAAAAATAAATACTGCATTTTGCGTTCATTATTTTGCCTTAATACTTTACTGTAGCAAATGTTGCACCAAAACAATTTAATGGTTAAAACCAAAAAACAAGCACCCAAGCTTGCATTGCAGTAAAGGGAACAGTTTTAAACATCTTGTATAAGTAATTGAACTGTTAAACTATTATTTTATTATCTCGATTTCTGTAAGACTTTTATTACAATTTTTTTGGGAAATTAACTTCTCTCGTAACAGTGCATATGTGGTTAAAATTTGTCGGATAAGTTGTGAAACACCCTGTAAGGTGAATTCTATGAGTTAAACAAAGAAGGATTATATTAAAATAACATTGTTTAATTAGAGTGAAAAAATTGCAATCCCACTTTTGTACGAGTCTAATGCAAGTTTTATTGCACCCTTAGAGCATATTTACGTACAAATTTGCACTTAAGTATGTATAACTCGCATAATTTTCCAGAAGCTAGAACAAACGCTAGTATTATAATAAATTACACTCGACTCTAAAGTACCCTTTTTCTTCCTCTTATGGGAGATGTAGGCATATCGTTTACATTACGTTATTCTGTATACAACATAGCGCGATATTATTTCCGTGGGCGCAATTTATTTATCCGCAACTGTCGTATGCACGACCCCGGCCGAAACGTGGCCGAAAAGACGACAGAAAAGGGAAAACAGATTTTCTTTTACCGCGGCATTTGATAGTGAGACGACGGGAAAAGTGGCGTTCGCTCTTAAATGCCCCAATTCCACTTAATGATAATGCGTTTCTTTATCCTCGGGAAATCCCATGGGATGACGGATATAATTGAAAAATACGATAAGATAGGAATTTGTTAAAAAACGAGTATAAAATACTATATGATAATTATGTTGTATACAGGGTGAGTCAAAATAAGATGAGGTGAAAAGCGCCATTCGCTCATAAATGTCCCAATTCCCCCGATAATGCGTTTTTTATCTCGGAAAATCCCAAAGAATAAGAAGGTAATGGATAAATATGATAAGATTTTCTTTAAAAACGAGTAGTAGATATATAGTAAATTATGATAATATTATATACAGGGTGAGTCAAATAATGATAGTCAAATAACTTCCCCTAATGAAAATGCGTTTCTTTGCACTCAGGATATCCTATATAGTGATGGAAATAATCGAAAAATAATATAATGATAATTTTATACAAGGTGTATCTAAATAACACCGAAAAAATTTAAGAGGTGATTCTGTGATGAAAATTAAGGTGGGTACTTGGTAAGTATAAAATTTTTTGAAAAAACACATTTTTTGTTTGGTTTTTGTTCACGTTAAGTGCTATTTAACATGAGCTTGCAATACATTTATTTTATTTTCTCGTAAATGCTTAAGTTTTTTGGAAAAATGCACAGATAAAAAACTTTTAGTGAATGAATTGGGTTTCTTAGGAACATTTTTTTAAAAGAAAAATATTCTTCTAAAAAAAGTTGTAGCTAGAATAAAATGTTTTAGTAATAGTTTTAGTTATTCTATATTTCACCGACCTAAATGATGATAATTTAATATACAGGGTGAGTTAACTAAAACGACATTTGATATTGAGACGAGGAAAAAGTGGCGTTTGCTCTTAAATTCCCCGATTCTCCATAATGATAACGCGTTGTTTCTTTACCCTCGGAAAATCCCATTGAATAAGAAAGTATACCTAATTGAAAAATATGATCAGATAAGAATTTGTTAAAAACGAATAGAATATTCTAATTTATAATAATTATATACATGATAAGTCCAATAAAAGGGTATATTTTATAGTGAGATGAGGATTAAAATTGCTGGGGTTCGCTCTTAAATGCCCCATTCCCCCTAATGATAATGCGTTTTTTACCATCGTGAATTTCTATAGAATGGCGGATATAATTGAAAAATACGACCAGATAAGAATTTGTTAAAAACGAGTAAAAAACCCTAAATTATGATAATTTTATACACAGGGCAAGTCCACTAAATTCTTGTCTCACTGGCACATCCTGTATATTCGAATTTAATACACTATTCTGGCTCGTGTACTATATTATATCATTTTCATTCTCCGGTTATTACACCCGGAAAAATGTGTCTCGCGCAGTTATAGTGCTCCCCACGGTGTCTTACGCTGATTTATTCTATAAGGGCGGTTTTTTGTTTCGGGCCGTAGTTTTATTTTTCGGTCGCGCCGCACGGAAACTGCCACAACACGTTTCCGGTTTATTACCGCAATGGCAATTATGCGAATTAAAACCCGACGATTTTTTTCGTTCGCGAGGAGGGATTAGGGAGAACGCAAATCCGAACAGCTAAAAGTCTCTCGAAGAGGATTTCGGAGATTCGAGCATTCTAAGACCGGCTTACTTTTTGACGCAATTTGAGAAATTGCTGTGTCGGAATAATTAATATCCGCCCGGTGGAAATTTACGCGACGATCGACCGCTTTTCGTTCGGGACGTCCGTAAGAAAAACCGATCGGGATGAGGGTATTTGTTTTTATTAGAAAAAGTTTTCTTTTTACATCGGTATTCCTGATAGATTGGAAGTTCGATATCTCCTAAAAGAGCTTTCCTTTTTGTGTGTACCGCATTATTTTTGTTTTTATGATTCGGTTCGTAATAAAACGGGCAAGGTAAGGCGCGCAGCTCGCTTCGCTTTATTTAACGAGAGACATTCTAATCGAGTTTGTAATTCGAATTTTATACGGGGTTGTTGAGGTGGAACCTTTTTATTTTTCCCGTGTTTGCATTTATCGTACCTACCGAATTTTGTTTGTACGAACATTTCAATAAATCCCGATCATTGTTCGACTTTTCCGGTCCCATTTGAATGCCTCTCGCATCAGTTTCTACACAAAGAATATAACCCTCGTATTTTTATATTAATCAAAAGACGCTCAAA